CAACCCTCAATTCGGGTACGATACGGCCTGGTCTCCCTTCTCCTGGACACCTTGGAGGCACATCACACAACTGCGATTCGAATCGAAGCTTGGAGCTCCTCGCGCACGCTCTTGCACGCCCACCCGCACTCCCTTGCCCCCGCCATCCCATCTCTCAAGTGCGCCATCACATCCCAATTCCTGTTCCTCGTCCGCCCGTCTCCCGCACCCGGGCTTCCTCAAGTACCAGGTACCTCTGCGCTTGGCCTTGCTGCCATCCCTTCTTCCTGAAACCGCGTTGAAACCCCCCTTCTCCCTATCATTCTCATATCCTCCGTCCAAATGGGTATAAGTCGAGGTACCTGGCTGGGCACGCCTCCATTGCGAACCGGACCAGTTCACAAGGTTTTAAACCGACTTTTCCTCGTCCGCGATCCAGTTGCAGGGAACACAACGCCTTTCTTCTCTGTTGGTCCATCCAATGCGACCTTTGCTGCTCCACGCCCTCACCACACTCTAAATTACTCTTCTGCGCCTTCCCCAAAGTCTACTCCTTCGCGTCCTCCTCATCAACGACTAATCACACTTCCCGGCCGGTCCCATTACACCACTATCCATACTCCTCATCACGCTCGTCTGCTTCGCCCCCGAGCTCCAACAACTACTAATTGCCTCGTCCCGTCGCCCACTCCCGCCTCCTCTTTCTTCTCCGCATCTCTCCCACCGACACATGCGCCGGTAATGTCAATGGCGTCGTATCCTTTCAGTTCAGCCAGCTCCTCAGACATCTCTACGCCCCGGTCCGCCTCGCCGTCGCTATCGTCCGTAGCTTCTGCCCGCTCTTCCCGCTCGTCTATATCTAACAAGCGCATGTCCATGTCCAGTCGCAGGATGACGGACTTCAATCCTATGTCTTCTGTCGACATCTCCGCCATTGAGGAGAAGATGAGAATGGCCGCTCTTGACCAGCACCGCGGATACGCCCAGAACAACTTTGGTGAGGTTCAGCAATACCGTACCACTGAGTACGTGCCCAAGACCCAGGCCACCGCCTACCAGATTCTGCGCGAGCCCCTCTGGAACAAAGGTGAGTTGATCGCAGTCACTCCACTTACACCACACCAAACCTACTGCACGCACTGGCTTTCCCAACATGCCGTATCCCTTCATTTGCACCCTTCTATATAGCCTCCCTTCTTTCCTCTTCCCCCAACATTATCTTGCAGCCCTTCACCCGCCCCGCATGGCTTCCCTACTCACAAGACGCGCGTGCCGTCTCCCTACCCGATTTATGCATCGCGCCCCCATCCACACCTCCTCCAAGCTAACCGCCATGGTCGAATCAGGCCTGTCCTTCACTCCTGAAGAGCGCGTCAACAGGAACCTCACCGGCCTCATTCCCCACACCATGGAGAGCCTCCAGACGCAATGCCAGCGGGCCATGAAGATGATCAACACCCGCCAGACCGACGTCGACAAGTACCTCTACCTGTCGTCGCTCAAGGCCCAGAACTTTGATCTCTTCTACCGCCTGCTCATGGACAACATTCGCGAGCTCATGCCTCTTGTCTACACTCCCACCATCGGCGATGTCTGCCTGCAGTACTCGACCCTCTACACCCGCCCCGAGGCCCTGTACATTTCGATCAAGCAGCGAAAGTCGATCCGTACCATGCTCCGTAACTGGCCCTACCCCAACCCCGAGATCTGCGTCGTCACAGACGGTTCCCGTATTCTGGGTCTTGGTGACCTCGGCGTCAATGGTGTTGGTATCTCTGTAAGTGCCTCGTCTGTCTTGCAACGGTGCACGGCTAACAACTGCAGATCGGCAAGCTCGCTCTGTACACGGGTGCCGCCGGTATCCACCCCGAGAACACCCTGCCCATTGTTCTCGACACCGGCACCAACAACGAGACCAACCTGAAGGACCCCTTCTACCTGGGTATCCGCTCCAAGCGAGTGCCCGTGGCTGAGCAACAGGCGTTCATGGACGAGTTCATGGAGGCCGTCACCGAGGTGTACCCTAACATGACCGTCCAGTTCGAGGACTTCGAGTCCGAGAAGGCCTTCAACTACCTTGACCGCTACCGCAACAAGTACCGCTGCTTCAACGACGACATCCAAGGTACCGGCGCCGTCGTCCTCGCTGGCTACATCAACGCTGTCGAGCTCTCGGGTGTCCCCATGGAGGAGCAGCGCCTCGTCTTCATGGGTGCCGGCTCCGCCGGTGTTGGTGTCGCGAAGCAGCTCGTCGAGTACTACACCAAGCGCGGTCTCAGCGAGCAGGTCGCCAAGGACAAGTTCTGGCTTGTCGACACCAAGGGCCTCGTTACCAAGGACCGCGGTGACAAGCTTGCCGAGCACAAGAAGTACTTTGCCCGTACCGACAACAACGGCCACCAGTTCCGCACGCTTGAGGAGGTCATTGAGTACGTCAAGCCGACTGCCCTCATCGGCCTCACTGCCACCTTCGGCGTCTTCACCGAGTCCGTCGTCCGCGCCCTCAAGGCTTCCGTCGACTCTGGTGGTCTTGGCCGCCGCCCCGTCCTCTTCCCCCTCAGCAACCCTCTCACCAAGGCCGAGTGTACTTTCGAGCAGGCTGTGCAGTGGACTGACGGCACCGTTATTTTTGCCTCTGGCTCGCCCTTCTCTCCTCTCACCATGAAGACCCCCGACGGCCAAGCAGTCACCTACCATCCCAACCAGGGCAACAACGTCTATGTCTTCCCCGGTCTGGGACTCGGTGCCATCCTTGCCAAGGCCTCCAAGGTCACCGACGACATGGTCTACACCTCGGCTGCCGCCCTCGCCGCGGGCCTCAACGCCGACGAGATCCACAAGGGTCTCATCTACCCGCGCATCGAGCGTGTTCGCGACGCCAGCGTCCTGGTCGCCCGTGAGGTCATGAAATCGGCGCGTCGCGATGGTGTCTCCACGTTGCCCGAGTCCCAGTGGGTCGAGTGGGAGGAGTGGGGTGACGTCGCCCTCGACGCCTGGATCAAGGAGCGTGTCTACGACCCCATGAGCTTCTCCGAAAAGAGCCGTATCTAGAATTGTGCGATGAACAAGATTGAGTTGCATTTACGGACCCAAAGGTCTGGACAGGGATATCTGAGATGTTCTCAGCGGATTGGGTTTCGGCGTTTGGGTAGGCATCAGGGGCCTTGCTTTCATCATCCCGAGATTTGAGCGAAGGGATCATATTCTCATCACTAAAACGATGAACACGCTTTTACACAAGAATGCCCGCATGCCACCGTTACCGAGCGCATGGTCGCGTCGGTCTTTGATTCCCGGCATATTGTTACCAATTTAGATGTGGGGGGACGCGTAATCTAATTGTTACGGAAACGCGACATAGAAATATATTTATGCCTCCATTTGTTAGTATGCCAGTATGCCAGTGAGCTTGAAATTGAGGGCCTTGTACGAGGGGACTGCCTCGGCTGCTTCATCAAAAGACGACGATTGGACTGTCCCCAATTCTGGCAGGGAAGCTTCGTAGATCCTCCAAATTCTCTCCGCATGGGACGAACCCCACCCGGCGGCGGAGCTCCCCCAAAATGAGCTGCCCCAAGAATTCCGTCTCCAACTGGTGAACCGCCCGAAGTGTGTTGGGGGAAAGCTCGGAACCTGTTGGGAGGGGAGACTCGAGCATAGTCTCCGGGCTAGACCGGACTGAGTAGACGGGCGCATGTGCAACGTTCGTAGAGTTTGTAACCGCAACTCGTCGCCCGCCTTTTGCGTGAGACAAACGACGAACAAAAGCCGGGCCGGAGGGAGCGCTAGAGAATCGAAAGCGAGACAATGCAGCAAGCAAGGCACAGGGGTTGTTGTTGTTGTTGTTGTTGTCGCCATCGGTACACACACGCCTTTCGGTAATGCATTGGATGGATGGGATATGTCAATGGGCACGATGTATGGTTGGGCGTGGTTTCGGTCTCGTTCAGTCGAACACCCCCCTCCCCTCCCCTCCCCCAACCCAGAGTATAAGCTCAAGCTTCCCCTCCATTGAGTAAGGTTATCACTCGGCAACGGACGGAGGTTCAACGGCGTCTCCCATCTTTTTTTGTGTGTGTGTGTGTGGAGTCGTTAGGTTCCAACAAGTAGCCTCTACATCACCGACCGAGAGTGATCACCTAATGCTTTGACAGCTCACCGCACTCAGAAACATCGGATGGTCCAAAGTAAAGCTCACCTGTTCGGGGAGTCCTCGGGATTCATTCACGGACATCCCCTAGCTTTCCCAGTGCGCCCGCCAGGCCTGAGTCTGGTGCTGGGATTGCGCATCGCGATCCCTGCCCATCGACGTTGATCCTACCCTCCGTCGGCGAAGCTTGATCATACCGTTCGGCCGGGGAATGGTCCCGCGGAGTGTATGCACGCTGACGGATGTGTGTAGGTATGGGTGGTAGGGCGGACAGGGGGCGTCGATCGAATGCTTGGGGTCCTCGGCTGGTGTGTCTCGGGTTTGGACCTTGGCCGGGGAACGAGTAGGGAGGATTAGGAGGGCGTTCATGCTCGGGCCAGCGTTGGCCCCCACGCGGCTGCCGGAAGTGGCTCTTGACTTGTACATCAACCTTTGGCTGACGGACTATCACTGCAAGTTTCTGACTTAAGACTGCGGCTTTATTTGATTTCAACTATCTGGCTCTACTAACTCGAGCATTGCATCGAGGGAAAAGGGGGGTATTCGTACTAAGAGAACATCAAGGGAATAACTGGTGGGAATGATTTGAAGTGGTTTGAGGTAAGGAAATGTGAAAGCAGGCCATGCTATGCCATTGTTGTAGGCACTCCAAACCCCGGTGACATAATGAAATGATCCTTCATGGTAACCTTCACCTCATGAGAGTCAAAGGCATGTCCCCAACTCCATGTATTGCGTGAAGGCAACTTGCCTAAGCGTCTCCGTCCATCATACTGAATGGTCTCATCCGAGTAGACACTGCAACTCCACCCAAAGAAAATGCGCCTTACCGATTGCGCCTCATGCCTCGTTTTGCGCCGGCCCATCATTTTCAATTCTTCCGAAAGAGACGTTTCGTGCCTCCAACCTTGCCCATGTCGCCAAACTCGGAGGCCTTGCGGGCTTCACCACTAGCAAGACGTACCTTCTCCTTGACGCTCTCCACCCACGCCCGGCTCTCCTCACTCATCTCGACCTTGCGGCCTGTGGGGCCTGCAAGTCCGAGGAACGAGCTTTCTTCCTCCTCCCAGCTGATGTGAGAGCTGGACCGCGACCGGTTGGAGTCCTCCGAAGACGGCGTAAACTTGTCCGGAATTGGTGGGACCGCTGGCGTGTTGGGCAGCAGTCTTGAAACAGACGGACCCGACATGTCGCCAGAGCCGAAAGACTTCCTAGACTTTCGGACATTGAGTGGCGTCATGGGGGACATCTCCAGCGCTGATGCCGGCCGGCTCGGAGGGCTTGAGTTGGCGGCGCGGCTGCTAGCGCGCGGCAAGTCTTGAACTTCGACCTTGGCTGTCTCCACAGGGCCGGCAGAGCGACGACCGTGGTGGGTGGCATACTCCTTGAGGTACTCGCCTAGGTCAGCCCATCCACCGCCGACACGCACCATGACCCGCTCGCCGTGCTCGCCGACACAGCGGATGAAGAGCTTGATGGGGGCCTCGCCAGTGGATCGGGATAGGTGGTATACTCGGATGTCGTTTCTGCTTTGAGGACGCCTTGGTCTTGGGTTCTTGGCGTACGCAGGAGCGAGGGTCAACCACGGCGTTGCCGCTCGCGAGGACGCTCTTGATGCCATAGACATGCTGGAGCCTGTGCGTCGCATAGTCTCCCGCGAGGGTTTCTTGAGCCTCTTCGCGGGCAGGTCCGGTGGTGGGGGATTCAGGTCGACTTTTGGCGTGGCCCTTGCCAGCTTGATATTGGCTGGGATGGACTCCAGGATATCGCTGATTTGCTGCCGTAGGTGGTCATCGGATGCGTTGGACTCTCTTGGTGTTCCCAAGCTGGTGAAGGAGTGGTCGTAGTCCTCCTCAATGAAGGATGACTCGAGAGGCAGCGCCGGCAGCAGGCCCTCGTCCTGGGGCCCCATCATCGGACTCACGCTATGGTCTCTGATGCTGGGTCGGAACGGGGGCGAGCTGGGCGGGCTAATGCTCATAAACCGGTCGGCAGCGGATTTCTGTCCTAGGATCTCGGCACGCTTCTGACGCGGCAGAGGCGGTGACGCAGAGACTTCGGGCATGTCGCTGGAAGCGTCTGCTAGCAGGCTGGTGTGGCCGTGAATGACCGTCGACAACTCCGAAGTGTCACTACTTCGCCGGTTCGAACGGATCAAAGGGGGCAGCTGGACCTCATCTTCGTCTTCTAGTGTGTCGGGCATATCCCCCGCATCGTCAACAAGAGATGGCTCGGACCTTGTGTTGTTCTCAAAGACTGCTCTAAGCTTCGATACAACAGATTGCTTCTCACCCTGGAGTGGGCCGGCTTTCTTGCTGCTTTCGTTCTGAACCTCGGCTAACGGAGTCCGTTTGGGCTTTGGCACCTCGCTGAAGCCATCGAGGCTGCTGACATGTGACTGTGTCCTCTTTTGTGCTTGCAGCTGTGACGGGGACAGCTCGATTGTGTCGTCCTCATCTGTGTCATCGGATTGCTCTGCCGTGCCGCCGCTGGGAGTGTCGGAGTCACTTGTCTCCTGCGATTCTTCTTTCGGCGGATCAATGGTAATAGGCACCGGCAAGGTGATGGTGTTTGCATCTTCTTCGACGATCGGCAGGGCCAAGGGTGCGATGGATACATGTTCGACTTTAGCAAGAGTCTTTTGCCGCCATTCCCCTTCTCTCATCTTCTTCTCGCCAAAGGCCACCCAGTCAGCGTAGTTCCGCTCAACGGCCTCCATGCGATCAAGCCATGTGTCAGGCAGTGTGTCTTGTAACCCCTCTAGACTGTCAAGCATGAAGTCCAGGCTGCGACCGGATGCAACGATTTGTTTTTCTAGCACTCCCTTGACTACGGTAAAGGCGTGCTTGAGCCGCGAGAAGTCGTCTTCCGCTTGATGTTCGGGATCGTTCTCAGCCGGCGTTCCTGTCGGAGATGACAGCACATTCCACGCAGACTCGAGGGCGAACTCCGCCTCTGCAATCCCAGCCAACAAGACAGGTATCCGACGCAGCACAGAGAGCCGAACGTGCCAGACTCTCAGCAGTCGACACAGCTTGGACAGATTTGGCAGTGCTTGAATAATGATTGCAGTCAGAAGAGCCGTCAAATCGTCCATCCGGTTGTAGGAGAACGCCGCCGCAACAGACCGCGAGCCCAGCTTGGGCGTCCCGGGCCTCGAAAGTGGAATGATATGTGTGTGCATAACATGAGTTTTGATGTCCTCAATGCGTAGTTTGTCCATGTCCTGAGAGATGCCATCCACGCGCTGCTCATACTGTGCCACATTTTTGGCCGGAAGACACCCCAGATACTCTGTATCGGAGGCTCCGGCATCATCAAGTAGCGTGGTTTTTGCGTTCGGCGTTTCGAACCCGGCAGAGCCGCTGGTGGCTGGCCAGGGCCAGTCAGAGACTTCCTCGAGCCACTCGTATATCTTGCGGCTGGCCACCGCGGCGCGCATAGCGAAATCCTGTTCGCTAACAGTAGAATTGTCGAGGCACTGCTTCAGCTCGGTGTTGGGCGTTTGAAGCATCTCAACCGCGGTCAAGGGCGTAAGGCGGCTCAGCAGGTCGTCGGTGGTTCGGGTACGACTAGGCGAGCGCTCGTCCGAGAGGCGGTACTGGCGCCTGGACGGCCGCAGGTGCTGGCTCGGCCCGGGCGTAATGGACGGCGGCAGGGGGTCGGTCATGTTGGCGGTTGTGAATTCAAGTGTCGAACGAGCGGTTGGTTTATCGAGCAAGCAGGCATGGCTTGCGTCTATGAGCCTAGGAAGAAGCCGTCTTCAACGAAGATGGCCATGTCGCGGATGATCGATAGTGTTCGTTGGCATTCGTCATAATCAAGGGCGCAAATGGTCTCTTCCTGGCTCGTCTCTCGCTCTTGGCTATTGTTTCTCACTGTCGATAGATGGGAAAGAGAAGCTCGTCGCACGCGAGGTCGCTCCGTCGGAAAGCGGTGGTGCTGTCGTTCGTTCGGGTAGTCGCAGGATAGGTCCGGTGATCGCGGAAAAAGAAACTACGGCGCGGCGCGGCGCGGGTTCCTGAAGATGCAAGGGATCACAGGGGTTCGGTGGAAGGTGTTGTTAAATAAGAAAGAAAAGGTAGGAGGAATGCTAGAGTAGGTACTGCGGTTGTGTAGGTATTCAAGGAAAGAATGGGAATGATAATGAATGATGAAAGAACGAGGTAACTGCGGATGTTTCGCGTGGGTTAAAGAACTGAAGCTGCCACAATGACACCGGGAAGGGAAAGGGAAGAGTAAAAGGCTGGCAAAAAAGAGATTAGCAGGTTGGCGTGGACGAAAGAGAGAGGAGATTTATTAATATGACTTGATGGATATTGGTTACAGTACGGGGATGGGGGTGGAAAGGCCAGGTACCCGAAGGCCGGGACGCAGCGGGCGAGGTACCTAGCTGGGCTTGGGTGTGTGTGGGTGAGTGAGGATTGATCGGTTCGTGTGGAGATGTAGCTGTTCTGGGTTAATAGCCTCCAACACCCATGTCATGCAAACGCGCCTGCGCCAGCCAGTCCAGCCCAGTTTGTCTTGGGAACCCAACACAGGCACCTAATAATACCACGACTATCGAATCGGCCACCGGAAACCGTCCACGTCGAGTCTCCGCCGATCTCTTCCGCGGGCATCCTGACGTGTCGCGCGATGGCTTCGCGTCGTTGGCAGTTAGCCGCATTTGAGCGGACCGGACTGTGGTGGGCTCTCCCTTGCAAGTTGCGATGCCGCATCTTGCATAGCGCTGAAGAGCTCCAAGGACACCCATGCGGGGGGATGATGCCACTGCCGCATCTTGACGTCTTCCGCAATCATCATGCCGGTCCTGCGATGGGTGCCCCTACCTGGCGTTGATGCGACCACCGTCAGCCTCTACTGCCTGGACCAGCAGGAGACCAATGCCTGGACGCGGTTCGAGTGGTTTCAAAAGGGGTATTTTGTTTGATGCTCTTCTGGTGGGTATGTCTTGCCACTGCACCGATCAGCTGGAGTTATCTGGATTGCGGATATTAGCCTTCTTCTTAGTCATTGTCCTCACACGTTCTCCCTACAATATGAGATGACAGGCTGCACGACATTGACAACGACGCTCGGATGCATTAGAGTTCTTCTGCCAGACCTGCATGTTTCGACACAGTAGTATGGCCCACGCCCGCACCTACGAACGGTGTCAAACAGCTCTGAAAGCTGTCGTCGGCAAGTCTTGTTGCTAGCGGTCGTAAGCGGCGCGAGCTGGCAAGCGAAAAGAGCTTGAACAGGGGACGACTATTAGAGCGTGGCGCCAGCCCATCAGCCGCTTCCATTGCTTCCGGCGATCATTACCCCCCCCCCCCCCCCCCCCTGCAGCAACCTCTGCCCTGCTGCTACATAGTACGCACCTGAGCAGAATGTTGACACGTCGCAGGCCTTTGCTATTGGGCATCGGTGCAGCTCTGAGGTGTTCTGGGACGTTGCCTTTTGGCATGCCCGTGAGAGTCTCATTCTAAGATTCAAATTCCAAACAGCCGACGAACCAGACGCGACGGACTCCGAGACCTGGCTTTGCTCATTTCCTCAGATTGCCCAAAAAAAATGTTTCCCCCGCCGTCATTAAACCGCTGTTGGCTGGCCCGGAAACGCGCTCAGTACCATCTCGCCTAATAGCTCCCCTGTCCCGCTACTTCGGATTCGGCCACCTCCCCTGGAGCTCTTAGATTGAACACGAGGGGTTGCTGAGCTTGGCTGGAGCTCACCCGACAGCATCCTGGAGCTCTCGGTCCATCACTGGAGACACAGCGTTTGGACATTGCGCGACCGTCTCACACGATTGGCGAGGCTTGACTTTGCGCGTATCTGATCGTATCTCAGCGTAAGAACGTACAATCATAGAATCGCTAAATGATCTAGGCTCTATCTTTCGTTATGAACAGAAGGACCTACAGCTTCGGCGCAACGTGCCTCCACTTTCCTACTCCCGGATATACAAAGCCAATCTCTCGAAGCGTCGTTGCAGTCCCCCCTCGCTTCTCGAACTCCTGTTTGCTCGGCCAATATATCCCACGCTCCCAAAACTGCTCGTCATGCCAATATGGAGGTTCTTTGCCTTTCTTCGTCGACTCCGCCACCCAATCATGTAGCATGTTGAGGTGGCGACCATCATCTCCATCATCGGGCATCACATGGATGTTCTTGTCGCCGCGTCTTTTGAAGAGGTCGAGCTCCCACTTCTCCTGGTCCTCGACGGGTGGTAACTTTAGCCCGTTCGACCATACCGCCCCGAGGACTGCAGCCTGGTTCTCGGCCACCGGCCAGGGCACTGTCTTGACAAGTAACCCGGCAAAGGCGAGGGTTGGGTGGTTTATGAGAAACAGGTGCTGGTACAAGCCTCGGACGCCTTTGCCGTTTGTCAAAAGAGTCGGCTTGAGTAGATCAGGGAGGAACGGAAAGCTGAAGAAGAAGCCGGTACAGTAGATGACAGCATCGACATCTTTTTCAATCTTTCCGCCCTCAAAAACAACCGCCTTTTCATCTGGTAGGAACTCCACAATCTGCGGGACCTCCGTTACGCCAATGTGATGGACCTTGTCTGGTGGCGTCGGGTGCCGGACAGACAGATACACCCTGTCTGATACCGGGCTGATTTGACGGGCGATATCCAGACCTGACGGTCCGTTACCGACCACAATCACCTTCTTCCCCGCGAAGGGCCCGGGAATGCGGTAATTCTTGGAGTGCAGGATGGTTGAGGGATGAGCCTCGTGAAATGCCTTGATACCCTTCACGTCGGGAATGAAGGGAATGTCGTAGTGTCCGTTAGCGATAACCACCGCATCGTACGCGCCACTGAACTTGCGACCGCTGATCGTGCAAGTTGCTTCAACGTCCCATTTGTCTCTGCCATTCTCCTGTCGCAGGGCGAGCGCCTCGACTTGATGGGAGAACTTGATGAGATGGCGCAGGTCCTTGGCATACTCCACCAGGTAATTGTAAATGGACTGCCGAGACGGAAACACCCACGCGTCATCTGGGAACGCCGCTTCCTTGTAGTTCATCGTCGTCTTGATGGTGTTGGCGTGGAGTGTCTTGTACATCGGGGTGGGGAACACGGGAGGCGCACCGGGCTTGGGCCGGAGCGGAGGATCCTGCGGACAGAACGGATCCGTCTGAGGCACATTGAGAGAGGTGGTCGGGTGCTCGCTGTAGTTCCAGACACCACCTACTTGGGCCTGCTGCTCGAAGACGACCACAGTCTCAAAGTCTCGATGCGCCGAAAGGTACCTGGCAACCGCCAATCCAGTCGGCCCAGCACCGATGACGGCGATCGTTTTGACGTCGAACGGGGTAGTCATGTTGGTCTGAGACACACGAGTGTCCTTTGATTTGTTTGTAGGAACGAACCAGTGCTCTTAAAGCAATGCAACAACATACGACGCCCCACGAGGTGCAATGCGTTATATCGGCAACAAATCACCTAATCGGGCCCTTTCGGTTACAGTTGCGGGCGGGTGACGGAGATCCTCATCCTCCTACCCCCGAGTCACAAACCCTGTCAACTTCGTCTGAATGAATGATTCAATTGGACAAGACACATTTAACATTGCAAGGCATGCCTATTTCGGTCCGGAGAGGCAGAAGTCCAAGCAGCGCAAGGTTTACCCAAGCTTGATAGTCATGTGACTCGGAGGAGATCTGGAAGGCAGCCAGAAACATCCTTATCGATAAGAACTACCGGCTTCCCTCATCTTGCCTCGCACACCGCTTGCTCTTTCTGTTTACAGCCTGCCCCACAAACAATTGCGACAGGTGCAGCTTGAGCTTTGTTCCACTTTCCACCTCCGAATTGTTCACGACGATGCTGTACTACCGAATCAACCTTTGCGGCCGACCACGCTCAACCTCCTCCTAGAACAAGCATCCAAAAACTTCCAACGTCGTGCACAACCTCCACTGATGCTTGATAGCCTAGAACGCCCTCCTCCTCAGCACAACCAGCTACGCCGCGTTCCGAGGCCCATGACGCGATGTCTGGGGTTCAGTTACCTGCGCAGCTCGAAGCTGCCGAAGGCATTCCGATTGCGCAATTGAGCCCCGATGTCCAGGAGTTGAAGAAACGCGTCGCCAGGGGTGTTGTCACAATCACCTGGCCGTACAGTATTGTCAAGAAGACGATTGCTTTCCTCCTCGCCGAGCCGGACTTTCGACTTCGTCGCGCTAAGGGCCAAGTACGCGTCGAGTTTGATGGACCGAGTGCGAAGGCTGTTGCTGATGCGGCTCTTGGAAGTGGCGATGAGATCGCGCTGTCGCTGGATGGAGTCGAGTTCGTTGCGGATGACTCCAAGACACATGTTCCCGGGATGAGCTTGAAATGGCAGTTGAGGTTCACAGAAAGGGTGCTCCTACAGGTATGTCTGGTGTAGATACGGTTGTGCATTACTAAGTTTAAAAGGCCAAAATCAGCGACTCTGAAGACGTGAAGGTTATCGACGTCGACCACCCCGTCCAGTCCGAATTACAGCCCGAGCTTGAATTGCCACAGTCGCCCATCGACCCGTTTACAGAACAGGAAAAGACACCCGAGAGAATAGCAACACCCGTTATACCTTCGAGCAAGAGACCCATCGATCAGAATATTGGGCCAGACGAATACGCTTCACCCGCGTTCCTCAAGCGCGCCCGGATGTCGTATGGGTCTCTGTTCGATGGCGGCCTGGGCATTTTCGACGAAGATACTGGAGCAAAAGCGCGTGCCAAGAAGCGGCCAAAGACTGGTCGATACAGTGGAGTGTGGAGATATGCCAGCCAGTCACCAAGCCCCGAGCTGGAGGACCGTGAAGATGAAAACATCGAAGACACGTCAATGGTTGAGGAGCAACCGGTAGGAACCACTCCTTCGCGGCCAAAGATGGTCGACGATGGTTGCCAGACGATCGAGCGGGATGTGAGCCCTCCAAGAGAGGTGCAGGTTGCTGCAGAGGCTCGCCAGGATCCTTCGTACTGGCAGACCCCTTCGAAATCGACCATGGTTGACTCGGGGGTTCAGTCTGATCTACCCCCTAGTCCAAATGTTGGGCTGACGCCAAGTCTGGCATTTGAACAACATGCACCCATGCCCATGTTCACCTCGGTACACGAGCAGTATGCGCCCGCCTTTCAGCAGCCACCTCTCGGCCCGGTGTTTGGCCACAGTCTTCAGGGGGCATGGAGCCGCATTATGACGCTGAAGGGTCATTCCACGAGCATTCGAATGCATATCCGGAGGCTGGGCTCGACCATAGCCTTGATACGCATGGTCACTACCCGACATCCTTTCTCGATGGTCCCAACTTTGGACAAGATGTTGCGGCCACGTCACAGCCTGTGTCTGAGCCAATACCCGCTTACCAAGACCATCCGCAACAGCATAGCCTTGAAGGAGAGCACCATACAGTCGTCATGGATGGCATTGCAGAGCCTGAACAAGTTCCTTGGGGTCTTACATCCGCACACTACTCTAGGGCCCCTGTGAAATCCGAGGATGCAGCAGTCGATGAGCAGCAGGCTGGACAACAATCTGGCACACAAGCTATACCCAGCGGCAATTGGGCCGAAGACCGCAAGATTCGGGCCACAGAGAACCACGAGGACCCCGAAGGCGAGCAGGAGGCCTTGAAAGTGGAGGAAGATCAGGCCTCGGAGGATGAGGACGGCCCTGAAGAGGAGTTTCATTCAAGGACGTACGCTGAGAGACACTTTGAGCCTGCGGATAATGAAGCTGGAACAGGCAACCAAGATGATAGCAGCAGTAGCAGCAGCAACAGCAGCAGTGAAGACGGCGAAGAGGAGGCCGAGCACGATGCAGACGATGCTGGTGGGGACTACGACATTACCAACTACCGCAATCTCAGCAATAACCAGGATGACGATGACGGTACAGATTTAGAGTCGGACTATGGTCAAGAGGAAGAGGACGAAATACTCGAGCCTGAACTTCAGGGCAACGAGGAAGACGAGCTTGAAGAAGATGTTGAGGACTACGGAGAAGAATACGACGAATACGACGAGGAGGAGGACTACGAGGACGAGGACCAAGAGAACGAGCCACCGCCTGCTGCACCACAAGGAGGAGCCCCGGAGGTAATCAGCCTGCTTTCGGATTCCGAAGACGAGGACGAAGCCCCGCCATCTCGACCCACTCCCGCTCAAGCACGGGGGATGCCGCAGTACGATGGGTCCACTGACGAAATGGAAGAGGATGATCCGAGCGACAGGGAGGATAGCGAAGCAAAGTACGGCAGCAACGAAGAGGGCCAGCAAGGCTTCTCTAGCTCGTCAGATGAAGAGAGCGAAGAGGAGGCGTCCCATGTTGGCACGCTGACGCCGAAGCCTGGGCCGACGTCTTCAAGGTCTGTGTTCGATGCTCCGGATTTGACGTCGGTGACGCTTGGCGACGATCTCGAGACGATGAGTCCCATCAAGCTATCACAGGCCACGGGTCTCTCTGGAAACTCTTCTCGGCCCAGTTCCAGGGATGACTCGGAGATGCTCGCGGCAGAATTAGAAAAGGAGTTAGAGGAGGAATTGGCCGCGGACGCCTCCCAGAGCGACCGGGAAACTCCAGAGCGGACAGGTCTTGAGATGAACAAGGCTTTGGATGCCGGATTAGAAGTCCAAGAAGCCGTGTCGTCTGCAGAAATTCTAGCCAACGTTGATGCGAAAGAACAGACATCGTCACGCGAAGAGGTCGCCATTAACGAGGACTCTGAGGCACAAGAGGAACAACCCCAGATTCAGCCCGACGAGCCGACCACCAAGAGCAAACCGACGCCGGTAATCAAGACGGACGCGGAGACCAAATTCCCAGTGGAAGAAGAATCGAAGATCTTAGTTGACGAAGACTCCAACATCCCTATGGATGACGATCGGGCTCTCTCATCCTACCCAGCTACAGAGGGAACCGAAACCCAACAGGATGCGGCCCTATTAAAGGCAAAGGCGGGCAGCAACTCCGAATCCCAAGTCGAAGAGACACTCTCTTTCGACCATGTCGTGGACAAAGTCGATAGCCAAAAACCGCCGGAAACGCCAGAAGTTATCATCGCCGAGGAGGTCCCTGGCCCCCAAACGGAAGAGACGCATGTCGACTCTAAAAAAGAGATGCTAGCCGCCACCGATCTCCGACCAACGCCATATGCCGAAGTCAGCGTGGCCGAGGTCGCTGAGGTGCAAACGGAAAAGACTCAGGTTGAGCAAGTCGAAGATGACCAAAGATCAGTCAGAGAACACGCACGAGACCTGGTCAATACCCAGGTGACCGAGACTCAGGTCGATGTCTCCGAGGCACAGATCGAAGAGAGGGCATCCCCTGAGGGCGATCAAGTTATGTACACGGAGCAAAGTGTCGTGATAGAGTCCGAGGTCGAGACAGAAGAAGTCACGACTTTCCCCGAGACTACGGTCGAGATAGACATGGATTCTACTAACGGGGATTCCCCTGACCCTATCGATGTTGACATGGCTGATACTGAAGCAATGTCCGTTGACGAGACCAGAGATCAAGACTCCGATGTGGACATGGACGAGATGACAGAGGAGCAGCTCATTCAAACCCAGCTGCAAGAGGAGTCAATGATGTTCGAGGACCAAACAGTCATAACAATTACGACAACGCAGACGGTTGAAGAGCGGCCAGTCTCGCAAGAGAGCAAGACTGCTGAAGACGCCGATGCTGCCCCAGTAACGGAGGTTATTGAGACATCACGGGTAACGGTCGAGACATCCGTTACCGAGCCCCTAGCTAGTGTTGATGAGCGCTTGCTTGAGGCAGCGTCCGAAGACGTAATGGACGTAGAAGAGCCGAACTACAAGGGGTCAACAGAGGTGGCGTCGCCTCCTAAGACGGATAAAATCCAGCCTCAGTCTTTTGAGGAGGTCGAGCTTGTCGATACGCAAACTTCACACTCTAACGAGCAACCCGACATGCAGGATGATGTGCAGCTTCTCACTGCGGGTGGAACGCAACACGCTGAAAGCGTCTTGCAGTCTTTCGTTGAGACTCAAGTCACAGAGGCTACGGAGGTCACAGAGGCCAATACACAGGTCACTGTACCGGAGATTGATGACGATGCTCCATCACAAATTCAGGTCACTAGGCCAGAGGACGACAAGTCATCGCAGACTCAGGAGCAACCGGAGAACCAAGCAGCATCATCCACGACGGTGGTCCCATCACGACAATCCATCGAACCTACCCTAGAAGCATCGTATGAAGCTGATGTGACTTCACCCACTAATGACGAGTTATCACAAAACCGAGATTCCTCGGCGCAGCCGTCCGAAGGGCAGTCTTCTCTTATCGCCGAGGACGCCTCGGAGGAAGTCAACGCTGCGCAGCCATCTCCGAGGCCGGGGCGCGGACACCGAAGAGACAGGTCGGATACTACCAACAAGGATCAGGATCCTAGTATTAGATTGGCCCGTGCGTCCATCGCATCGCGCCGGTCGACACGCATATCAGACCGCACTACCCCTGACAGCACGCGACTTACCCGTGGCAGATCACAGAGCCTGGCCTTGAAGAGTGATTCGCCGGATGCTGAGGATGATAGCGTGCAGCTGGCGAGGAGCGCCATTGAGTCACCGTCGCGGGCTCCGAAGGTTCAGGACCTAAAAGAAAAGGAGGCCATTAAGCCCAAGGAGACAAAAGAACCCAAGGAGAAGGAGGTCGCCAAGTCGAAGCAGAACAAACGAGAGGCAACACCCAAAGAGGCCGCCGAGCAGACGCCTGCTGCGCTCAAAGCGCAGCTCGCGAGGTCGCTACGCGCCGACGTGCCCGACTGCATTTCACTCAAGGTGCTCCGGAATCATCCGGGCAAGGCCGTGGATGTGCTCGTGATTGCAACGACAGAGCCGCCCGAGGCTAAGCGCGCCAAGGGAGGCCCGCGGGGCATCATGCTGGCGTTCAACGTTACAGACCACTCGATCGCGCCCTCGCAGACGGTCGCGGTGCAGATTTTCCGCCCGCACAAGGCGGCGCTGCCGGTGGTGCACCCAGGCGACGCGATCCTGCTGCGCAACTTCAGCGTCATGGTGCTCACGGGGCGCGGTTTCGGGCTCCGGGCCAACGACGGTTCTAGCTGGGCCGTCTTCGAGCGCGAGAGCCAGGACGACCTACCCCAAATTCGCGGGCCGCCAGTGGAGCTGACAAAGGGGGAGACGTCGTATGCGGCTCTGTTGAAGCAGTGGTACGCCTGCCTGGACGCGAAGTCGCTCGCGCGGTTGGATAAGGCTAACGAGGCGGCGCCGGCGGTTGGCAAGTAAGGGCGTCGACGTATTGTTCAATTGTCTTTGATGCATGGATAGGGATGGAAGATATCACGGAGGTCGCAATGTAAAACTAAACAACTGATTGGCTCGCAGTGTGTACGAGGCAGCTGCCAGAGAATAAAAATGGATCGCATTGAACAAACCAACCAATGTATCATCGGAAAGCCAAGCATGGGAGATCGTGGAGTTGAGGCGGCTACCCCATGGAGAAGGCACGCTGAACCCGTAACGGCAGCGGCAGCAGTCAAGAGCCAGAACGGAGGCCACCTACGGACTGAACCCCGTCGGCAACTCCCCGCCCGCAAAAGTCTTGGTCCGCCCGCTATCCCAGAGTGCGTCTCAACGACGACCCAACCATTGGCGAAGCAGGCATTGTAAGCAGAAAGCGGAGAAACGGACGCACCCCGTTATCTGTTTGAATTGTCACCAGCGTCCCTCCCCCTCCTCCCTTCTGCCCCTCTTCCCGCCGTGCCTTGATTCGCAAAGGAGGACCCGCGGAGACCGTGCCGGGGTGGCTGTTCGACGAGGAAGGACTGAAGGAGGGGCGTGGAGCTGCAAGCCAGGGCAGATTCGAACATAGTATGAGAATCGGAGTAGGTCGGGACCCCACTTAGGCCGGCCGGTTTGGACCCATACCGGCGCCTCCAGTGATTGGGCGAGGAGGATCTTTCCACAGCTTTCCTCCACTCGTGTGTGGGGGGGCTCCTCGTGTCCCAGCGCCTTTGGGAAGCGGTATGTGTTTAGCGGAAGCCAGATTTTACGCCGGCGTCTTGGTGATGGCTATGTGTTGGGGAATGGCAGTTGTGCGCGCCGGATTGTCCATTTGCCGCTTCAGCTTTGGGCGATAGCCGGTTGACAGCTTCGGGTCCGCAAAGCCAGCAAGACACGCTGGCAATGGATAAGCCGTTTTAAGGCGGTCACTGGGGCCTACATACTATTACAGGGGCTTTGACTTTGACATCGGGATGGACTGCCCGGCTTGGTACGGAGGTGGCCTGGGACGGCAGTCGTCATACCAAGAGGCATGCTCGCACGCACGGCAAGTTGTATCGGAGGAAAGGGAGTGGACTGGGTTGACTGGGGCTCTGGGTCTGGCTGACCTGCGACAGCCGAATGTGGCAGTCGGGCTGCGGAAGACAACAAGCAAACACCCAAGGCAACAAAAAAACGAGGCGGTGCACACACGAAGATGCAGATCCGAGGGCTTGAAATCACGTTTGGTTAATCTGTTGCATCCCGCACTCCAAAGTTTGGACGGAGTCAGTCAAGTCAGTCAGGACTGGCTTTTTGAGATGGATGGCCGGGACGTAAGGACGGGAATTGCACGGCTGTAGGTACCACGCACCGTTTCCGCCAGGGACCTTTGCGAAAGTTTCGAGAGGACGCAGGGGTTGGCGCTGACCAAAGCAAAGCTGCTACTGGGGTCTGGGCTGCATCTGGGTGAGGATTCCACCAGTGTTTCCCTTTCATCCAAACTCTTATTGTTTTATTTTTTTTTTAATTCTTTTTTTGTCTGGTCTTTGTTGTCAGGACCAGAAGACGGGATCGTGATCGAGTTGTGGGAGTCGATGTGAACAAGCAGGGGTGACCCGCCGCCCAGTCCCGACTATTGCCGAATCCAGCTGGGCAAATGGAGATATTTCCAGGTCTGGAATGGGTCGTGATTGGACGGTGGCGCATTGATTTTGGTTGCGGCAGCGATTGAATCGGGAATTGTGCATGTTGTCCTTCGGACCAAAGGCCACGGTGGACGAGACGACGGCGAGACGAAACCTTGATGGATCGCGACGACGAGGGGGCGGTCGAGAAGCCGAATGATGAAGAAGCCGACTCTATTCTAATCCTGACGCCAAATCTGACAGAGGAACAAAAAAAACAACGTGGCGGGTGCTTCAAGATATTACGGAACTGCACAACTACCTAATGAGAGAGGGAGAGGGTGTCCTCAAACACATAAAACACCAGACACGCCAGGCCCCAAGGTCGAGACGCTTGACTGCCTTCGGACACGGTCCGTCGCAGCACATCAGCTCGTTGACTAAGGGCAGGGCCTAATTGACCCAGTAGCACGGCTGCACGGGTGCGGTTTGAGATGAAGTGTGAAAAATTGCACAGAGGCTCGTGATGCTTTAAAGTTGGGGGGAGGGGCCACTGGGAGCATGAGGGTTATGATGGGCTAAGAATTATGTAGGCGTTTGTGGTTGGATGCTACGGTGAGGGCTGGTGGACTGCAGAACAGATGGGCGTGATCCTTGACGCCCACACCGGGGCTGACTCGATGGGTCCTGACTCGTGAGGCTGGCGTTGGCGTACCCTACCTAGTAGCTCTGAACAAATTCTGATCAATGATGAACCGGACAGAAAAGGTCAAGGCCCAGCCCCCGGGGGTTTAGCCAACGGCACGCCTGAAAGTCGTGATTGGCCGTCTCCGCAAGGTGGGAGTGGTGATGGGGAGAGCTTTGGATGGGGGGGGGGGGGGGGGCAGGGCCTAGGTTTCCGCGCTCTGGTGGAGGCTGTGGGGAGGGAGTCGGCGGGCGTTCGTGGCTTCTGTTGTCGTCGGGTCGAATGTCGACATGGAGATTGAGAAACGGATATCGGAGAAGACGCCAGGGACGACAAGGTGTGTTTTGCGGTGAAGAAGACGGTCTGCTGGTCGGCTGGTCGGCTGGTCTGGGTATGGCGTGTTATTGCGAGGTTCTAAAGAAGTCAGGCCTCGAAGTTTTGGGTCGGCGGCCTGGCGTGAGCTAGCGTCGATGCGGCACATTGGACTTGGTGCAGTTGCTAAGACACATCACACCCAAAGATGGCAAGCATATTTATGGGGCTTGCCGATAAGTAACAAAGAGGCCGCCTTTCATGGAATGGTACCTATTTGAGTGGAAGCAAGCGCGGCGGGCTTAGGATGGGGGTCGGCATCGAGAGCAGAATCGGTTGGGGGTGGGTGCTGTGCAGGTGCAGCGCGCGGAAAACCAGGTATTGCCTCATGTACGAGGCCGAAAGTGTCTGTTCGACGACAATCGTCAAACGACGACGGGCTTGCACGGCTAACCTACTGTCAAGACCCAGGTCGTCGAGATGCGGCGGAGTGGCCACCACTCGATGGCCTGCCTTTTCATGATTACAACCACAAGACGCCCACCTCCACATGAAAGGCGCCCCTCATGTTCGACCCCTCCCCCCCAACCAAGACTCGAGATGCAAGCTTGGCTGGAAGGAGACAGGGGTCGTGTAGGTTTGATTACGACATCTGCGGGTGTGTTTGTCGTTGGCTTCACATGCGAAGACGGCGGGCGTGGCGGCTGTTGAATGTGGGGGATTGACCGACGCTGACCGTCTGCTGATGCGCGAGATGCGGACGAGATGAGGTCAGGTTGCGTCTTGGATATGATAGAGTTGGAGGTTGTGAGATGCGGTGGCCTGGATTGGCTCGACCGGATGGATGGAAGGAGGAGGGACGGAGGATATATGGGATGGGATGGGACGGGATGGGATGGGATACAACAGTACCGTCCACACGCGAGCTGGCCGTGGCGGGACGGGGAGGCGTAAACTCACGACAGAGAAAGGGGAGGGTGAAGAAAGGTGCTGGTGCCCCGAGCTGACCTGAAGAATGTTCGCGTAATACGCACGGAAGGCGTCCTTTTCTGTAGTCAGACATTCCACAGATGCACGGCTCTTCTCATGTATGTAAGAAGAGGTGCCCTGACATTGCGCAGCGATTGCACTGTGGTGCGGGATTGGTTCCACGCTGGGTTCTTGGCCAATCCTCGGCCAAGGTTCGACAGCAGACAGACAGCAAGGCGTCCCGTGGTCTCTCGGTGTGCAGGTCACGGGTCAACGGACAGGAAAGATGACAGCTCTCCAGGTCAAGGCGGCGCGCAGTTGAAGCACTCGTCAACGGCCGCTAAGACGGACGAGCACGACGGGCAGACGGGCCAAAGGGGCAAAGGGGCAAAAGAACCGGCAGTCATTGCTTGCACCGTGAAAAGTGACGGACAATACATGTTGCAAGGAGACGGGAGGCGTACCTACTGTACAGCACCTACTCTACCTATCGTGGGCGATACGTACCGCATTACAGTATCTTACGTACCTGCCTTGTTCCTCCGTCTCATCCAGTATCCTTGCTTGCTCCATGCCTGACTAACCCGTCCACTCCTTCCCCATTTTTGCACCTATTCACGGCTAGCTTCGTTTCCCCATAATTCGGGTACGTAGTGGTCGCCGTCGGCGCTGGTCCTGCTTTAATCATTACCCTACCTTGCCAGGTGCAGCAAGGTGGTGGCCTCCCTCGTTTCCTCGCCCGGACTAGTCTCGTTGATGGATCGGAGAGTGGAGGGCCCATAAAGAGGAGGTGGAGGAGGAGGAGGAAGGGGGGGGAGATGGGGCCGGCGACCGGGGGGGGCGTGCCTCGTGGGAATTCAAGACGAAAGAAAGAGAGTCCGCTCCTAGCTTCTTGTGTCAAGATCAGTGCTGGTGCAAAAAGATTGATCCCGTTTGAATCATATAATACCTCTGCCCTTCCCCTTCGCACCCCTTGGACCCCACATTCCCGCTTCCCCTTCCACTTGCCCGTAGCTCCGGCTTTTCAATACACATCGAGGTAGAAGTTGCCTCCTGGTTTGGAATTCTCAGAAACACACCTTCCCAAGACAGATCGCGCTCGTCACGAGACAAGACGACCCAGAGACACGCCAAAGTCAACTCATCCGCCCCAGCATTCCTCGCTGAGCGACACCACACAGCTTCTTTTACTTACCGGTTCGGAAACATTCAATGCTCATCTCAACGCGCCCTCGTTCCGCCTTGTTCTGTTGTTTACGTTATTGTCCCACGCCGCGACGAGCCTCTGTTTTGACAACCTCGCCTTTGTCGCCCAAGGCCCGTATATGCGAGCCCCTTCCATCTGATCGAATCCACACCTACTGAGTCCAGTGGTTTGAGTCCACGAACCGTGTCATCTGACCTCGGCCGCTTCCGAGTGCCCAGCCGGCGTCACATCTAAAGAAGCAAACGTCGCCATTGACAAGAATTCCCTCGCTCTCGTAACCAGCCAACACCCCAATTGGCATTGCAGGCAGTCTTTAAATAGGGGAGACTGCTCCAACACGAGACGATGGCGACCGAAACGACCACCGTACCCGCCCTCGAGGCCACTCCCGCCGCCGACCCGGTCACCGATCTATCGGCCTTGACGACTGTGACCGCCGAGGAGCCGGCGTCGATGGATCACCACGACAAGCACGACGACTCCAACGACACCTTGTCGGACCAGGAGCAGGGCAAGAAGCGTTCCTCGTCGACCGCAGACCTGAAGGACGACGCGCCCCCGGCCAAGGTGACGAAGCGCAGAGCCGCCCGCGCCTGCGTGAGTTGTCGCGCTCGCAAAGTCCGCTGCGACGTGGTCGAAGGCGCGCCCTGCGGCAACTGCAGGTGGGACAACGTCGAGTGCGTTGTCCAGGAGAGCCGCCGACGAAAGTGAGTTCGGCCTCTGTCTGCCCTCATTCCTAACCAGCTCCTCGGTGTGGAATCTGCGCGCATCGCAACCTGATTCCAGCCGAGGCATGATGCTGGCCGATCATTCGATTGTGACAATGGTCAACCCAAACACTTCTAACATTTTGCCCAGGAAAAACCTCTTGACTGCTAGCACAGCGGGGCACTTGGGAGCCGAGGCTCAATTGCGCTCCAAGGGCGCAAACCCAATCAACATTCATAGCAGCGCGGAGCTGCGCCGACCCAGCAATGCGTCGGTGGCTTCGGTCAACGGATCAGTTGCAGCGAATCCAGTTCCCGCAGCCGCTGTGCCCCTGGGCGCGACTCCAGCTATTGGCGCCGGAGCTGCAGCTGCGACTGGAATCGGTCCAGGAGTTCTTGGGGGTCTGTCGGTTCCCGGCGGCTCTTCAGATGGGCTCGAGGGTCACGTTCCTCACATGATTTGTGAGTAAATTTTTTTTCTTTCTTGCCTCGTGTCACCTGCTCCTTTCATTTCTTTTTTCGTTCTGTCATGGAAACTTTCCTAGTGCGGGTGCGAGCATTCCGCACCGCACATCCAAATTACCGTCCCTTGCCATGGTTTTTTTTATTGTTTGTTTTTGCGCTGCCCCAGCTCCAGCGCTCCAAGTCCGGGGCTCGGACCGGGGGAGGGGACGTAATGGGGTAGAGTGTGGAGGGGCGTCTTGGACTTTTCCTACCCCGTGACCTGGACCTCCACGTCAGGACTTCTCCGCCTCTTGATTCTTCAGCGTACCCCCCCCCTTTCCGCCCGCGGCCCCGGCTCCGTCCCTCCACGTTAGCCTATAATCCACATTCACATGTCAACCGTCACCACTACGACTCGACTGACCACGAGACAGACCAGCGGTCGGGTTACCGTCATGACAGCGCAGCGCTGCTCACCAAGCTGCAATCGGCCGCAGCCGCAGCATCAGCAGACAGCAACTCTCGCCGCCTGCTGTCGAACCTCCTCGCCCAGGCCTCCCTCTTTGGCGGGATGACCAACGGGGACGGGCGAACGAGTCAATTCCTCGCCTCTCTCGAGGAGCCCGACCTCCACGCCCAGCTCCCGGCTTTTGTGAAACCGCTGCCTGCAAAGATTGCCCAGGAGGATGTCACCTACTTGCACGCGAAGGGGGCCCTCACCCTCCCCGCGCTGCCGCTGCAGAATGCCCTCCTGCAGGCACACGTCGAATACGTTCATCCGTACATGCCGTTGCTTGAGCTGTACGACTTTTTGGCCATCATCAACGCCCAGGATGGGTTGTGCGGCCAGATCAGTCTGTTCCTCTACCAGGCGGTCATGTTCGCCGCTACCGCTTTTGTCGACATGAAGGTCCTCCGCGAGGCCGGCTACCCCACGCGCAAGGCCGCCAGGAAGGCCTTTTTCCAAAAGACGAGGGTGAGTAAACTCAAACAAGGGTCCACCATCACATGCTAAACGTTACAGCTGCTCTACGACTTCGACTACGAGTCGGATCGCCTTGTCCTCGTCCAGGCCCTCCTGTTGATGACGTACTGGTACGAGACCCCCGACGACCAAAAAGACACATGGCATTGGATGGGTGTGGCCATCTCCCTGGCCCACACCATTGGCCTGCACCGCGACCCGGCCGCGACGAGCATGCCGGTGGGGAAGCAGAAGCTGTGGAAGCGCATCTGGTGGTCGTGTTTCATGCGCGACCGCTTGATTGCCTTGGGCATGCGTCGGCCCACCCGTATCAAGGACGAGGACTTTGACGTGCCGATGCTGCAGGAGTCCGACTTTGAGTTGGAGATCCTGCCCGAGGAGAATAAGGTCATTCCCGCCGAGTGCATGCTACTCCGCGATGTCTCGATGCAGCGGGAGCTGGCCGCCTTGTGCATCTCCAAGGCCCAGCTCTGCATCTGCATCAGCCACATGCTCAAGGCGCAGTACTCCGTCCTTATCCGGGACAAAATGCGCCCCGAGAACACGGTTAACAGCACCATGATGCTGTTTCCCAACAAGAAGCTCGACAACGTCGAGAGCGTGACCTCGGTCGACCTCGAGCTCATGGCCTGGGCGGACACCCTGCCGGCCATCTGCCAGTACCGCCCCTTGACGCCGCTCGACATTAAGAACGGGCGATCGACGGTCGCTGTTCAGCGCACGCTGTTGCACATGGTTTACTACACGACCATCTCGGCCCTGCACCGCCCGCAGTTCCTGCCGTCGTCCCCCATCCACGCGCCGACGACCTCCCGGCAGGTTCAGGAGATGTCTCGGCTGAGGGTGCGCGACGCTGCCATGCACGTCACCCGGATGGCCGCCGAGCTCCACCAGCTTCGTCTAGAGAGGTACCTCCCCACCACCGGTGTCACGGTCATCCTGCCGGCAATGATCATCCATCTTCTGGAAATGAAGAATCCCGTGTCGCAGTCGAGAGACCGCGCCACCCGCGGCTTTCGCCAGTGCATGCGCGTCATGGAGAAGCTGCGCGAGATCTACGCCGCCGCTGACTACGCCACGGGCTTTCTGGATGCGGCCCTGCGCAAGGCCGCCATCGACATTAACCTTCAGCAGACTGCTGCGCCCATGACGCAGCAGAACCTCAAGCTCGCCGAACCGACGTTCGGCGCGCAAACGCCCCCACCTGACAACCTGCCGTACATGACGACTGGTGAGGCACTATTCGCCAACAAGCCGAACCCGCAGCGCGATTTTCTTCCACAGACCATCAACGCCGCGGCGCTCGACCTGTCAACCACGAGCCCGCCGCCAACGGAGAAGGACCATGAGTCGGCGCTAGGTGGCATGACGCCGAGTGCCAGTGGCAGCTCCGAGGAGCCCGGCCCGCTCGACCTCGAGTTTCTGCAGACGCAGGAGGAGATTGATTGGAACGCCATGACGGGAACGGAGTTCGACGTTGACCAGTGGTTGCAATTCCCGCCTGAAGGGGTCAACAACTCGGATGAGGGGTTCATGGCGAACGTGTTCGGCGAGGAGAGCATGAATGACGCCATGAACTGGGCAGCAACCGGTGTTGATACGAAAGAGGATGACGGCGCGGCCGAGATCTCCGCCCTTGCCTGATTTTTTACATTTGCTTTAGATAGACTCCTTTGTGAGTAGACGTTGACAATGGTTTACTGGTTTGAAGCATGGTACACGGAGTCGGAATAGAGCAAAAATGGGAGGCTCGGGTTGTTATGAATAGGCGTTTGCGGCTGGGGTCACTGGAGTAGGGGTTCTTTGGTATACCCTCATGCGGCGCCCGGCTTGTCCAACTAGTTGTAATGATTTGAATGAGAATATGAGTTGGAAAACAACGAGTCCGATGGAAAGTACAGTGACAGAGACTTGGTATTACGCCGCTCCAAGCTTGTAAGCGCGTTTCAACCTTGTGAAGCTTGTCTTCAACGCAGTAGCTAGGGTTGCCTAGCCCATTCTGGCGCGAAAGAGATACGTCAGCTTTCATCTTGATTGCTCGCAGGCAGAGATGGTAGCAAAAGCTTCCGCCCGCCTACGGATACAAACACGCCATTCACGTAGACCAGTAAGCGTGGCTCCAAATGAAGCGGCGGTCTCGGATGCCCGGGGCCCCAGTCTCCAGGACCAAGAGCCATGAGGTCGTTGGGCGCAACACTACGCAGGACGTCTTTAGATAAAGGGGCCTAAAACGTGAGTTTCGGGCTCGTTGCCGACAGGTGCCGTCCAATCTGTGGGGTTCCAAGCGGGTCGTTGGGGTTCATACCGACGTTGGCGGCGTCGAAAACGTGAACGTGCCACCCACTCCCTCCTCTATAGTGGTAGACATGGAGCTGTGTAGGCCTGTTGTTGCCAAGAAGTCGTCGTGGGTGTGAGTGCGTGATACTGAGTGGAGGTCTGTTTACTTATGTGCCCAGTCGTCGAGTTCGTGTCGTCCTGCTGATGATAAGTTGTCCTTTGGAGTCGTCCAAAGACCTCTCCTATCCACCGGCACATCAGGTCTTGGGGAGCTGGCTACCACAAAGTTGTCTCGGACATCCTTGAGTACTACCCTATCTTTCTGCGCAAAGCGACTTCATGGTGATGACCGTATGTCGTTGGCACTCGCCCTTCATCCGAAGGGCCGTGTCGCACCGGGTTCGGAAATCATCTTGGTTGGGCAGTGTGATGCGGCAAGTCAAGGAATCCCAGTAGAGCGGATCCGTGGTCCGATCTCTCACCGCAAGTTGGTTTGGATGACAGTCGATGGGGGAACGCAGGCGTCGTCTGAATTATCTCGCCCCGAGGAAGACGGCGTGCGTGTCGCTGGTGTTACCGTAGGAGCAGGATCTGGTGCGCTGCCAATATCCGAAGCCCCATGAGCCACGATCCCTAATCCTGCCAAGCCTGAGTGACCCCGGACATGTCGCCTTCACAGCCGAGTGCACATCCCTCGTGAGAGGAACGTCCTCCGGACGTCTATCAAGCCTATCCGCTTCGGCAGCAATGACCCTGGCGCGGAGTGCCCCGGACTGGGATCAGACGGATGAGAGCATCGACTATACCTCGGCATCCATCTAATACGATATTACTGCCTTGCATCCAGCTGCGGTCGAAGCCTACATCCTACTTGAAGCATATTTGGAAAGCCCTGGCCGTCATGGACGCGCATAGTCGGGGGTCAGTCACGAGTGCGCCACTCTCATGCTGTAATATTCGCGGCCCTGTTAAGTTTTGACAATCACAGCGAGAAGCCGACGTAATACTGCTCAGTTGGTGGCCTCAGATTGACAGGGGCCGATTTTTGTGGTTGGGCTGTGATGAAATTCACTTCTTGGGTCTGCGTAGAAGTTACAATAGCCATCCTCCTCAAACACATTTGGGGGGCACAAGTCCATGACAATAACCTGTGCGTGCGAGAGACTATGCACCGCGAGTTGCGCCAAAGCGTATTGACGATAGCAGTCTGTCGTCAAAGCTTCTCATTCCGAGGTTTGGCGACTGGGGAGAGACATGATATGAGCATAGGTGGTGTGCGGTAGCAAGGATGCGGCTTGAATGAGTGGATCGCTGTTGCTCTTCACCGGTCATGCCCAGTCGGATGGTTTCCCTCCCAAATTTATTGCCCCATTCGGACTCCAGCAAACTCCAAGTGGCGCTAATCTCTTTGCGCCCCCCCCCCCCCCCCCCCCCCCTGCAAGCAAGCCTCACCGCTTTTGCGTAGCTGGAAAGTTTTCTGCATGTGATTTCGAGATCTTCAACATGCCTGATCGCAATTGCAAGCCCTGCACCTTTCGTTACACCTTTTCGGACAACCTTGGATCACGACTCCATTCATTCACCTCAATCACACTAGGTCATGCAACCGCACAGCGACACATTGGGGCATCCTCCTTCCTACATAACATTTGTCTGGCGCTCAGGTGACCTACATATCGTATGGCGCATTGCTGTTTGAATGGATTAGGGAACTTTCAAGATAATGCTGCAGATAATGCTGCAGATACTAGGTAGCAGACAAAGATAGGCAACACGAGTTCCCATTGTAATCCCTATCGGAAAAGCGAGGACGAGCTCGGAGACGAGGCGGCCGGATTGGAATGAAAGCAATGTGGGTTGAAGGATGAGAAATAAAACCGGAGGAATCTGATCCGATACCACACAGACATTTCAAGGACTCAAGCAGGGCCTTGCAAGAGGATACTGGCAGCCCAAACGAAGAAACAGACCATTAAGGCCCTTGAGCTGGAAGAGAAAGAAAAAAACAGACTTGACTGGGCCCCAGGGTTTGGGGCAACATGGAAGCCGATGTCGACACCTAAACCAAGCAGCTATGGGCTTGTTTGGATAATCCCAGACACGCAATCCATGCTTGAAAAGGCAAAGTATGTGGCCGAGGACTGTGGCGGTCAGCTGGAAACCAAGTGTCAGGAACTCGAGACCGACAATCAGGTGTCTAGTATATGATGCTTCTGGAAAGGTCGGCGACATCCATGGGTTGCAAGGCGCCAAGAGCAGCCTGCCTCAGACGGGCAAGGGTCTCGAACTGGTCATTACCAGCCCCACGGTGGAGGGGATGACAGGAACAAAAGAGCCAACATCAAGAAGATGGAGGTCTGGAAGCTAGCATGACTAGGCTTGGCACACGCAACTCAAGGATATTCGCACCAGCTTGGAGGCGTCAAAGTTGGCAATGGAACACTGAGAAACAGCTGATAAATACGGAGCATTTGAGGAAGACCAATAACAAGAGCGCCAAGCAGACTGCAGAAACTTTCAACTCGCGAACGGTACTCTTAGGAGGGACTGAGGTATATTGAAAGCCTTGGAATACTAAAAAAAATAAAAAAATATATATATATAAAAAATAACAGCCTCGCTCGAAAACTCAAAGAGAGAACAGGTGGAGGAAAATGAGTGCATATACGCGTCTGAGGCATCGAGGAACGCCGAGACTTAGGGATTCAGAAAAGCCATGTGGGATCACAAAAACGCTGAGCAGCCTTAGTAAGTGCGTATAGTGCTGCGAGCCCCTCTCTTAGAGTTGGAGACACGGCTCGACGGGAGAGAAGGGCAGCTAGGGGAGGCTGAAAGCTCCCGAAATGGATGAGAAACCCAATGCAGAGCAGATGGAGAGACACAATCGAGCATAACACATTGTTGAGTTATCCTAGTTTATTCATTGGGAGTCTCACAATCCCATTATCACTATACAGGCCATTGTAGAGAGTGACTCAACGCTGTTGTGGTCAAATGCCAGGCCTGGCTGACAGGCGGCATGTGAACTTCGGCGAGATAATGGTGTATAGATCACAGTGGCCAAGATAACAGAAGACTCAAGTTTTCACTATTTCATCCATTTACGAAGCGTAGCCGGATCTTAGTCAACTTTGGAACTTGATGTACCAATTGACGCAGTGTCTAGCTGTCTAGCAGAAAGTTTCTTACGTCAAGCCTGGGGCAATCAAGTGGCTCCTTCGCAGTTTTATTTTCATGACCGTGCTTATTTTTAATGCATGTTTCAACTTAACGGAAGCAGAGCTGTGGCTTTGGAAGATGTTGCGTTACAATATAGCAGCTACAGATTATCCAAGGCTGTGAAGGTGGGCATCTGACCTTGGCGCAACCCATCATTCGGACTGCGTGTCACAACGCTTGAGTAGAGTATGATAAGATGACAGCGGATGATGAGCATTCGTATCTCACCATGCATTCACCTTGACCTCTCTGAGTATTTCCTGACACGTCATCTCAGACTTGTCTCTTCACTGGCGCAAACTGTCTAGAGCGCGAAGGTCTCTACCTGGTGTTTTGTGACCTGGCCTGATCCATTTGGCCTAGACTCTCTTCTAATTGCCTCACATCCTAGATTTGGGCTTCATTGTTCATGCTGTCAGTGAGGTAAATAGTACTAGATAGAAAACGGCTACTGCATGTTCATCGCCCAGAACGTATTAAGGCTCTCAAGAGTACAAGGTTACAAGTATAACCTTAGGTGTACCCCGTCAGGTGTAGTTATTGTGGTGCTGTACCTTGCGCTACGGTTGATCATGGCTGCTCTTCACAAAGGCCCTTTGGACCGAGCTGTTCATGCTAGCTCATCCGTCTCTCTTGTTCTTCAACAAACTTACTCAGGGTCCAAATTGCCACGTTGCTTTTCAGACAACGACAGTGCTTGGTTTCGGGTTGCCACTGGCCAGGCTGGCAATTTGCGGCTGCCTCCGCCTCCCAGGCATACTACATGTTTTTCCGGATTCATCTGGAGGCGCCACCTCCTTCTCTTTTATCTTAAGACTCCCTTGAGCAAGCCATTTTTATCAGAATAGCGCGTGGGCTAGTTTGAAGAAGGTACGCTTATTCGAGATGAGGATGATAAGTATACCGATATGGAGAAGAGACTGCTGCAAAGAGACGAACATCATTCAAGATGCCACGAGAAGCGACGGAAAAGAAAATGCATAGTTAAGCCTACAGACTCTACACAACTCTTAGTATGAAACCCAGTGGCTGGGCTGCAACGTTGAGGTCGTCCATGATCTGGTACACCTTGTGGAAGTCGTTGGAGTGCTGCCATTCCACCAAGGGTCAGAAGCTAAGAGGATTTCCAAAAGTGGGAATCAATTGCCGTTTGCGACTTACGTAGGACGGGATTCGTTGTCCATAGGCCGCTGTCATCATAACGGACGTTGCATATCTGCGGATGTGGTAGTAGAACTCGGTCTCGGTTTGATTCTCCTTGAGGGCATCGTGGGGCAACTGTCCGCTCTCAAACTTTGTCCTGCTTTCAGCTGGTCGGCTACCTTGGGCGACAAGCAATGGTGAATTGCCGTGCGAAACTTGCGCCATTCCGGCCCGTAGTCCATCACCACCATGCGCCAGTCTCCCGAAACCTGGTGCTGAAAGACAGGCATCGGCGGGCGCCCGGAGATCAATGATGACTGTTTATCGAAGACGTCCTTGATAGCTTCTGGACTGTTGAACAGGATCCAACTCCGCAGGCCAATCTGGACTTGGAACACCTCGCCATACTCCGTAGCCCATTTCTGGAATTGGTTACGAGGGTAGGGGCCGAGCTTGTGGGCGCTCCCGATCAAAGGCCAACCTTTGGGCCCGGGTGGAAGGCGGTAACCGGGAGGAACTCGGATGCGGTTTCTGTAGACTGCATACGCAGCTACAACGATGAGAACAATGAGAGTTGCGAATTGCATTGAGCAGTCTTTTAGTGAAAAGATCTGTAGAACGGCCAGACAGTAGGCAGGAAAATTGGTTCCGCGTATGGAGCTGTATTAAATACTCACACTCCCCTTCCCAACAGTCTGGTAGGAGATCACAAACTCAAATTCCTCATTGGGAACAGGTCAGGTTGTTGTTCGAGTCCGAGTTGCCGGGCATTTGGTACATACAGTCCTTTCCCCCCGTGATTTCTACCATGATCTTTCCCGTGACGTTTGCCGTAATCTCTGCCGTGATTTTTGCCGTGATCTATACTATAAGCCGGGGCGCAAGCTGTGGCACGAGCCGGCTTTGCGTCATGCCGCGGTGGTTACCGTGCTCTTCAACTTGCTGTCTCGGTATCTCATCCCTCGGCACCCGGTTCGGCTCACACACTGACAATAAGAATAAGTGAAGCAAAGCTAAATAGACCTTCAGCCCTCCAGACTTAAGCAACATATCCTATCTCATCCTCCTCGTCAAACTGTTTATATCAGATCAGAACACTGTTATCCTCTTTTGACCGTAACGGACTTAGGAATTCTTCACGATGCCGGCTTACATGGCAGTACTCTACCCCAACTCTCCCGATTTCAAGGTTGACCACGAGTACTGGGCAACCACTCACATGGCCATGGTGGAGAATGCCTTCAAGCCACATGTCCTAAGCTGGAAGCTTTTCAAGTATAGTCCTCCCCAACCATGGCACAGCTCGTTCCTGGCTGGGTTCGCAGAGAAGATGGCTGAAAGATTGGACAGGCTCACGAAAAATGCGGACGGTTCACCTCCGGAGTACAGCTATCAAATTATCGTGGAATGGGATTCGTTGGAGAACTGCAAGAAGTGCAACGCGGATCAAGTTCGCAAACAACCGGTTCAAGATGACATTGCGAAGTTTTCCAATGTCCCTCCGAAGGTCATTATGCTAGGGCAGCTTGTAGGAGAAAATCGAACCTGAAGCCGCGACGAGAGCGCTATTCAGAACCTGAGGAGAGGAATGTGAAGACAAACAAGGGTTGGTGTCACTTAACTTAGAGGCCGACCTAGAGGCCAGGCAAATCTACCCCAAAGTACACACCTCTAATTATCAGAAAATACACTGCAACAGTACCTACCCCGCGTAGCCATGTACTCCAGAGGCGCTACCTGATTCCTTAGTGCGGGGTAGCGTGCGGGTTAGCACTAGTTTGGGCCGTCCGCATTGTAAGGTGGCCAGTTTTGATCCGCAGTTTCGGCAAGCGGCTGATGCCCACTGAGGGCTGCTACCAGTCTATTCTGTTAATAGTAGTTTACTTGTCTCCTAGCCTCTGTGGGGTTCTAATCGTCCCATGTTGTTTAGCTACGTGTACTATTGTAGGCCGTTCGCGACGCAGGTCCCAGCCCGGACTCCACGCAGTAGTTAGTATATTGGTTGCTACACTCAGTTATGTTTGTGTTGGCATACCAGGTATAAGAGCTTCTGCACAGAGGTCCGCGGACACTAGCATATTAAACACATACAGTCATGGTGGGACTTGTCGGAATCGTTTCGACTTTTCGTCTACGAGATATGCGCTACGCAGTAGAACTTCTTCTACGGCTTCGACAGGGATGTTCACCCCCTGACGTGGATGCAGGCAGAGCCGATTCGCTGTCGCAGGGATCCCCAGGTAGCGTCGAAATCTATGCGGCCTTCAAGGAAGCCGACGGGGTGCCGGTGTGCGCGCCGGCTACGCGGACTGTAAGGATTACCGACAGCAAATGCAGCCAGAGAGGTATGCCTCTAGGTATCAAATAGGTAGGCAGCGCATAAGCTGGAGGCAGCCGTCTGTCATGAGTTGAAAGCGTTCAGCACCTCTGGCAAAGAAAGCATAGGATGCAATATATTAAAGGCCAGAAAAGGTATAATTTTCCACAAACCGGTTAAACGATCTTTGTAGTAAGCTCTTCTACTATGTAACAAAGCGCGCAATAAGACTTTGCTTAGGAGCCTTGGTAGGTATAATGTCACAGGACAATTCTGCATGGCAAGATGCGCCTAGGTAGGCGTAAACCTCCTGCCCATATTAGCAATGTTAACAGCAGCGCTTGCAAGCGTGCAAGCACTGGCAGACCTTTTGGGCATGTGGCTCAACTGGTCATTGTCAGGCGTAGTCACTGTTAGCCTGTCTGTTACATATAAAGCTTGTAGAACGTTACCTTTGAGAGTAACTATTGCTAAAGTATATTTATACCAAATTAGCTCAGGGATATGTAGGATTATAGATATGATACATAAAGCTTGGTCTTATAGTAAAAAGGATAATCATAGATAATATGTCTTTAGTTTACTTTACGTTTAAAACCTATACGTACAATTATGTAGGTGGCTTCTCTTTAAGAGAGAACTTATCCAACAGGTTTACTACTTGAAAACACTGGATGAACAGGTGCACAAGACGCTCGCGCATGTACAGGAGTCCACAAGGGAACGAATATGCATCGTGCACAATATCAAAGCTTATTCGGCCCATGTACTGTAGCCATTTGCTTACCCTTACAAATTCTGGAATTGACGATTGCAAACATCTAACGTCCTAGTCTGGGTCCTTAGCCCGCCGTAAGCGGCCCGGAGCTATTCCCCTCGGCTCGTTGGCTCGGGCCGCTGACCCCGCACTCCCGGTGGTGCAGCCCGAGGCAAGACAATGTTGGGGAAGCACCGCCAACCCCGACGACCCCAAAGGCCCCCGAAGGCCCCAGCCTCTTCACAGACTCATCTCATCTGGCTTTCATCTCGTCCTCCTCAACCTCCAAATCCCTTTGACCAAACGCCCTTCTCATCATTCAGTCCAGGGACCTCAACAATGGACACAGCCGAGATACCCCGCAAGCTCTGGCAGCATCCGGACCCCCAGAACACGCAAATGTACCGATTCTTGCAATCAGTGAATTCTACCTTCAACCTCAAGATCAAGGTTTGATCCCCCGCCCAAGCCTTAGAACTCCTCCACTGACACGAACCCAGACCTTTGAAGACCTTCACAACTGGGCCGTAGCCAACCGCGCCAGCTTCTACGGCCATCTTTTCACCTACGCCAACTTCATTCACGAGGGGCGTCCGACATCGGTCGTGGACGAATCGCTGCCGATAGACGCCGTCCCTAAGTGGTTCCCTGGAGTGCATCTGAACTGGGCTGAGAACCTCCTCTTCTCTCGAAATGCTTCCGACACCATCGACCACCACGGCACCGCTGGAAAGGAGGACGATAAAGTCGCCGTCACCGAGGTCCGGGAGGGCAATCAAGGCGACGTGCGGAACCTTACCTGGGGACAGCTTCGTCAGGATGCGGGGAATCTAGCAGCCGCCATGAAAGCGCGGGGCGTCACGCAGGGAGACCGTATCGTCCTTGTTGGCGCCAACTCCATCGAGACGCTTCTTGTCTTCACGGCAGCGACCTGGCTCGGTGCCATCTTCAGCAGCTCGTCGACAGATATGGGCGTCAAGGGCATCTTGCAGAGAACCACCCAGGTCGACCCCAAGGTACGTCACTTACTCAGTTCAAAGACGTTGCTGACTGGCCAGTTCATCTTCTTTGACGACGCCACGGTGTATAACGGCAAGACAGTCGACCTAAGAGACAAGATGGCCGAAGTCGCCTCGGGAATGGGCTCCTGTCCCTCCTTCTCCGGCCTTATCTCCATCCCGCGCTTCTCGAAACCGTACGAAGTGACCTCATCCAAGACCGAGACATGGTCCAGCTTCCTCGGCTCTCCATCCGCACCGCCACCCTTCACTCGCATTCCGTTCCACGCCCCGTTCCTCATCTACTACTCCTCCGGCACGACGGGTATCCCCAAAGCCATCGTTCACACCGTCGGTGGCGTCATGCTGAGCAGCTTCAAAGAGGGGCGTCTGCACGAGAGTATATCGCCAGAGTCTGTGTGTCTTCAGTACACCACCACCGGCTGGATCATGTACCTCAGTAACGTATCGGCGTTGTTGGCCGGGGCCCGCATCGTCATGTACGACGGCTCGCCCTTTGTTCCTGATCTGACGTCCTTCATCCGGATCCTTGGGGAGCAGCGCGTGACGAAGCTAGGTACCAGCCCGAGGTGGATGTACGAGGTGGCCAAAAACAAGATCAGCCCGCGGGAGGTGACAGACCTCAGCTCGCTGCAGATCGTGACCAGCACAGGCATGGTTTTATCGAATCAGTTATTTGAGTGGTTCTACGATGCTGGCTTCCCGAAGCACGTCCATCTGGCTAATCTCTCAGGCGGCACGGACATTGTGAGTTTTCCGTTCACGGCTTTTCCTTGCTAACATGATAGGCTGGCTGTTTTGGTATGGAGAACCCCCTCGACCCCGTGTACGTTGGCGGAACACAGGGCCCCTCTCTTGGTGTGCCCATTGCCATCTACGATGCCCAACTCCAGAACGGATCGGGCAAGGCAGTACCCCACGGAACACCTGGGGAGCTTGTTGCAACGGCCGCCTTTCCCAACATTCCGTGCTATCTCTGGGGAGATGCTGCTGCGACGTCATCGTCCCCAACAAGCTTTGCCTCAGCAACCCCGGGGACGAAGTACCACTCGGCATATTTCGCCCGCTTCAACCACGTCTGGGCTCACGGCGACTTCTGCTCTATCCACCCCAAAACGGGCAACATCTCATTCCTGGGACGTGCTGACGGCGTGCTGAACCCGAGCGGCATCCGGTTCGGCAGCGCCGAGATCTACGCCGTCATTGAGCGGAACTTTTCCAGCAGGGTCGTTGATAGCCTGTGTGTTGGGCAGAGAAGACCCAGCGATGACGACGAGAGCGTTATGTTGTTTCTTCTGATGCGAGAGGGCGAGACCTTTGACCGAAGGCTGGTAGCAGAGGTCAAGGATGCCATAAAGAGGGAGCTGACGAAGAGACACGTGCCGCAATATGTCTTCCAGACGCCCGAGATACCAGTGAGTGACGTTCGTCTTGGGACTGAGCAGCAGCTAACAAAGTAGACAACCGTGAACCTGAAGAAGGTGGAGCTGCCGGTAAAGCAGATCGTGTCAGGCCACAACATCAAGCCGAGTGGAACGCTGCTCAACCCACAGAGCCTGGACTTCTACTACCAGTTTGCCAAGATTGAGGAGCTAACCGCCGGCAAAGAGAAACTGTAAGGGCATGGGCGTTAACATTGGGCATTTAGATTAGAGATACAGAACATGTAGACTTGAAAAGACGATTTTTGACACGCCTCGATACACGTTACAGACCTGACAGCGCAGGTTTTTCGACAGCAGCATATTCGACATGCTTCCCACCATGAAGCCCATACCTCCAAATCAGATACCCAGCCGTACCTGCAACACTCCCCAATCCCGTGGCGCCAGCAAAAACCCTCCACCCTCCAACGGTCTTCAACTGCGGCCTCACAGCAACTGCAACAAGCCCCGCCACAGCACCACCATACGTCCAGTCGTCCGTCTCCAGCTGCCCCTGGTTCACCATCAGCCGCCACGCGCGATCGCGCCATTCAATGTCATCGCGCCCCTGCATCCTCCCCACGAGCGCGATACCCATGAGTCCTAAGCCAACGGCGCTGGCTGTGCCCGTCGAGCGGAGGAGTCGAGCAGACCGCAGTGTTGTGGTGAGCGGGGTCGGAGCCGACGCTTTAGCGCCGCGGAGCCGGTTGTAGAGCCCGCCGACGGCGGATACTCCTAGACCCACTACGGCGCCGGTGGTGTAGCCCCGGGTCAGAACGTGGACTGTCAGAATTGTGCGGGCGAGGGGTTGGTCCTCTGCGTAGGCCGCGTGTGGGAAATAGCGGGACATATCGATGAGTGTCGAGTCAGATTGATGCTGTGAGGGTTGTCGAGCTGACGATGATCAAGATGCTGCTGCACTTTGATGTGTAACTTTAGTGATGCTAGGATGGGTACAATGTGCAGAGATTTTAAAAAAAAAAATTTCCTTTTTTTTCCCCTCGACGGATTATGACCTTGACGGTTTCTTTACGATCCAGTGCATCTCATGATGGGGGTGTACAGCCTTTATCGCTTGCCGTTAATCAACGCCGCAATCATTCATCAGCGTGGTCGGCCTTCGAAGCCATCAATTCCCCCGAGTCCGTCAGCTCCGAAAATACACTAACGAGCCGAATGCGAACGCCAACCAACGAGTCGGCATTCGTTACTAAGCGAGAGAGACCAGACTAACCACAAGGGGGCATGGAAGTTGTCCCTTTCCCAATACCACCCACACATCGAGATCATACTTCTCATTACTGTCTAAACCATCACTTTTAATCGATAGCTGGGAACCTCTCCCACCGTGACGCCATGTTTAATGTTGTGCCCGCAGGCTAATCATCGTCAGTCATCTCCATCATGCCCTCCCCCTTCTCGTCTTCGTCTACATGTACCCGCGTCCGGCTGACCTTGGCCTTGCCTTTGACGTCCCGCCGCAGCTTCGGTAGCTTGTTCGACACCCGCTCTCTGGCGGCGGCCTTTCCCAACTCGAGCTCCTGTTCAAAGGCCTCCAGCTCGTCGCCATCTGCAAAGTCAATCGTCGATGTCTCCTCTAGCGCCTTGTTCAGCAACTCTGTGGCAATGCCGTCCTGGGGATTAATGGCGAGCGCCTCGTGCAGCGGTACAACCGCCTTCTCAGGGCGTCCCTCTTCAAGATAGATGAGCGCTTTGGCGCAAAAAATAGCAGCATCCTTACCCCCCTGGCGCAGGACCTCGTCAAACTCTATATGTGCATCCTTCCAGAGACGCAGGCGACGGTACGCGTGTGCGAGGTTCGTTCTCGGGGACAGCCAAGCCTGCGGATCTGAGTCGATCTCGGCGGCAATTTTCAATGCCGCCCGAAAGAACTGAACAGCCTCTTGCGGCTTATCCTGATGGTATTTGACAACGCCCATTTCGTTCAACAGCAGCGGGTCCGTCTTGCAAAGACCGTATGCCGTCTTGAGAAACTCTTCAGCCAACGTCATGTTGTTGAGTGCGTGGTTCTGCATGCCCAAAAACACTTGTGGCAAATGTGTACCCATGAATAGCCTCGCCGCTGTTGAGTATGCCGATATGGCCTGATCGTGCTCGCCCTCAGCGGCAAACGTGTGTGCGAAGCCGATCCAAGCAGGGCCAAAGTGCGCATCCATCATGCTGGCCTTGCTGAAATACCGTCGCGCCTCCGCGATTTTGTCAATCGAAAAGTAGTAAATGCCGACAGCCAGCCACGAGCAGGGCTCCTCCGGGTGGTTGTCCGCCAAGTCGTGAGATACCAAAAACAGGGCGTTTTTCATCTTGAGTTGATACAAGCATGCTAGGTGCAGTGGATGAACACTAAAGTTGTACTTGTCGTCCTCAAGAATCGACTCTGTGATGGCCAAGGCGTCCCGATACCGACACTGCGTGTACAAAAGATCGGCTTTGGCGAGCATAAGGTCGGGGTTATCCGCCAACCGGTAATGTGTCGATAGTGAGTCGCACGCCGCGGTGAAGGCCGAAGGTTCCCTATACTTGGACAGCCGCGTCGTATACAGCATTTTAGTGAACTCTGCCGCTTCCTGTGATGACGAAACGTCCCCTGCCACGGTGATTGCATCGAAGTCAAGGGACTCGAGAAACGCCCACTCCTCGTCGGGTGACAGCAGGGCGTTCGTCATGAGCTGCTGGAACGCCTCGAAGCACTGCACGTCGATCCGCACTGCGTCTTTGTAGCACTCCTTGGCCCGGTCAAAGGCGTTCTGCTTGGCGTAGCAGATACCCCGTAGGTAGCACATGGCGGCCTCGTACTTCCTGTTTGTAGCTTCCTCCTCGGCGGCATCATCGCGAGCCATCCTGCCTCTGTGGCCTACCGCCCGTCCCAGGGGTGCCGTGTTCGTCTTCCGCTTGTTGCTCGCATTGTTGATGAGGTGGGTCGGGTTCCGCTCGCCAAGAACGGCCAATGCTTCGTCGAACCTCGATTGCTTCACGAGGCAGTGTGCAGCGAGGTATCGGCAGGAAACATTGCGGGCGACGAGGTCTTGTTTGGCGAGGAATGTCTGGGCGCGAGTGTAGTTGCCGGTTGCGAAGTGCACTTGGGCCAGCCAGAAGGCGTCCTTGTCGTCGTCTGCGAAGCACGTTAGCGACGGTCTGTCAACTGTCACCATGACCTACTCGTCAGGGCCAGCAGCTTGTCGCCGATGAAGATGGCGGAATCGTACTGGGCCTTGTTCAGGGCATCCTGCCTCCATTCCCGCAGGAACTTTTCCATGACGAGGCAACAAACTAGTTTGGGGGCATGCCGAGGACGACGTTGGTGAATTTGCAATCGACGTCGGTGGATGCTCGAGTTGACGTTGATGCCGATCTTGGGTGAGGTAAGCGCGTCGCGTCGTGAATGGACTTTCTTTTCTTTGGATGACGGGCAGGAATTGGAGGGGACGTGGATGCACTGTGCACCGGCGCTGCCAGGGGTGTGGGCCGAGTAAATGGCGGGGTAGGCCAACCAGACGACGTCTCTCAGGTACACCACGTGGTGCCTTTCTTACACTGGTGGTACTGGCAGAGATTATGATATCAGGTTCAAGAAGATGCTATTGTACTCTGGTCGCCGTGGTGAGGCTTTGACGTGCACAACAGCAGGTCTCGACTGCTTCCATCAACTCCATTGCCTCCAATGCAAGGCAAGTCGGCGTTTGTTTCAGGCCATGTACGCTCTGGACTTCCCCATCCGACGGCTACGGGGTCTTTTGACAGCAAGACATCGTCTCAAGTGCCGGCGGGCAGATTGATGGAGGTCGCTGTTGGGCTTGGTGTATGCATCAACGCACCTACCAATCCGAAAAATGCAAATGGAGAAAACGTCGGGCAGTCCCCCTCGCGCCCAATGCAGTGGACGACGGGCGGCATGGGCGTCCCCAGCCCCGAGGCCACTCGCTGTGACCTCACTATGGTACGCCGTTCCAGCGTGCCCGCCTTTTCACAGCCGCTTCTTATTGGCCAGCGGCTCAGGTGGACCCATCAGGGGTAAGGCTAACCTGGGCTAAGCGAGGCGCTATCGCTGTATCCGCCATCGATAACAAGGTGACGACTAAGGTCAAGAAGGATGGGGCATCAAGTATCCGTATTATTTTTTTTCTCTTCAAGCTGTTCATTGTTCTCCATCAGTCGATAATTCGCCTTTCTTCTGCCGCCTTACCACATCTCTCTCAACACCAAGCACCTGTAATACCCGCAACACCGCATCCCTCGAGATACCACCGACGCATCCTCCACTAAGAACCCCGATCTCCTCGCACCGAAGCTCTCCCGCCTGCTCCAACCGCCATCCAAGAAGCCCCTGCACCAGGCCCTCATCGACTGCCCTGCCCGCCCGCCCGCCCGCCCGCCGCCGCTATCCCGACCTCATCGCGTACCACTCAACCACCCGTCCCAGCCGCCACAACTGCGACCAGAACCCCAAACCAAGGTGCCGCCGCCCTTGCAGAATCGGGGGATTGAAGAAAAACACATTTTTCAACCCGGAAGTCGTCGAAAGCAGTCCCCATGGATAACAACCTATGGACCCGCCGCACAAAGTGAGTCTCCTGCGTTTCCCCCACATCCTCACCGCTGACCTTGCAGCTCTGGCAAGCTTTCACTCTCGACAAATGGTAGTCCCGCGCCGGGCGGTGACGCCGGCCGTAACGGCTCTTTTGCCAAGCGATTCGGCGGCGATACGTCCTCACACGGCGGCAAGTCAAATCCCTTCAACAACGTAACGACCCCCGGCGCCGGTGGCATGGCGTCACCCACGGCGGGTGCGGCCAACGCCTTCGGTCTGGGCTCCGGCGCCTTCGCTTCCTTCGGATCCGCCAAGACGCCCAAGTCCCCAGGCAATCCGTTCGACCTCGCCATGGGCAAGATCGGTGCGAAGCCTGCTGGCGCGACGTCGTCGCACGACTCGGCGGCCAAAGCCCCGTCCGTTGCCTCCATCCCCGAGAAGAAGGCCCTGGGCTCCCAGCCAGTATCGACCCGGACATCCTCTGAGACGCTCCGCGTCCACCCCCTCAAGTACGAGTGGGTGACGTGGTGTCGGCCGCCCCAACCCAAGGGCCAGCCGTACCAGGAGTACGCCAAGTCGCTGACGCCCATGATCCACTGCAACACCGTCGAGGAGTTCTGGGTCGGCTACCCGCACCTCAAGCGCCCATCCGAGCTGTCGGTCGGATGGGAATACCACTTCTTCAAAAGGGGCATCCGCCCCATCTGGGAGGACGAGGAGAACAGAAGCGGCGGCAAGTGGGTGCTGCGCCTTAAGAAGGGCATCGTCGACCGATACTGGGAGGACAGTGTGTTTGCACTCCTCGGCGAGGCCTTCATTGACGCCAGCGAGGAGGTCTGCGGTGGTGTCGTGAGCGTCCGCAACGGCGAGGACATCATCAGCATCTGGACGCGCTCGACCGGTGGCCGCGTGTTGAGGATCCGGTAGGTCGTCTCAACCCCTACACAGAACGCAGCTAACCGTCGCAGCGAAACGTGGAAGGCGTACCTTAAGTGCCCTCCCAACACGCAGTTCGAGTTCAAGTCCCACGACGAGAGCATCCAGCACCGCGCCGCCATCGAGGAGTCCCGCCGCGAGAAGCAGCACGACAAGCGCGGCAAGCAAGCCACCGAAGAGCAGAAGCCCGCCGCGTCCTGAGCACCACCTCCCACGGAACGCCACCCTCTTGCATTTTTTCCAAGCCATCTTTGATGTTTATTTGTACACTATCAGGTCCCCTGCGGCGGATCTTCATAGCATTCGGGTTGAAACTCTGACAAAAATACACCTTGTTGGGATGAGGAATATCGGGTTTGGACATATGGAGTGCCGAAAGGCTCCCTTTTCTGGATTGTCGATCTCGGAGACGGGATCGAAAGTGACGGGGGGCGGCGGAATGGGCAGCGGTCAACGTTTAGCGGTCACGTTTTATGGATTGCGACAGGTGGTACTGGATTGGTTTGACCCTCGAGGTGTACACTACTGCGATCTGGGCGCATGGCTTATGCCAGCTGCGCGATCTGACCGTATGATAGTCTCAATGACTACGAATGAGCCAGTGATGTCTGTTTCGCCGTGATGGCGCTGCTGTTTGCTGCTCTATTCATACATCACGCCCTTTTTGGCGTCCTCCGCCTCTCCCAAACCTGTAAATACGTCTCGCCAAGGTACAGCAGCTCGCTCTGCACCTTCTCAACGAACAAATCTTGACACGACACCCACTCGTCGCGTCCCTTGTCCTTAAGCTGCACCTTCCAAGTCTTGCGCTCCTCTCCGCTATCCGCGACATCTTCCTTGGCGCGGACGGCCTCGTGCACAACATTGGCGACGAGGTCGTACCAGATGGGCTCGCCAGGCGGCCATTCGCCTGGGTTCGGCTCCACATATGGGCTTACATCGAGCCCCCGCGGGTCGAACGTGACGATCGTGGGGTTGCGCTCCGAGACGAATTTGTTCTGACTGAAGCGTTTGACGTGGAGGACGAGGTATGGGGGCAAGGGGTGCAGCAGGCGATACCGCTTGCGTTGTGCGAGGTGCTCCTGCGCGTGAATGCCGTCGTATTTCGATAGAATTGTTGTCAGGGGCACCTGCGGGATGATATTCCTCTCGAGTTCGTCTTGGAAGAGAGGCGCTGCGGGGAGGTCAAGGGTCAAAAACATAAACCGTGATGTTGCCACCGAGACAGCGGCATCTTCAAACCGCAGGCGATCGCCCGCATCAGCCCTCGCTGTGATCGCCTGCGACTCAACCTTGAGCTTGCCTTGAAAGATCCGCTGAACAACAGAGCTCCCAGGTTTCGTCTTTGACCCACCCAGCCCCAGATGCAGGTTGTTCAGAAACCACGATAGAAACTCCACCGGATCGGACTGCGCCGTCAGAGTGTACCGCTTATTCGACAGCAGCGAGATCTCCTGGAGCAGTTCGTGCGGGGACACATGTGCCTTGAAGGCGCGCGGGTTCCAAATCTTGCGCACCAAAATGCCAAAACGCTTCGCCAATTCCGATCGCGATGATAAATCCTCCAGGAGACAGAAATTTCTCAATGGCACGACGTGCGCAAGAGCCTGCACAACGACATTCAGGTAGTCGTTTTCCTTGAGGTTGTTCATGCCCACAAACCCCGGCGCGTACTCCTTGCCAGCCAGCGTGAACGAGGCACGCAGTGGCGGCTTGTCAAGCACGGCGACTTCCTGTTTCGTATACCGTGGATCCGACACAAACTTGATGTCATCGAGCGACTTAGACTTGACCTCGTAGCCCTCGGGGAGCACGTACACCTTCTGCGTCTGCATGTTGATGAAGACGTGATGGTTCTCATCGAGGGCGTGGAAATAGGCATGCGATTTCGGCCCGCGGCCCTGGTAGTAGCGCCCGCATACGAGACACGCGTAAACGTTGATGTTGGACAGGCTAACGGAGCACAGCTTCTCGAAATCGAAATCGAGCACGTTGCGGTCTATCGTGTCAAGGTAGAGGTCGTCATAGCCATCTGTCGGCGCCGATTGGCGAGTCGGAACCTGGAGGGGTGTTTCTTCGTCGACGTCGCTGTCGTCGGCAGGTTGTGGTTCGTTTGTGGGTGTTGCATTGCCATCATGGCCATTTTCGAGGGATCCATTCGAGATGAGGGAGTCGACGGTTCTCGAACGCTTGGAGGCAGGAGAGTCTATACCAGCAAGCTCATCGAGAGGCTCTTCTGCATGGCGTTTCCTGTGTGTCATTGTGTGTGTATGGTGTGTGGGGGTATCAGCTGTCGATAACGGTTTTCGTAGGCTGAAGGTTGAGGTTGAAGGCGTGTATGGAGCAGTGTTTCCCAGCCGCGATTGTAAGGCTGGAAAAAGTCGCCAGTCTACAGTGATAAGCGCACACCCCCGCTTTGGGCTGCCACGCCCAGAGCTTGTTTACAGCGATTCTTTCTAGGAGGTAACTCCATGCGACGACATCGGTCAAGAGGACAGTATCACGACTTAACAATGTGATAAAACAACGATCGACATATCATGGCTTACAGTATGATATCTCGTGGTGTGATCGGATAGCTGCCGAGAGGCAGCAATCGACTCAATCTCAGAGCGCACGTAAGATATGCACATGAGTGGCGCAATCAACATTACTGTCCAATGACATTCGACCCGAGACGACACCCAACTGGGACGCATCAAGTGCAGCCTTGTCTGATGGTGGGGGGCTGAATGCTCTCTTCAGGATAACAACCTCTGCTTATCTTACGTTGGCTTTGACTGGCTTAACTCCGTCAAGTTGCATCGGAGGAGCTACTTCGACCAAGGTAATATTCTGCCCTTGATGACAATCTGCGATGGCGACACATCGCCCAAGCCGCCGCGATGATTTCCACGTAGCGGTGATATGCGCTCTTCCGCTCGAATATGATGCCGCTGTGTTGGCCTACGATGAGACTTGGGCCGGCCTTGAAGACGATCTTGGAAAGGCTGCTGAGGATCCAAACACCTATACACTAGGCCGTATCGGCAAACATAACGTCGTTCTGGTTCTTCTCTCAGGCATGGGAAAGGTCAACGCGGCAAGCGCAACATCCAGTCTTCGCTCCAGTTACCAAGAGCTCAGATTGGCCCTTCTTTGTGGCATATGTGGCGGCGTCCCCAGCACAGATGGCACCAACGAGGTCCTTCTTGGGGATGTGATTGTCAGCAACAGCGTCGTCCAGTACGATTTGGGACGACAGTATCCCGGCCAGTTCGCACCGAAAGACACCATCGGGGACAGTCTTGGAAGGCCCAACAAGGAGATTCGGTCACTCCTCATAGCATTCGAGACGCACAGGAAACGACAAGAATTGCAGCGGCAGGTTTCGCAGAATCTGGCGGAAGTCCAACGGAAGGCAGTCAACGATGGCTATGATGTTGATTATAGCCAACCCAGAGTCGATGACATACTCTTTCGGTCGGACTATCTACACAGACACCGAGAGCAACAACAATGCGGTTGCAATGAATCCTATATCTGTGACAAAGCGGCAAAGGCGCCGTGTGAAGAGCTCAAGTGCGACGTCCGCCACCAAGTATACAGAAAGCGTCTGCAAGGCCAGGGAAAGCAGCAACCTCCTGCCGAATCCCAGAGGCCTCGGGTTTTTGTTGGCCAGATCGGATCAGGAGACACAGTCATGAAATCAGGGCAGCATCGCGATAGCATTGCAAGGGAGCACAGTCTGGTTGCCTTCGAGATGGAGGGCGCTGGGGTATGGAACGAGATACCATGTATCATCGTTAAGGGCGTATGTGACTATGCCGACAGCCATAAAAACAAGTATTGGCAGGATTTTGCTGCTGCAACGGCAGCCTCCGCGACCAAGGCTCTACTTAGACAGTTTGCGTCAACATCAAAATCTGATGCCCGGGTAATAGAGAACAAGGCAAATGAGATGCCTCAACCAAAATGTAAGTCACCATTCATGCACTCACTGTACACGGCTTTGCTAAAACACTATAGTCATTGTTCCATACGTCGAAAATCCGGACTTCGTGGGTCGGGACATTATTCTCGATCGTATCAAACAACAGTTTGGCCACGCGAAGGACCAGAACAAGACTGCCCTGAAGCCACGTACGAGACTGGCACTTCAGGGCCTTGGCGGTGTTGGGTATGGATATCCCTTTACATCTGCCGACAGTTACTGACACCAAAGAAGGAAAACCCAGATCGCGCTGGCCTACGCTTACTGGCTGCGAGAGACTTACCCAGAAGTGACCGTACTATGGGTTCATGCAAGTAACCATCAGCGCTTTCGCCAGGCCTTCACCTCCATAGCTCAAGAGTGCAACATTCCCGGTCACAACGATGCTTCGGCCAACATCTTTGTCCTTGTGAAGGAGTGGTTGGAGAGCAAGCGGAGTGGCCAGTGGTTGCTGGTCATTGACAACGCCGATGACAAGGACCTTTTCCTCCCGCCAAAGGCTGGGGAAAATGATTTTGGTGCCGATGCCCAGCCGTTGACATCACAAGGAGGCCTGGGTCGCTATATCCCCGAGTGTGCTCATGGATCTGTTCTCATTACGACGAGGAATAAGCAGGCCGGACTAGGGCTGACCCGTGGACAACTACCAATTGAGGTCAAGAAGATGACCGAGCCCGAGGCACACCAGCTATTGTGCTCCTTGCTTGGGGACGGTGATATCTCTCCTAAAGATGCAATACTCCTTGCATCTCGACTCGAGTATCTGCCATTGGCGCTCGCACAGGCTGCTTCGTTCATCCTCATGAACTCACTCTCGATCGGCGAGTACGTCCAGTTGTTGGATAAGAGCGACTCGAGTTTTGTGCGCCAGTTGAGCACGTATTTCGAAACGGTAGGGAGAGATTCGAACACCCCGCATGCGCTGACGGCCACCTGGATGATTTCGTTCAACCAAATCGAGCAGCGACATCCGCTAGCAGGTAAGGTCTTGTCTCTCATCAGCATATTCGACCGTCAAGCCATTCCGGGAGAGTTTGTTCGCAACTACTGTTACGAGCAACGCCAAGAGACTTCGGACAGCGAAGTTGGCTCTGATGTCGCCTCTGATGGCACCTCCGATACCACCTCCGATGTCACCTCCGATGCCACCTCTGATGCAACCTCCGATATTGCGGCTAGTACGGCTTCCAGAGATGACACTGAAGTTGAAGAAGAAGTCACAACAGCCTTGGGGACCCTTCAAGCCTTTTCCTTCATTTCGAAGGCAGCTGAAGACACGTATGATATGCATCGCCTAGTGCAATTAGTGACGCACAAATGGCTGCTTCGAAAGGAGATGATGGCAGGTTTCGCCCGAGATGCTCTCAAGATAGTAGATCGAGCATATCCATATGGCAGCCACGAGAACCGGGAACTGTGTCTGAAGTATCTTCCTCATGCGCTGGCCGTCATAGGGCGCGCAAGGGCATACTCTAGAGAGGAGCAAACAGCAACTGCATATCTCGAGCACAACGTGGCTGCTTATTTTTTCTATCGAGGGCAATATTCAGATGCGGAGCAGCATCAGAAACGTGCACTAACTTTGGCGAGGGCCGTTCACGGGCAAGAACATTCAACAACTTTCCGGATAGTAAACCTTTTAGTGAGGATATATCAAGCACAAGAGCGGGTAGAAGAGGCAGAAAAGCTTCTGTTGCCTACTTTAGAGATGGAGAAAAGACTGATGGGCGAAGATTACGACGGTACATTGGCTACCACGCACCATCTCGCCCAGGTATACTATACGCAAGGTCGCCTCCAGGAAGCCGAAAAGCTATGCTTATTTTTGGTTGAGAAAAGCGGTCCAAATGAGGAGGACCGTGGGCTGCTAGATAGTACACATTTGCTAGCTGATGTGTATGTCAAGCAGGGGCGCTTAAAGGAAGCGGAAAGCCTGTATTTGAAAATATTGGAGATTGACAAAAGGGTACTGGGTGAAGCGCACCCTGACATGCTGAGCACTATGGATAGTTTAGCGCGAGTGTACGGGGAACAAGGTCGGCTCGAGCAGGCGGAACACCTGCGTCTACAGACGTTAGACATTACTAAGGGTTTGTTTGGGGAGGATCACCTCCATACGCTGATTACAATGTACAACCTGTCGCTGGTGTATCTGAGGCAGGGCCGGCTTGAAGAGGCAGAACAGCTACTCCTCGAAGCAGTAGAGGGACAGAGAAGGATACTAGGGAAAGACAGTCCCGATACTCTGATGAGCATGTTTGATCTGGCGATGGCTTACGAGAAGAAAGACTGCTGGGAGCAGGCGGGGCAACTACACCTACAGGTATTGGAAATACGAAGGAGGACGCTTGGAGAAGACCATCGCGATACGCTCGAAAGCATAGCGGAACTGGCGCACGTCTATGACTATCAGGACCGGTTCGAAGAAGCAGTGGAGCTGTATACACAACTGCTAGAGCTAAGTAGGGAAGCATTAGGAGAAACACACCCCGAAACTCTAGCAGCAGAGAGCACAGTAGCCCGCTGTTGGTGGGTGCAGGGCAGGCGGAAGGATGCAATTCGGTTGATGCGAAAATGCGCTCGCAATCGAATGAGACACGTTGGTTGGGATCATCCTCGCACACTCAGCTCCTTCGAGGCCTTATCAAGGTGGGTAGAAGAGGCTAAAGAAAGCCAAGATGACAATTCCGAGGGAGACCCGTGGGAAGACACGAACGGATTGGAGGAGGATACAGAAGAAGGTTCGGGGAATGATATAGGTCCAAAGCGAGAGGACGATGCAGACTCAGAACAAGAGGCCATGAAAAGCATGGACGGAAACTCCATGCAAGGCTCACGGGAAGATTCGAACGAGCCAGAGGAAGATACAGAGGGGGGATTAGGGGACATCGCAGGTAGAGGTTCAGAGGACAACGATGTAGATGAAGACTCGCCCGTCAGGACGGCTTCAGAAAGGGAAGTGTGGGACGCAGGAGCAGCAGGTTCGAGAATCCTGCCGGCATTGACGCAAAACCCTTGGAGATTTGCAGGAAGGCTTGGGCTAGGTCTTTCCTTATCCTCACGACCGAAACCGAAGGACGGACCGAACATATAGATGCGTGGCAACACCACGACACCAAACATGACCCAAGCAAACGCATATAGACTCATGTTAATAAGCCCAAGAAATGCAACTCTATAACATTGATTGACCTTTACAATTATCTATCACATCACGCCATGACGGCATCGCCCTCCGCCCCTACGACATTCTCCATCACCACATCCTCTATCGCAGGCGCGAGACTGTCCATTTCCCGCAGGGTATATTCCACCAGGTAACTCTCATCAACTAGCTCGTCCGTCCGCCTGTAGTGCCTCTCTGTATACACCTTGAGCGCGTTGAGCACCTCCTTGAGGCTCTTCTGCCCGCGCGCGCCTTTTACCGAGAGGTTCGAGAACTTGGACGCCGGGTAGCTACGGACAAGGGTCCAGAGGATGCGTTGGGCTACCGCGGCCGTCCGCGCGTTGGTGTTCCAGTCACGCAACCGCAGTAGGAGCGTGAAGATTTGCTCGTCAGAAAGCGTCGCCAGGACCTGGTCGACCGCCTTCAGACCGCACAGGCTGCCGGGCTCGGGGGCGGAAGTCACGACGGACGTGAACAGGCTCAGCAGACGCCCGGGGTGGTTGAGCTGCAGAGCGAGCACGATGGCATCGCGGTAGGACCCGTGGTGAATGTGGTTTTCGAGCTCCTGCTCCTGCTCGATTAGCTTCTGCGCCGCCTCAGTAGCCGCGGCTTGCGACTCGGACGTGGTGTCCTTCCAGAAAGTGACGATGGAGTCGCCATCGCCCGACACGATGGTGTTGTCTGCCGAGTTCACGGCAAGGGCCCAGATGCGGTCCTCGTGATTGTCGAGCGTCGTTTCCGTCTCGCCCGAGTTGGCGTCCCAGACCTTGACAAGGCCGTCGCTGCCCGCGCTGGCGAACTGCACTTGCTTCTTTCCCTTGCCCTCAGGCTTAGGCATGTTGAGCCAGACCACCTTGAGGACGCTGTTGGAGTGGCCCTCAAACGTGCGGATGCATGTGTAGTCGTTCAGGCTCCAGATCTTGACGGTCTTGTCGGCACTGCCAGTGAGAACAACGCCCTTGCCGGCAACTTGGCCCTCGTCGCCTTGGATCGCAGGGCAGCCGGAGGGGGCGAACTTAACCGACCACACACCTCTGCGGTGGCCGCGCAGAATGCCCTGGACTTCACCCTCCACCACCGACCAAATCTTGACCATCTTGTCCTGCGATGAGGACGCAAAGAGCTGGCTAGTAGAGTGGACGTCCATGGCGTTGATGTCCTTGTCATGCGCTTTCCTGGTAAAGACGGCGCGAGATCCTCCCTTACGACTTTGCGCCTCCCGGGGGATCTCCCATTTCTTGACGGTCTGGTCCTGAGAGCCAGTGAAAAGAAACGGCGGGGGATGGTTAAGGGGGTCCTTGAACTGTGCTGATGATTCTTGAGGGGGTTGCTTCGGTAGTGCGACAGCACCGACCGATTCCGTGTGACCAGTGAATGTGGCGTAGCATGTGAAGGAGTTGTTCGCGGGGTCGACACGCCACAGGCGAGCGGTGTTGTCCTTTGCACCGGTGGCAATCCAGTAGCCGGACCAGTCAACGTCCAAGGAGACAATGATGTCGTCGTGGCCCTTGAGCAAAGCCAAGTCCTGGCCGAAGTATGTCGACTCGGAGTCCTTGACAGACACAATCCGGATATCCTCGGCGTTCGTTGCCAGGGCAAGGAGCGAGCGGTCAGGCAGGAGGTAGTTGAGGTCAATAATTGAGTCGTGGGTTCCAGATATCCGCCTGAAAGGCTCCAACATAGACTCTTCAATGCTGTTCTTCTCCGGCACCTTATACAACGCCAAGGTATGGTCGACCTGGACGCATAGGATGAAGGGTAGCTCGGGGTGCGACACGACACTGACGATGCTCTCCGCTTCGGCCTTTGCAGGCTGATCCTTCGTCAACTCCCGGCCAGTATCGGTGTCCCAGATACGGAGGCAGCCCTTGGCACCAGCCGAGTAGGTTAGACGGCCACCATCGACGAACCCGACAGCTTCGACGAGCTCCAGACACGGCACGACCTTGCGGATCTTCCACGACTTTGCATCCCACCAAATGATCGTCTTGTCTCTGCTTGCTGACACAATAGCGTGCTGTTCGGGAGAGTAATCCAGGCCTTGGACATTCGAAACATGCGAGTCGAGATTCGCAATAACTGCGCGCTTGTGAAGGTCCCACACCCGTACCTTGCCGTCCTGGCTGCCAGACACGAGCCGCCAGTTGGTCGTCGCAGTGACCTCCTCCGCCTGCTTCGACTTCTTGCCCTTCTTTACGGCCGTTTCAACCTCGCCCTCGCTCGAGCGCGCCGCAACTTCGAAGAAGTGCAGCGCTGACACCAAAACGCTGGGCCCGCGGAAGGTGTGCGTAACGAAACCACCAGCGATGTCCCAGACCTTGATCGCTCCGTCTGTTCCACCAGTCGCAAGGAGGGTACTTGTTCGGTCGACGGCAAGGACAACGACTGGCGTTCCGTGGGGCTTCAGTGAGCGGGTGAGCTTGGCCTCTATCGTTCCGTCTTCGGTGGTCTTAAGGGCGTAGATCTTCATCGAGAGGGATCGCGAGCAGACGATGAGGTGGGAGCCGGAGGGCGTTACTGTGAATGTTAGAACATATTTCGATCGTACAGAGGTTAGACATACGACTCAGAGTCGATATTTGTTCGCCATCCTGTAATCATCAGCATATGTCGATTGAAAGGTCTTGGGGCGCATACTCCTTCAATCTTTGCCAGGTGCTTCCCGTTGGAGGGGTTCGTTAGGATAGCGTCTTCGCCGAGCGGCGTGGCCAGAATTTTGGCACCATTGTCCAAAGCGACAGATCCGCCTGTAAATATCGGTCGGATGACCCGCTCCGGCTCAAAAGTCGTCTTGAAAGGTTGTTTGCTCGCCATTTTGCAGGTTGTAGAAGCAATACGATCAAACCACAATGAGCGGCAAGCCGCGGTTTCCATCCCGCCAAAGAAAATTTCTGGACTTCCTTATCGATAGTCCCTATCTAATCGGACCCACTCAAATGCAAGAGCTCCAACTCCACCTTAGGTAGCTTGAAGATCATCGCATTCGATTGCTGGTACCAACAAAATCTTTGGCATTTGATCTTTTGGACTTGGTCTAGTGTTCCTTCGGCACACCACGAACATCACAAAAAACAGGCTCTCTGTCGCCTACATGCGGTCGGCACATACTCACCCAAGATGACGAGGCTCGGTCCCTTGACCGCGCAGGCCCTGGTAGGCATCATTTGCTTGCGTACCGATCTACACTGACTGATTACAGGGCCGCTCACCATTCGACGACGTGGTGGATGGTGAAGGCGAGAACGACCCCCGCGCACCCATACAGCAATACGACAACCGCGGGCGCCCGATTAACCCCGAAACGAAACGAATGAACCGCGACATGGTCCGCTCTCACAACGAGGTGATGCAGGTTATTGGCGTCGCAGAGCCAGACAACACCCCCTCCTCCGCAGAGGTCGACTCCGTACGGCGATACTTCAACTATGAAGATGCTGTCGGTACGCGGCTGTTGCGGTTTGGGCGAGCTCTGGAAATCGCCGGCGTCTGGGGCATCAACGGCATGCGACTGCGCATCCTCCTGTACAAGCGCTACGCCGACATTTCCTTCTTTGAGCTTCTTCAACATGAGGGGAAACAACGCTCATTATCAAGCGCCCTTCTGACCGGTTTACCAACCTTTCTTGGCGGTCACGTCTTTAAGATGGCCACGTACTGGTTCTACCCCTTCCCACGGAAGAACCGCTACATTAACACTGCTCTGTCATACATTCGCGTGCATCTGCAACTCTATGTCTTCCTCCAAAGGCTAGATATCATCCCCTCCGGTAAATGGTTTCCATCGCTGAGTTTCTTCGTCCCCGGATCACCCTCGTCTCCCATTGCAGCTCCGGCACCTCCCAAAGACTTAAGCATAGCTTCGCTGGCGCAGTACGCCGGTGCATGGTGTGTGAATGCCATCCCGTTCGCATCATATGTCATCTGGGGTCAGATCTGGACAGAGGTTACTGGTCATCTATGGCAGGAGTTTTATGGACGACTGCCGAACACAGTGCACCATCGCAAGCCTCCACCGCTACTACCCCCGCCTTCAGCGCCGATCCAGGAGACTACAGAGCTGGTGCCTGATATAGAACCATTGCAGCCTGAGCCCCTTTCTGAGACTGGACACGAGGAAGCCCCTGAGGAGATCCCTCTCGAAGCGGATTCACCCAACGAAGCCCCGATCCAGGCAGTCCGTCGACCGAGCGCATTTTCCGCCCGCGGAGATGACTATGGCAGCGATGACGAAGAGGATGGGGGCGTCAGTGCAACTCTGATCAGCTTCGACGTTGAAGCCACAGACTCGACCGACGCCCCCCCGGGATTGTGGTCCGCCGAGCTGCGGCCAAGCACAGGCCCCGAAGGCTCCGGCTACGGCGCCTCGGTGCAGTACATGGACACTATGCTGACCAGACTACCAGCTTGCTTGGCCTCTGACATCTTCACCGTCATCTCAGGTTATGTCTTGGTTTCGCCCTACGAAGCTGTCGCGTTGCGGCTGGTGGCCAGGTCCTACCGCGAGCGGATGGGCCTCCCCACTTTTGACATCCACGACACCAACATCTTCAGCGGCATGACGATGAGGGGTGTTACAAACTTCCTCGCGCTGGAATTTCTCCATCTGGTGATTGCAGGCGAGCTGTGGGCGCTTATTACGGGGCTTGCTCAGTGGTTCCATCTGACAGAGGAAGAGTGGAAGCTTTTCAATGAAATTGAGGAGGCTGAGGCGGCGGAAGAACGGAGACGACAAGGGCAAGTCTGAATATCTGGGGGTAGAGGGCGTTGAGGTTAAAACATCATCGGGAAGGATTATAAGGTCGGCGTTAGGAGTTCATCACTATGAGATACCTCGAAAGTCAGCTACTTTGGTCACGGCATAGTCTCTCCTTGGGCAACTTGGTTCGATTCATAAAACTCATAACTTTAGGGTATCAATAGTACACCTCATACATCACTCTCCCTATCTCGAGCAGACGATCACCGCTTTTCTTTACTCTTGCCCTTAATCTGCTTGTCTGCCTTCTTCTGGTCGACAAAACCGCGAACAATATCCAGCAGATCAGGGTTCTTTCGTGCCAGTAACACCACATCATCCGTGGTCACCGTGGTCCTCCGTGCATGCCGGCTGAAGCTTTCCAAGTCGCCGGCAACGGATTCTGGGGCTGGTTAGCATCTGTAGCCCTTGGTGCTCAAGTAAAGCCATCTCACCAATCTGGGCCCACACCATCTCGGTCAGCGCACCGATAAATTGCGGCGTGGCATTACAGTCCTGCTTGATGGACTCCTCGTCAACAATCTTGCCGACTGCGAACCAGAGCGCGGCTTTGAGACGCTAATCGTAATGTTAGAGAGGTTCAATAGTGTATCTTGGATGTATTACCTCGCGCTCGTCTTCGCTGGCCATGTCTGCCATGATGTTGTGGTTGAGACAAGAGGTGCCAAGGATGCTCTGCGTTTCCCACTTTACGCGACAGACGCGTCGCGGGGGTTTCGATGCCGGGGAGTCGTTCAGATGTGTCACCGACCCGCAGAAGGATGGATTTTCTCGAACGTTCTTTTGTCGAGTACTAATTCAAGTCGATAAAAGAGGCGTCCAGTTCATAGTCTGGAGTCGCGAAACATACCTGTCGCTTCTAGGAATATTAATCAGTCAATGATGGCTGGATATCACATGATGTCGCGACAGGCTCGTGTACCGGCTGACTAAGCATTATAGCACTTTCAATGCATCTACACGCAGCCTCGCTCCTAAGCATTCGACAATGACACTGATGCCCTCATCATCATTCCGTGCACAGTTCCCCAAGATTTAATGTTAGACAGATAGTCTCTGGGCCACTTCCCACGGGGTTTCCTGCAACGAACTAAGAGCTGCACTGTCTTAGACTCTGTCGCAGCAACAACGCGCTGTGACATCACTAACATCCCTGAAAGACCCTTGGGCGGCAGCGCCGAGCTTCCAGCGTTCTCCAATGCTGTGCCGTCAATTGGCCAAATTTAGCGGGCTCCCCACGTGGGGCCTCTGAGCGCAATTTTGACGCCGTGCGGCCCGACCTCGAGCGTCGCGACATTTTCTTCGGCCTCGGCCTACCATTCTGCATCTCCGATTTCTTTTGTTATTTTCCTCTCAGCAGCTCCATCTAAGGCGCATCGCACCTACGGCCGACAAACGCCTTGCGAGTACCCATACAGCCCAGCCGCGAGCAGTTTTAACCCACAACCCACGAAATACACTACCGCAACCACCCACCACCAAAATGGCCACCATCTTGAACCTCCTCAACATTGCTTGGACGCGCTTCAGTACCAACTTGCGCGGCACGCTCGATGGCATGAGCACCGAGAAGTGGATTCGTCTCGTCATCATTGTCGGTGCCTACTGCCTCCTCCGCCCCTACCTGATGAAGTTGGCAGGCAGTGCGCAGATGAAGCAGCACGAGACCAAGCCCGAGGATGAGTGGCTGGGCCCTAAACCAAAGGTCCAACCCAACACACTGCGTGGGCAGGTCGAGATCCCCGAGGACAGCGATGACGAGGCCGTCGAAGCCGCCGGATCGACGACAGCTACCGAGTGGGGCAAGAAGGCGCGCAGGAGGCAGCGCGAGGTGCTTAAGAAGATGATTGACGTTGAGGAGAAGCGTTTGGCCGAGTTGCAGGAGGACGATGAGGACAAGGATATTGAGGAATTCTTGGTCAAGGAGTAAGGGGCAATGGGTTGGAGCGGTGCTTGTTGGCGTTTGGGCTCCGATGGCTACTTAGCATCACTAATATCAATACGGTGCTTTTTTGGCTATGCCATATGACCGGCGGAAGAGTTGTGACAGTGACAAAGGACGAGGGATGGTCGACTGATGGCCTATGTCCTATGAGATGGTTTCATCTTGCGGCTTGAACGAGACAGCATCTCGCCTGGCGTTGGACAGATGGCTGTCAACATCAGTCACGGAACGATGAACCCTCGGTTCTTTACTCCTCGGGGTATCTCAAAGAGGGGTAGCATGTAGGATGCGGAACTTCTTTTGTCGAAAACCCTTGGGCTTCGCTGCAGGGTCCCATCGAAGCCCTCCACGCGAGATCGACCATCAATTTTGGCCCGAGTCGTCTCTATGGAGTCCAGCAGAGTAGGATAGGTACAGTCGTTTGAGCTGCAAACCTGAACAGACCCAGGGTTACTTCCTTCTGCCCTCCAGTCTTGCTCAGTATCAAAAGACTTTGACTGAAAGTAGTTCGAATACACAGGCGTGCAGCTGAAACTTGCCCATAGTTTTTGGCATACAGAAAAAAACGCAATTCCATCGCCGACACAGAGCTCGAGGTTCATTATTCCCTCCATACTTGCCCTTGATATCAAGTGACCCTGTCTTCCTATGACTTCGGACTGAAAACCTGTTCAGATGAACGAGCTGTTGTACACTTCAAATGTCCCACGGCAGGCACAGCGCTAAGGTCATCAGATGCTCAGTGATACAATCCCCACTAAATTTTTGACCTCCCCCTGCCGACTCCACTGAATTGCACCTGCACTTCGAGAAATCGGTTCCTTTGGCGACTTCCCAACGCGTCTCCGGGGGCAAGGGTTCTGGAATCTTTCCTTCCAAGGTGCACCCATCATCAACGCTCGCAGGCTCATCTTCGAATAACTCATGGCCACCGCGCAAACAGTTGCCTCTGCTTGATTGCTGCCACTGATCGCGCTGGCTCACCCGCAAACGCATGCGACGACGTTGTGCCAGCAACACCATTTGCGACGCTTCACAAGACTCCCGGCGCTCCTGCTGATTGAAGCCACCACACGATGGCGACTTCCACCCTTCCTGCCGCGATGGCTACTGCCTCATCCGCCGACCCTGCGATGGCATCGACCGAAACCCCTCCTGCGCCCAAAAAATACAAGGCCTCCGACCTCCCTCTGCCGTCCGCGACCCGAGCAGCCATCGAGTCGCTGGCACATAGCTTCAAGAAGAAGGGAGGCTACGATGCCATTCGAAAGGAGGTTTGGGATAAGTTTGCAGCAAGCGTATGCTACCATCTCTTGACGATGTTCACAACTAACAAATGCAGGACTACGAAGCCCAGGTCACAAAAGCCATTCTCGAGGTCGCCGAACAAGAAGTCGAACGCAACCCGGCACAACTACTGACACTTGAGCGAGGCAAGGCGGCTGCTCTTATAGACGGCGCGCTCGAGCGATCCGGCGTGTATCAGAAGGCCGAGCAGGTCATCACACAACTCATCGATAGGGCCGCGATTGAAGAGCGCATGCGCCAGCTGCGGCGCAATGACATTGGCGAGGAAGAGGCCATCGCCGAGCAACAACGGGGAGCCAAGACGGACGAAGATTATCACGCGGAAACAATGGCGAAGCGAGCCGAACGTGAGAGGGTTCGCGAGGAACTGCGACAGAAGGAGCTTGCCATTGAGGAAGAGAAACGCAAGATCGCGAGGGAAGAGCGCAAAAAGGTTGAAAAGGAGCGCGAGAAGGCCGAGACCCAACGGAAGGCCGAAAGAGATGCCAGACGAGCCGCTAGAGAAAAGCTCCAGGCTGAGCGTGAGGCTGAGCGGGAAGAGCGCCGCCGGCAGAGAGACAAGCAGCGGAGCCGGGATAGAGACCGCGACAGGAGCCGAAGTCGCAGTCGCCGAAGGGACAGAGATCGAGACCGAGACCGCGACGAGCGAGATCGGGAGCGCCGTGAAGAACGCGAACGAAAGCGTAAGGAGCGGCACGAAGAGTCAGAAGAGGCTCAACAGAAGCTTTCAAAGGAGCAGCTTGAAAGGCTCGAGCAGGAGGCTCTCGCAGACCTCCTGCGCGAGAGCAAGCGTGTCACGGCGAAGCAGCCCGAGCTGGAAATTGATGAAGCGCTGGCGCCACCGCCTAGAAAGCTGGCCCCCGCTTCCGCCATCATGCCCTTCAAGAAGGTTTCCTCGCGTGACTCGCCCAAGGTCCCGGAATCTAAGAAAGCCGAGCCTAAGACGGAAGCACGAGACGCCAGCGTTGCCGCGACACCCAAGGCTGATGCACCGGCGGACAAGGCTAGAAGTCGCAGCCGCTCGCGTGCCACCGGGAAAGCAGAACGAGAAAAGGACGATGACGACAGACGCCGCAGGGATGATGATGACCGCCGCAGACGTGATCGTCGGTCAAGGTCACCCCGTCCGCGTGATCGATCCCGCGAAAGGCGTGACAGGTCACGTTCAAGAAGAAGGGAGCGGAGTCGATCCCGGACTCGACCTGAGCGACGAGAGAGGACTCCATCACGTACACGTTCCCGACGTGACCGCAGCAGATCTCGCACACGTCACGACCGACGTGACAGGAGCCGCTCTAGGTCTCGCGACCGCCGAGATCGCAGCCGAGATCGTGCCCGCATTAACAGGCGTGACAGAAGTCGCTCGCGCACTCGGACGGATCGTCGTGACAGGAGCCGGTCCCGTCCTCGTACCGACACCAGAGACCGCAGCCGCTCACGCGTTAGAAGAGACAGGTCTCGCTCCCGCTCTCGGACCCGCGCTGAAAGAAGAGACCGTAGCAGGTCTCCACGGGTCGACCGCCGAGAGTCTATCCGTCGCGATCGCAGTCGCTCCCGCACTCGTCGTGATCGGTCTCCTGAACGGACGAGAGATCGTGACCGCAGGAGTCGATCCAGATCGAGACCCGCCTCATCAGCCATGCGGTCGTCATCCCGGCTGGATAAAGACAAGGACGACAAGGAGGCCACGAAGATGGAGGAGGTCCGCAAGCGAGAAAAGGAGGCCAAGGCCTACCTCGCCGCACAGCGGGAGGCCCGGGAGAAGGGCATGCCAGTCCCTGGAATCGACGACAAGAGAAGCGCAGGGGAGCGATCTCCCGAAGCCAAACGCAAACGCGATCTGGATGAAATTGACCGCTACGTGCCACCCGGTAGGGACAGAGAGCGACCTCACGACCTAGCCCGAGATGATAATGACCGTCGCCGAAGTCGATCTCGCAGCCGTAGTCGCGGCAAGGACCGGGACCGCGATCGGGACCGTGATCGTGATAGGGATCGGGACAGAGACAGGAGGGACCGCGATCGCGACAGAGACCGTGATAGGGACCGGTCCAGGGATCGGCGAGACCGGGATAGAGATAGAGACAGAGACAGAGACCGAGATCGTGACCGCCGCAGCCGCAGAGATGGGAGCATTTCTTCGAGGCGGGACAGACGTGACCGGAGCCGCAGCCGTCGAAGAAGCAGGAGTCGGTAGATGCAGCTTGGTCTTCTGGTTGGCTCTGCGGTTTTTCTCGGCTCGGTGCCTTGGGTGGTGGCGTTCAGTATGGGATAGGGTTTGGGGGAAATGGTATCGTAAATGGGATCTTGTGACTCTATTCACATTGGCTTACAATGGCATTTGTGGGAGTGTAGACATTGGTGCAGTAGCAACAGGCCAAGCATGATGGTTAGCATTTCCTCGAGCGAAGTCGCAACACTTGAGAGTTGGCAGTGATGCTCGTTCGGCAGTAGCCATTCGCTCCCGTGAGCTCGACAGAAAGCAGGTAGTTACTTTTATTCACGCGGTTGCCGGGACGGGACCAAGGCAGATGGCACCTGTTGGAAACAGCGCTTACGGACGCGTCCGAACGACCCAGAACCCTGCCGCGGCTCCCAGTGTTGGCAGCCAGGAAGGTGTGAGGCTCCGCACCGGAAGCAACAACGATCAGCTTTTCAAAAGCCGGGACTTGAGATGGCAGCACCTAGTACCAGTCATCTGGGTACCTACCTACTCCTGCCCCTAACCCCCCGTATGGAAAGATATCATGCCCGCTACCATCCGTGGATGAAATGAGCCGAGATGTAGAGGCTGCCTGCAATCTCTCACCGGCAACTTTGGAAAGTCCACCCGCATTAGCACTCTGCTCCCTCGCTCACGCAGAAACCCGACCTTTGAGTTTTTGAGAGGGGTCACTGTTAGACACGGCTGTGGGAGGTTCGAGCATTTGTCACATCCACCCACGCCAGCAGACGCACCCACGTGATGGCGTTCACCCTATGAGGCTCAAGTTTTCCGACTACGATGGGAGACCTCGAATAGCTTCTCACAACTGTGACAGGCATGGCTTCTACTAAATGAGGGACAAATGTCCAACATGAGCGGGCAACGTTTCGGAAAGGTCTCGTGGATCTCGCGAGGGGAAACTCTGATATATCATTTGGAGCATCGTTCGATTTCTGTCACAGCTGGGGGTTGTGCATATGCCGTCGATCCTGGCAACGTCACGTCTAATCCGTTAATGGCACCACGCTTTCCAATGCTGTATTGAATCGAAAGGCTTTTGATTATGAAACTTGTGCGGAGCTGGACGCCCGCGAAACTACCCGTACGTATGAGGAAATATCTGTATATTCCCGTAGGTATCAACACCAAACGCCTCTGGCCGCCTGACCAAGCAAACATCACTATGCCGACTTCGACTGGGGTGTGTAATCCCTGAAGTTTCCACTAGGTGGGTCGCGATCGAGCAGAAATCTGAATTTGTCCGAATTATGCTTGACGTAGTCCGGCACGTCGTGGTTTGTTTCAACGCGGTCGAAATTGGAGCCGCCTCTGCCGAAACTGCTTTGTGTTAGTGATATCCATGCCAACGACCATCAGACTCACATGTCTAGTCCACGCCGGGAAACATCAACAATCCAGTTGGGATCCTTAAACTCGGGCTTGTTCAACTCTGCATGCGAGAACGAGTTGATCTTCTGTGCCATCTCCTCAATCGTGCTGAAGCAGTAGCTGCAGTGCCAGCCGCCGTGGTTAAAGTGATGATCGTCGGCGTTACTACGGAGGTCATCAGGTAGGACGGTGTCGGCACCTCGATAGACGGTGGCTTGGGGATGCGTCCAGTCGTTGCGGGCGAGCCACTGGAACGAGTAGTAGTAGATCTTGGAGTGAATGGTGACACGCGGCGGGATGTTGCAGTTCCTCAATGCGCGGAGGATCTCGGGCTTGGGAATCTCGTCGACGTCGGACACAATAAGAACGTCGTCGAAGGCGGCAGCTTGCTCACCCACGAGCGAGGGAATCACCTGCTCGTACATGGCATTACGGCTCTTGGCCTCGCGGTCCCAAGTCGAGCCGTCCTTGAGAGCCTCGAGATCCATGGTCCGCAGGATCATCTTATTGTGCCACGGCTTAAAGAGGTCCCAGTTCTCCTTGATATACAGCGGTTTGGGATGGTCGGTAAAGGTCTTGTCAGACTCAAGGATGACGAAGTAGTCGACGTACGGAGCCATTTGACCCATGCGGACCTCGAGCATTTCAACCTCAGTGTTGATCAGGAGCAGATCGAACACCTTGCGCTTGCGGACCAGGTTGTAGTCGGCCGGCTTGAGGCGGTAATGATCGCAGTACTCGGCAGCCTTCTCGGGAGGAAGGACCTCGCTGGCGGTGTGGCCATTGTAGCTGGTGCTTGGGTGTGTGATCTTACGGGCCTTCTCGGCGACTTCCTGGCGGATGTCGAGATGCCATAGCAGCCAAATGAAGACGATGGATGTAAGTATCGCCAGGTACTTGATCTGGTGACTGGAGCTTGTTTTGTTCATGGCTGATATCAACGAAGGGATCTAAATGAACGATGTCCGGGTTCACAGCGATGTGCTCTCGAGATCAACCGTACTATTTGAAGCTGCTGGGCATTCGAATAGTGACAGAAGAGAGAGGGATATGGGTTCATATGGTAAGCTTTGTCGCGATGAGTTGGCCTAGGTTGGCTGGCTGGTTGGCCAAAGCGAGTTTAGACTTTGCCTCAATTGAGTGCATGCTTGAGACGCATCCGTCGGAAAGGCCGGCGAAGTATACCCATGTTAATGCCACCGGAGTAAGTAGGAGGGAAATTGGGTTTGGTACCGAGGGGAAGGTCGCTGATAGCCGGATTCTACTTAGGCAATCTTCAGCAAACCCCGACATTTCAAGACAGTTTGACAGTGTAACATAGGTGCCTTGAGCCGATCCGTCACAATCGTTGTCAATTTCCGAGAGTTTTAGTCTTTGTGACAGACGGATACATATATACACACACATGTTACACACAGTCGTCCAAAGCAATGGTAGGCTAATGACTCCGAGTCTATAACGTGGTGAACGACGGCTGTGATCAGTCCAGCGGCCCATCGAAATGTAGCGGTACTGAGCCCTGTGACAGGAGTGACGCGAATTGAACCCCATTGCAGGCTGTGGGCTCGAGTGCCTACTTGGAGATGCTTTGAAGTTGACCAAGAGTATCCGTCGACCTCAAATGAAGCTGTGGACAAGTTTTTGGACGTCCAACTCGGACAAAGACTCAGACAGGTACTCAAGACAACTGAATGCGACGAAGAAATCCGGATTGCGGCGACGGGGTATCTCTCAATTACCAGTATAACGCTAGGTCACGCTAGAAGAAGCCATCACGACGACATCTCACTGGTTGCGGTTATGATAGCAATGGTGGCAAGTACGGGATCAGCGGCTAGATGCGCCCGGCATTTGATTCGCCAATGAAGTGGAACCTACTCCGCGTTAGGGATAGGTACTGCCCCATTAGCAGCACTATTTTCTGCCTCACCCCTGTCTTGTTGAAGCTTAATAAATAAAACCGTACCAGGCAGCCATAGTGGGCCGGCGCTGATGTAGGCTGATCGTAGTAGGCTCGGGCTGCGGCACAGCTGCATGAAATGAGCAACACCCCCCAATGCCCCCAGCACGCACCGTGTTGTCTATCCGCTGCACCGCGGGGCCGAACCAACAAGCCTCGTGTTGCTACAATACAGTATCACCCCCTTGTTACCGGAAGTTGCTAGACATTAATCTGTCTTTGTCCTGTCTCGGTTCTGACTTTCCTCCCAGTATTGAGGCCTCGACTCTCTTTTCCTTCCCTCCCTTTGATCATCACCGCAAGCGCTCAGCCGATCTGATTGAGAGATTTCGTTTTCCCCTCCGTGCCTCCTCATCCGAACACCTGGTGTACCTTCTACCCCGAAAGGCAGTAGTACATTGTCGTCGCACATAGCGGCGCCTTCCCAAACACGTTACCCCTGGGCTGACGGCACGGCAACCCCCAAACAATTGAGCCCAAAGGCGCGTGTGGGACAGGGACACTCAGTCACCGGAGTTCGTTTGATCGTATTTGTTCCAGTGACCAACAACTCCCATCAACCAGTTCATCGCTTCAGAGACAGGCGAGGCTAGGGGTAACAATACTCTTGTGTCTCGCTAAGTCGTTTTTCTCACCACGTGCCTGCAACCGTCCGACTCCCTCCCGGCCAGCATTTCTCGGGGGCAGCCCGCCCGTCGACGCCAAAACCCACTAAGGTGCCTGCACCATACCTCGCCAGGTACCTTGGGTACATTGCAACACGAGAATCCCGCCGGGCGGAAAGGGGGGCTCAGTCTGCCTTAGTTCTTGCCGTACCGCCAGCTCCAGTTAACAAACGCCGCAGCGCTGCTCCAACAACCGCTCTTGCCCGCCACACCATTTTGTCTTCACTTTTTACTCTCCTTCTCTTTACATCTCACACTCTCACTCACTCCTCGACGCGGCAGCAGTGAGTCTCCATCCTGCTCACCTACCCACCGCGTGTCATTCCTCCATCGTTCTTTTCCGTCTCTTCTCGCCCCCGCGATTCGTCCTTGCATCGCTCATGCCACTCATTTGACACAAGAAGGGCCACCCCATAGTTTCCCGCCTGGTTACCGATTCGCCCGGCCCACACCCTGTCTCCAGCCCGTTCATCGCCGTCCCCATCGGCGTGACCTCCGACGACGCCGACCACAGTCGTTAAATCTCAGGAAATTCGTCCGCCTCGCTGCTGCAACACTCGGTCACGTAACCAGCCATGAGTACGCTGCCAACCACGGAGAAGCCTGTCGGCTCCGCGCGCGGCGCCCTCCACCCAGCCTTCTTCATCGCGTGCGTGTCATCTTGTCCTCGGCCTTAGTGCTCTAGCTCATCATCCCCAGGAGTTGGATCCTCTTCTCAAACCTCACAATTCTGTTCAACAAGTGGCTGCTCGACACAGCAGGCTTCAGTAAGACATGTTCGCTCTCAACTTTGACTTGACTAACACATCACAGAATACCGTACGTTTCATCACCTGTGGCTTTAGGCCTTTACTGACTTCATCAGCCGTCATCCTAACATGCTGGCATCTCGTCTTCTCATCCCTCGCAACACAGGTTTTGGCGCGGACCACATCTCTCCTTGATGGCCGACACAAGGTCAAGATGACGGGCCGCATCTACCTGCGCGCTGTCGTGCCCATCGGCCTGCTGTACTCGGGCTCCCTCGTCTGCTCCAACCTCGTCTACCTCTACCTCTCTGTGTCCTTTATCCAGATGCTCAAGGCCGGCGCGCCTGTCGCCGTTCTCTTCACCAGCTGGATCTGGGGCGTCGCCGACCCCTCGATGACAACGCTCTACAACATCCTGCTCATCGTGGCCGGTGTTGGTCTGGCATCGTTCGGCGAGATTGAATTCTCGTGGATCGGCTTCATCTTCCAGATGGGCGGCATCGTCTTCGAGGCCATCCGCCTCGTCATGATCCAGGTGTTGCTCAAGGGAGACGAGAACGCACAAAAGATGAACCCTCTTGTCAGTTTGTACTACTACGCACCCGTCTGCGCCGTTATGAACTTCTTTGTCGCGTGGGCCAGCGAGTTCAGCACCTTCAAGTTCGAGGACCTACAGAAGACGGGCGTTGCCATGCTGCTACTCAACGCGGGTGTAGCGTTCATGCTCAACGTGTCGAGCGTCTTCCTCGTAAGTTCCCCGTCAGTCCGGCGACACAGCACCACTAACAATCCCAGATCGGCAAGACGTCCGGCCTCGTCATGACCCTCACCGGCATTCTCAAGAACATTCTCCTGATTGTCGCATCCGTCATCATCTGGAAAACCAACATCAGCTTTATGCAGTTCATCGGCTACGCCATCGCCCTCTTCGGCCTTGTCATTTACTCGACCGGCTGGGAGCAGCTCAAAAGCTCGGGTGTGAGTGCCGTTATATGGGCCCGCACCGCCTGGAACTCGCACAGCCTCGACGAGGGCCGCCTCTCGCCGCTCGTGCGCCGCGCCATCTTCTTTGGACTGCTCACGCTCATCACTATGATGGTTGTGTTGGCCTTCGCCTATGAGGGCACGTCGGCTCCGGCGGACTGGTTAGCCAAGGTGCGCGCAGTAAGCACTTAGACGTTTGTCTTATGGCGAGGAGTTTGGAGTGCGCTGGCAAGAACAAGAATTGGGGGAGTTGATTTCATGCGCTTTCGTGGGTGACCAAGACCTCTTTGGGTCAAAGTGGCCAGTGTTATTATATTATATATCATGAGCATGCATACATATGCATATGCGGCTTTGGAATACACGAGATGAACAACCGTTTGCTTGGTGGATTCGTGACAAGGGACTGTCATCAATGCTGGCCTATCATGGACGCAGAGACATGCGGCCAAGGCTTAGTAAGGAGCGCATCAGGCTATCTCATCGCACAACAACACATTCGTGTAAGTCCTCGGGGACTCATCGAACCTCACTGAGACAAAGATCTCGACCTGTCTGCAGTTCAATTTCCGTTGAGTTCAAATACAAGTTGAGGTACCAGGATAACGAACACAGACCCTATTCAATCATTACGATGTCATTGGTGCAACACCTCCTCGCTTCGGACCCCGCGTCCTACGCCCGCGCAACCCGCTCCCGCTTCCTCGGCGCCGCCGCAAATGGCACCCTCCCCAGGGATGTCCTCGGCCGCTGGCTCGCCAACGACCGGTTGTACATCCACGCCTACATCAAGGGCGTCGGCCGCCTCCTCGATGCGCTGGACCTGCCCGACCTCGCCTCCACCACCCCGGAGCCCCCAGCGGCAGAGAAGCTCCTACAATGGCTCATCGACGCCCTTGTCAACGTCCGCCGCGAGGAGCGATTCTTCGTCGAGACGGCGGCTCGTTTCGGCATTGAGGTGAACCTTCCGGCCTCCCAGGACGGCGTTGTCGTCCAAGACGAAAAGCTCGACGGCCTAAGGCGCTTTGAAAAGCTGTTTGGCGGGCTGAGCAAGGGCCCTGAACCGCTCGGCTGGTTGGAGGGTGCGGTATTGTTGTACGCTACGGAAAAGTGCTACCTTGACGCCTGGTCCGGTGCCAGGGACGGACTGGACGCATCTGCAGATGGCAGTCGGGACGCGGACGGCGGTGCGCTGAGGAAGGAGTTTGTTCCCAACTGGAGCAGCGATGAGTTCAGGGCTTTTGTGGACGAGCTAGGGACCATTATCGATCAAGGATATGAGGACGTAGTCCAGAGAGGAGAGGGGGAGGCCAAGGACCATTTACGAGAGCGTGCGCTGAGGGTTTGGAAGGAGGTTGTGCTTGCTGAGGAAACGTTCTGGCCGGCTTTGAACTAAAGTATGGGATGAACTGGACTGAACGAATGAATGAATGTCAATTACAGCGCCATGCCAGTCACTGCAATCAGTAACCTTGCCATAGGTACTGACGATTAACCTATCCCATTACCAAACCCCGAGACCAAGATTATGGAGACCCAAAACCTCACAACAATAGTATCCGCGCCGCGAGCGCATGGTATTACCGCGGATCCAACGCCGTCGCTATGCCATAAAACACCAAAGCACCGTATATGTTGTCATCAGACCACAATCATTTGGGGTCCTCTTTCACTCGTCCTCGCATCCTTGTCTCCTGGTAGCGGCACATCATCTCCCTCGTGAACCGTAGCCATACCATTAGCAGACTCGTCGTCGTCGTCGTCTTCGGAGACCTCCTTCACTGTGCAGGTAAACGCAGGCTTCTCCACTTTTGGCGTCTCATCATCTTCTGCGTCTGCAGCGGCATCTGCAGCTACAACCTCGGACGAAGGAAGAATGCTGGGGTCGACGCAATCGTAAAACAGCATGAAGACGTTGCCCTGATCCAGGACCTCCTCCTCATCAACCCTCCTCACAGTTTCATCGCTGAGACGCCACCAGTCCGTCTCCGTATTGTCATCCGAGGTCTCGGACTTGACTGGTGCCTCATCAGCGTCCCTAGGCGGCGAGAAACGAGGAAATTTGCGGTAGCAAACGTAATGCCCGTTCTCGTGCCTACCGTAGTGGGTAACCACAGCCCGCAGTTCGTAGATGGGTCCGGTTATGTAGGATTTGCGCTTGTCACCGGCAATCATGGACGATCTAGGGTCCAGCAGCCACTGCTCCTCTTCCGATTCGCGACTGTTGCTGGCACTGCCTAGACACCACGGGCCAAGATCCAGCGTCAACGGGAACCGAATACCCGACGAGTTTTTGTACATCATGCCGGTGTTTTCGTCAAACACGGACCGGTTCATGTGGACGGCGAGGCTCTGTGGGGGGCGAGCAATAACGGCTTGCTTCGTTTTGGTCGACGAGACCTTGAATTGGGACGGGAACTTGCACTTCTCGGTAAGGGTCTTGTCCTCGAAATCGTCCTCATCCAGCGCCTCCTCGACAGCCGCGAGGCGTAGTTTCGGCTCCCTAAGCTTCTCCTCATCCGTATAGGACGCCTCCGCTCTCTCGACTAGCAACGTCAATAGTCGCTTCGCCTTCAGCAGCGTACACTTGCCGCACTCAACACCTTCAATCGGCTCGATATGCGCGTACACATCTAATAGCTCGTATAGATCGTGGTCGTTACCGCTCAAGTTTAGACTAAGGGTCAAGCAGTTAAAGGGAATCATCGACAGCCCATCTGAGTGACCACATTCCACACAGGCAACCCGCTGCGCAATCAATCCCTCGAGGGGATTCCGCAGCACTTTCGCCGAACTAATTTTGGAAACCGTCGACAGACTCTGGTATCCGCTGTCGTCGCTATGCTGGCTCGTTGCGGTGTCGTCGTTTGCGCATTCCGGCTCGAATCCCGTAGACTTCTGCGTTGCTTTCGCTGCCTTGGCAATCTCCCTGTCCACCTCATCCAACAACTTCGAAAAGTACTCCTGCGCATCCTGCTGCTGCCATGTGCTCATGTTCTTGAGCGACCCGGGAGTCCACAACGTTTTCCCATAGTTTCGAGCGTTGTTGAGGTCTTCAATCAGACCACGCAGCGTATCCACGGCCTCGACCTTTCTGCGGTCAATCTCAGGGTCCTGAACAGGGTCGGCCAGGTATTTAGGGAACGGCTTCAGCGACGCGAGCCCTTGGAGAATGCTGTTCTGGTAGCACGAGTTGTCAAGGTTCCCCAGACCCGGCGGGTAATCGCTGGACCCCTTGAGGCTCATGACGGCGCCGGAGACGGATGACAGCCCCCGGATGCCGGCCTGGGACACCGTCCCCATGATACCTCCCTGCCTGTTCATGCCTAGTATGTTCTTGAGGAGCTCGCTCTTCGCGGCGTGTGTTCTCGCTTGGTTTTGGAGCATCGGTCGCGGGAACAGCGGCGGATGTAGCCAACCTTCCAGAAGGGTCAGGGCGTCGAACGGAATAAGCCAGACGAGTACGTCCCAGAGGGTCCGACCGGCGCGGGACAGGAGGGCTGTTGGAACAGCCGAGGCGCCAAAGATCGAGTAAACGGCGGTTACGACAAAGGCAAAGAGGGAAACGACGACGCTCGGCTCCGTCAGCCTTGCCCAGAAGGTCTCGTCGTGTATTCGTCGGTAATAGTCAGGCCCGTAGGTGTCCTTGAATGAGCCGGGAGAATTCATGCTGCTTGAGTGTTTCGTGGAATAGAAGATCGTGTCGTGGACAGCTTCAGGCGAGCTTCTGCAATGCAATGTGGGAGAGGCCGCGCGCTGCCATATCGAGGAGAATGTTTGAAGACGGGTCGTGGCGATGCTCACTGATTACGTGTGGTGGTGAGTAAGGTCCTTGAGGCACGGTTCTTGCAGGAGTATTGAAGTGTTCGCAAGGAAAGCCGGCAGGGGTTCCACAGGGGCAATGTTGGACTGGTCAGTGCGCGCGTGCCCCGAGGCTTGTGATCGTTCCCTTTCTTATCGAGATTAGATAAGTACAGACACAGATAAGGAACTTTTCTCTATCCCACACAACCTGGGAGCGCTGGTTGACCGACCTGCACACCAACGACATATAGCAAAGATGGCAAAGCCGGGTGTTTCCAAGAAGACTAAGCGTACGGCTTCCGTCCCTATTGCAATTAAACCAACTAACCTCAACAGAGCCCTCGGTTCACTCAAGAGCTGCGAGGCGCGCGACGGACGTTGATATTGACACCGACAAGTCTCTCAAGAATGTCAAGGCCCCTGCAGACTCAACCGACTATCGGCCGTCGGTCCTGGCGGCGCAAACCAACGCCGGTGTCTCCAAGAAGTCCAAGAACCGCAAGACGCAGATGAGCGCCAAGGCGAAGAAGAGAAATGAAAAGGCAATGGACCGCGCTGAGGCCATCATGGAGCGGACCTCCAACAAGATCGAAAAGAGCAAGAGCAAGTCACGGAGGATCCAGACGCGGAGCAAGCAATGGGACGACATCAACAAAGAACTGCCTGCGGTGAAGAAGTTCCCTAACGAGGAGGACCTCGAGGTGGAGGAGCGCAAGACCAGGGCGGCCGTTATTGTGGCGGACAAGGACTGGGAGACGGACGAGGAGATGGACGGTGTTGATGAGGATTCTGCGCCCGCCGTTTCCGATGCTGTGCAGGCCGCTCCAGCGAATGACGATATGGACGAGGAGATTTTGTAGTCGTTTGGAAGTTTTAGGGTGCCCTAGAGGTTGTGTCCGGCAGGGCTATGAGACTTATGATAGATACCCAATGATGTGTCAAGTTCATCCATGCAGTCTTGCTTCCCTCACATTGTTTGATCGTGTTTCCGTCGGGTTCATAGCCAAGTCTGCGGTTCAGAATCAAAAGTTTCAGTATCAAATCGAGCATGGAGGGGTTAGCGCTGCTTGTATGGCAGCTCCACTAAAAACGCTAAAGCTACAGTGCGTCAGCGGGTAATCACCTGTGCAGTTCCGTCTCCAGCCTCCAACGATAGGGCCCTGCACCTCTGATTTTCAACGTCATCCACCTCCCTTCAATCATCACAACCACTATCATGCCGCCGAAGCGCATGACAGCAAACCCAGTCAAGCCGGCGCGATATCGCGCCGGCAAACCCGTCGCGCCGGAGGCCTCATCCTCGGACTCGGATGGCAGCGATGATGAGACCAACGAGGCCGTGGCCAAGCCTAGGGCGATTCCGCCGCCACCGAAAGCTTCGAGTGCCGCCAAGATCGCCGGTAACCTCAGCAAGGTCAATCTCGACGAGCGTAGACGCGAGGCACAAGAAAAGGAGAACCAGAGAATAGCACGCGAAAAGGCCGAACGACTCGCTGCCGAAGAAGGTTTCGTGACGGAGGAAGAAGAGGAAGAGGGAGGCGACGATGACGAAGAGGAGGAGAGCTCCAGCGAGGAGGAAAGCAGCAGCGAAGAAGAGGCCCCTCGCCGCCTCATGATCCGACCGAAGTTCATTCCCAAAAACCAGCGCAACGCAGCAAGGGACCAGTCCGCCGCACCAAAGGACGAAGACGCGCGCTTTGCTGAGGAAGAGGCCCGCCGCAAGGCCGCCGCGGACGCGCTCGTCGAGGAGCAGATCAAAAAGGACCTCGCAGCGCGTGCGGCAGGCAAGAAGCACTGGGATGACGACGAGGCGTCGGGCTCGGACGTCGACACGACGGACGACCTGGACCCGGAGGCGGAGCTGGCGGCATGGAAGCTGCGGGAGCTGAAGCGAGTGAAGCGCGAGCGTGACCGCATCGCCGAGCAGGAGGCTGAGTACGCCGAGCGCGAGCGGCGACAGAACTTGACGCAGGAGGAGCGCGAGGCCGAGGACGCCGAGAAGCTCGCGCGGCAGCAGGAGGAGAAGGACTCCAAGGGTAAGATGTCATACCTGCAAAAGTACTACCACAAGGGCGCCTTCTACAGTGACGAGGCCAAGGCGTACGGGCTGGACAAGCGCGACATTATGGGCATGCGGATTGCGGATGATGTCAAGGACCGAAGTGCCCTTCCAGAATACCTACAGAAGCGCGATATGACGAAATTGGGCAGAAAGGGTGCGACAAAGTACAAGGACCTCAAGAGCGAGGATACCGGCCGGTGGGGAGAGTTTGACGATCGTCGTGGGGGTGACCGGAGGGGCTTCAACAGGTACGACGTGGATGAGCGGTTCCGGCCGGACAACGAACGCGAAGTGAACGGTGCGAATGCAATTCCCTTGGGCGATCGCAAAGCACTGGATGGTCTAAAGGGTGGTCGGTCTGACAGATACCGACACGACGAGCGGAGGGACCGAGATGACAGGTATCGGTCTCGCGATGACTTCCGCCGTCGTGATCGGTCAAGATCACGGTCACCAAGTTACGACTCGAGAGACGACTACAGAGACAGACGGAAGCGCAGTCAGTCACCTGATAGAGACCGCCACAACAGCGACAAGCGGCGGCGCGTGGACTCGTAAGGCCGTCATTCAATTTGTATTATAGCGTATCCATCGTACTATGCTCACTGCGAACGATGCTGAATATACCCATGATCCCAATACAAGCAAGCCTCCACAGACACGTCATCAAGTGCTTCAAATTTTCTTAATCTCCACCCGTGCACGCTCGAACACGCCATGGCTGACCATTGCTTCCGATTGGCCTGCGTCGGCCTTGGGCGGGAACAGTGTTAGTCTTGCGTAGGTACCGGCACCGCGCCTCTTGGAGAGGTAGCCGGGATTGATCATCAAAACACTCTCAACGACCTGTGGGTGTTAGTAATGAGCGCCGTGGCAAGAGACAGTACTCACCTTAGCAAACGGAGGCAGGAAGCTGGGTACAACCAGCACGTCGGGCCGAACGTTAACCATCTCGCCAAGCTTCAAGTAGCTTAGGTCCAGCATAGCACCAGGTGGGTTGCCCTCCTCTGTCCCTGTCTTGGGCAGCTTTGGCCGATCCGTCGGGGGAACAACGGGAAGAAGTGCCTTTGCTCGAGCAAGTATCTGCTGAGTCTCGACAATAATGACGGATCCGAGGGGCGCCCACCGACTACTTCCTCATGGCGAAGCTGCCAGAGGATATCCTGTGATGATATACCCATAACCATTTCGTTCATCGACAAAGTCATGGGGTTAGTGACGAATCTTGCCGTCTTCGGAAGGCCAAGCTCCTTCTTCAGGACCGAGTCTTGCGGCCATGACACATGCTTGTCGATGACGTCGCGTACTGAGGGCACCAGAAGGATAGTAATACTAGGGTTGGCGGAGACGAGGCGATTCAGGGCAGAAGAGAACATGTACTTGAAGACAGTCGACATCGTTGCGGTGTCCGGATCGACGGCCGCTTCCTCAGGGAGATCGAAGTCGCCCGTGGCGATCAGAGGATGCTCGCTGTCGATAAACGGCCCTGTCATGACAAGAGCATCCGCGTAGGTGTCCGCCGCTTGGTCACACAAAGCATGGAGCGGCTCAAAGTCTAGGTTGTCGTCTGCTGTGTACGGACCCGAAGCGTAGAATATGTTCAGCGGGGCGGGATCCGAGTCCGTATCCATGGCATCTGGGTCTCCTCGTAGCTTCTCGCGATGCGCAGCCAAGGCGCTTGGTGTTGAAGCGGCGTTTGGGAGTAAAGGTACTTCAAGCACTTCCTCGACAACGAACTCGTTTCCTGACGTATTGATGCCCTTGAGGGCCACGACCTGGCCCGGGAAGAAGTTGTAGCTCTTGTTGCGCATGTTCAGGGGAACCCTCAAGCCACCACCCATCCGCCTCGACATCTCTAACACCAGCGACGCTGCATTGAGCTTGCCCTCAGGGGCGTCTGAAGCAATACGCCCAACGGCAATCACCTCTGTCGTGCTCTGACTTGCTGCATTGCCAAACTCTGAGAAGTCTAGCTTGTGATACTCTTGAACGATGTGCATAAACTCGTCTATTCTATCGTCAAGGATCTCAGACGCTTCTGAAAGCTTCATCGCTAGCGGTTTGTAGCCAAGCTTCTTCTGATCGGAGGCGGCCGTGAGCTTGATTCGAGGCTCCGAGTACGGGCAGATCGGTGGTTCAGGTGCGTCAAGGTGGTCGTTCAGCACTTCGACGGTCTCGCCGGGGTTCTGTCGGTCGTTGAAGGAGCTCGGGCTGCAGAAGTCAGTGCCTATACATCAGTGTGTCTTCCCACACTTACGGCTGCATGGAGTTCAACTGCTCATCCATTTTTGAGGCCCCCTTGTAGTCTGGCGAGCTGGAAGCAATCTCTGCCTTAACCCGTGATGTAGTCGGCGTCTCAATGGCCTTCTTCCGCAGACTGCTCGGCTTGTTCAGCTTCCCGGATCCGGGCGTGCTCGGCACTAATCCATCCAACATGCCAAAAACATCGCCGCCTCTGCCAGCGCGGGGAGTGCCATGACCTCGCTTCTCGGTTTTGATATGTGTCTGCTGTCGATTGCTCTTCTCCAGTGCGTCCTGGATATCCTTTTTGAAGTTGCGCACATGGACAATGTCAGGGTTCATGGCATCCATATCCATTTTGATGCAGAAGGACTCCCATTTATAGAAGAGGTCCTCGGCCGACAGCTCATGCAGGCGCATGATGGACTGCAGTTCGGAGAGCACATCGGGCTCAAGGCCCTTGTCGCCAGAGGTGAAAAACTCCTTGAGCTCTGCTTCCGCCATGATTTCGTTGCTTGTCGCTCTTCGTGGTGTTTGGTGGTTGTTGAGCGCTAGGAAGTTTGACGATGAACTTTGGTGGACGCGTCGAGCGCGTTTGGTGGGATAGCGCGTAAAGTGCGTTGGCGGGGCATTCACGGCAGACTGCAGGGGTGCCCTGCGTCAAAAATCAGTTGGCACCCGATTTAGTAGGTGGTCAAATTCTTAAAGGCCTTCCCCATCAGTAACGTTCCAGCTGGCGCCCTCTATCGTCAGCTGCCAGCAGCTTGCCAGAACACACGTGCACTAAGGCAAGTGCAGCAGAGCAGGTGCAACGTAGGTATAGGAAGGGAAGTAAAAGGTGGACATAGAAAGATGATACCGTCAGTATGGCTTATAATCACAGACTGTACACACTATAATCATAGTAGGTAGGTAGCAAATCTATACTGGAGGTTAGGTATGCTAACCCCAATTAGGAAAGGTAAGAGGTTTTGGTTTTTTGTTGATGTGCGTCTTGCGGACTGTCGTAGACATTCACAGCGGAAGGCTCTTAACGTCAACCCATCCTCTACGCAAGGTGAACTTGGCCACAACACGTGTAACACAACCATCTCAGGAGTATGCTGAAGAGCCAGTTTACATTCAACGCTAAGATCTACTTCCTAAGTCCTTGAGCTGTTATCAATATTTGACAGTCAGCCCATCGCCATCTCTGCATTCCGGGGACGATCTCCAACCTTAATAGCCCTGAAACCAGGCAATCAACAATCCCTTACCAAACAGGGTTGTTGCGAGCCCAGTACTCCTGTTGATCGGCTTGCTGCTTCGCAATAAAGTTCTCCGTGGCCTTCTTGGCCTCTTGGGGGCCGAACTTGATGATGGCCTCCGTGCTAACCTCGTACTTCACGGTGCCGTCCCGATGCTTATCTTCCACGTTGTCATTCACGTCCGCCATTCCCCCGGTCAGCTGGTCAATGTAATTACGGTAGTTCTCAGAATGTCGAATGGAGCAACGGTTAGTCTCCGACTCGGAGTGCGCGGTCAGAGACGACGCGTCCCTGAAGTAACGGAGACATCCGGGGCACTGCAGCTTTGCGTTGTAGTGGGACGTGGCTGCCTTCATGTGAGTGATGAGAGCGCCGCTTGTGTCGAAGCTCTTTCTGTCTATTGTCAGCACGATCCTCACAGCGGTACCACTCTTACTGACCTGCAGGATGCCTGAGGACACTTGAACTTGCGAGTGATTGGGTTGTAGTACTTCCGAGGATCGAAGCTCAGGTGAGATGGGTTGTTGATGTCATCCGTCAGCGCTGGCTTGTTCGTTGTAAGTTTGGCGTCCTTTTGGACGTTCTTGTCGGCATCCTCTTCTCCCTTCAGTACAGGAAAATCGTCTGGCTTAAAGTAGGACGGATGGGCCATGTACGGCTTGTCAAAGGCAGACTGAACGCTCGGGTGTGATGTGGGGAAGTAGTCACCGAATTGTGAGCCACTGCGCTTCTCAAGCTCGTGGGAGAATGTGAGTTTCTGGGCGCGATTTCTGTCGACGTCTTGTCGGCTAATCGCGCTGCACTCATCGTGCTCTAGGTGTTTCATCCAAGCGGCAAGCCGGACGAAGGTCTTCTTGCAGCCCGGGCAGGTCAGAGTCTGCTCTTGCGGATGTACCTACTACGGTCAGTGTCGTCCAGGATTATTCTGTGCACAGCCAATGACCTGGGCTAGGCTCTGGGTGTAAGAACTCACCTCCAGAACATGCTTTTCCTTGGCATCCATTGTGTTAAAGTCCAGCGTGCAAATGGGACAGTGGATGTGGGTTCCCTCGACTTTCATCGCCATTCGCTTGTGTGCCATCAGTTTGTCGAAGCTGGCAAACATATCGCCGCAGACATTGCAACGAATCGTCTCATGAGGCGCCGGGCTCTTGCTCTCGGTAAGCTTGATAGGCTTGTTGACTAGACCTATCCGGCTGGCGGACTTCATGGAACGCTCGCTGGTAGACATGGTGATGGTAGGGGTGTGCGATCTTGGCTGTAGAGGATGTGGATAGATATGGCGAGAATTGACGCAGGAAAATTGTAGATGTGAGTCTCATTGATGAGACGGGGATTGGTTTGATGTTTGACGATGTCAAGGAACAAGGCAAGCTGGAATTTCGAGTTCGGTTCACCTATGGGCTGAAGTGCTGGATGGGCTGGAGTATGAAGGTCGAGATTCAGGAAGAATGGTAGAGTTTGTATGAAAGGGGTTGAAAACCGCTGGAAGGTACGCCGAGTCTATTGCGGCAAGACGAAACGGTTATTAAGGAAGAAGCCAACCATCTAAAAAACATACAAAGATAGAAAGACAGGAAGAAAGTCTCCGTAGGTCACTCCTTCCAGAAGGAACAACGGAAGCATCGTGGGACGTGGTTTCTTCAGCTTAGTCACAGGAGCATGGAGCCATGTATATCGTCTTGGGTATCATGGTCTTAGACGGCCAATTCAGTACTAGATAGTCTATTGAGACTTGTAAGTTGATTTTTTGGGAGGAAAAGGGGGACACTTGCTTCCCACGAAAGAAAAGCATATCACTGTTACACCCGTCAAATTCGGATGGAAACTAGTCCTTTCCTGTAATATCCGTACCCTCTAACCCAGATAAAGAATTCCACATTTGCCTGTTCCAGTCAAGTTAATAGTATAGAAGCAAATAGGGCTTGGATATCTCCTATCAACTGATGGGGTGGGTGGACGGAAAGTCCAAAGCGAGACCGCAAGGGTCCTCTGATGGCCAGACAGCCAAGAGAATCACCTTTTTGGGCTTTTATATTTTGGCTTCTTCGTGCCTTTATGCTTCCACGCGTTGAGTCTCTTGTGTCTTTGACGTGCAACTTCAGCTAAAGCAAGATTCCCACAACGTAGCCGTTGTCCCACGGCCCGATGCATAAATATTCGGTGGACCGTGAGTTGACCATACTCACCTGCTTTGTCTCTAATGACCCGAACATCCACCGGCTTAGCAACCGCCACTTTGAGATAATTCCGATCCTGGTGCCCGTAAATCTTTGCTCTAAAGGTTGTATTGAGGGACTGCCAACGTCGCCCCAGTACTTGGTGCGTACGTCTCGGCGGTCTCAGTTGCTTACATCCAACAGGGTGGCTCCTCCCATGTGCCATCGGACTGGAATGTTGATGATGCGAGCCTTGTCTCAAGGTCGGCCGTTGAGACCCGTATCAGCTAAACGGTCACTCTTACTCGTGGACTTTCTGACCTTAATTTTGCATGTCCCAACCCCCTGACATCGGTCAGCTGCAACATCAAAGCAGCAATGTCTTAGACATTCTGACGTTTGTGACCGCGATTTCGATGTCGAAGGAGTGAGAGACATTCATGGTGGCTAACGCATGGCACTCCTAGCCATTGCGAATATGATATTGGTCACTGATCGTCGGATCTCTTGCGGGTGTGAGATCCCTCTACGTGACGGCATTTCTGATGTAGCTCTCATGCCAGTCGCAGGCAACAGCGGCAAAACACTCTAGTTGAGACAAAGAGTGTCATTTATCTAGCTTCTTCGAACCTTCAAATCCTCTCCATAAAGTTGGCGAATCATCGTCTCGTACTGAAAGATTGGGCTTGAACCGAATGTTGACCACCTACATCTCACACGAGACATACGGCCCCCAACGACAGACTCGAATACAACTGGTACCTCGCACCATCAAGCGCCTCCAACCTGCTGCTTTGATTTCCATGGCCTCGAGAAACGACGCCTCTCCACCACCAGACAAAGAAATCCACAACCACCGACCCCGTACTAGACACTCCGTGGCTTCGCTACAAAGACCACCTCCCAAACCACAACCAATCGCTTTCCCTTTTCGGCCAGAAACCGGAATTGCTAGCCCTGAATCCGAAAAGCACACTACCACCGTTGTCACTCGTGGCTGTCTCGACCTGCGTCGCGCCGGCAGCACCGCATCTTCGGGTTTGGCCCACCAGCCACCCAGCACCATCCCGACAAAGTCAAGATCCTTCGGCCGAAAATTTTTAGCCCCCATCACTTTTTGAACTTGCACGTCACAGATCTCTTAAAGGGTAGCAGGCCCCTCTCCGTCGTCACTAGGGTCCAATAGTAAAGAGAAGGGAAGAGAGGAGGCAGGGACCATTGTGACCACCCCTATTCGAACACCATACAAAACCCAACCAGCAACTTTACCTTCTCACCATGTCTCTCTCCCACAAACACAAACGAGAGCCTATGGGCTGCCCGGCTGCCAAAATGCCGTTACCACTGCTCCCCTTCGTCTTCCTCGCCCACCTGGCGCAGACTGTGACCGATGTCCTCACAACAGAGGCCCGGCGCAAGACAGCAAACCTCTCCAAGAACCTCGATTCACTCCGCCTCCAGGTCTGCGGTCCCGAAAACTCCTTCACACCCTTCTCGAGGTTGCCTCCCGAACTCCGCCTCAAGATTTGGAACCACGCTCTGCCGCCGCGGACGCTGCTGGCCTCCCACGCGCCCAACCCGAGCTTGTTATCCGTGAATCATGAAGCCAGACACGAGGCGCTGCGGCGGTATACTCTTGTCAGGCTCAACACGTGGGGGGACCGGCGCATCTATATTGATTTTCGGAGGGACAGCATCGCCATCGTCGAAGGGAAGGGTGGCGGTGGATTCCCTGTTCGCGGGGCGCGACATGTCATCGTCATTTGCGAAGAGCCGTTCCGGAGTCCAGGGTCGTATTTGAAGTGCCGGTATCGCACCGGCCTAGACTCCTTAACGTTGGTTCTCGGCGTGAAGGCATCTTGCCCAGTGCCGCTTCCCAATATCCGGGAGTTGCAGACACCAGAGGATCTGCAGCTGAATCTGGGCTACTCCAAAGAGGAGTCAGAGAGGATAGGAGTGGAGGTCAGAGATTTGGCTCAGGGCTGGGGAAACACTCGAGTCAGCGTGGGGGAGTTTGTCTGAGTTATAGACATCAGCAGAGGCGTAAATCCGGAGCGACAATACCCATTTTCGTTGGTTGCGTTATTTCATTACTAGACCTGATTATACAGTAAACTATATTACAAAACTTTCATAGTCTACTGCGCTCACCCAAGTACACCTGCCCGAGCCTCAATTGGTCAACCGCCTCCTTGACCATCTCATCCACAATCTCTCCGGCAGGCTGGACCTTGTCGATCGCGCCGGCGACTTGACCCATCAGGTGCGGAAGGTCAATGTCGTTGCCCTTCTCCAAATCATGTTCAATCGGGACCACGCCATCATCACAAAGCTGCTTGATCTTGTCCGGTTGCGAATGCCACTTACGGACGTACTCATTCGTCTTCATCCGCAACGGTCGCCCAGACAACACGAGTGTGCGCTCTGTATCATCAAACCCGCATGATACAACTTCTTGCTTGTGTTCCTCGCTGCACCCGGCCTCGACGGACGCCACAAAGCGCGTGCCGACCCACACGCCCACGGCGCCTTGCATCAACGAGCTCGCCAACGATCGGCCGTTGTAGATGCCGCCGGCGGCGATGACGAGAGCAGGTCCTCCCTTGAGCATCTTGGGACGGTACCGCCGCGCGACGTCGACGACGGCCGGGATGAGCACCGAGTTCGCCACGTCGCCGGTGTGGCCGCCGCCCTCACCGCCCTGGGCGCAGATGATGTCGACGCCGAGGTCAAGCGCCTTAACAGCGTGCTTTGGGTGACCGACCATGTTCATGATGTAGATGCCTGCGGCGTGCAACCTATCAATGACGTGCTTGGGCGGCACGCCGACGGCGCTGACGAACAGTCGGGCGCCGGACTCGATGGTGATGTCGATGAGCTCGTCGAGCTTGCCGCCCGTATAGTCATGGTTCGTCTTACGGGCGTTGCCTCCAACCTGTGGCAGGGCGAGGTCAACGCCAAACGGTAGGTCCGGAGACCTGAAGTTCTCCTTCATCTCCGCGATGATTTCACGCAGCTGGTCGGGTGTGTACATGAAGCCGCCGATAACGCCGAGGCCGCCGGCATTGGATACAGCTGCCGCAAGGAGTCCGCCCGATGTGCGCGCCATGCCGGCGAGGATAATCGGGTGTTGGATGCCCAGCAGCTGGGTTATAGGTGTTGTAATTGGGCCAGTGGGAGCCATCGTGGTCTTGGGTCTTGTGTGTAAGAGTTGTCTGGTCGATACGAATAGGTTCTAGTTAGAGACGTAAGGGGAGGGTAGTAGATTCAGCTTGACTGCGGTAACCTTGGTGTGAAGAGATTCGATTGAGCAGCAAGATCAATTTAATACAGTCCCTATCTAACTACTACACCTTGCCATGACGGTGGGAGACTTGCCGTAGCTACCTAGGCAATCCGGGGTGAGTGTGGGGTTGGGGAGCTCGGTTGCGGGGAAATACACCGAGGCAATTGCCTTCTTGGGACAGCAGCTCGCCCACCCAGGCCACCGGCTCCGGGCGGCTGAAACCGGTCGCCACAGCGCATATGTAATGCGGATCTTCTGGGGATTATGGTGGTGCGTTTGTTGTCTTGAGCCCAGCACATGGCATGGACACCTCACGTTGTTAGCAAGACAAGTAGAATACTGTGGAGGTATAACCAAATTGTACGCCTTGATAGTGCGCTACTCTATTGAATGCTGCCCTCATCCTCGCGTTTGTATCATAATGACATGAGTCCGTCGGCTTAGCCAACTATTATACAGTATTGCAACAAGGACTGTGTCCTTGAGGCCGTGCTCTGCTGAGCTATCTGAAGCTCGGTAACCGCGCGGGAACAAATTCCTCGGTCGGTATAGCCCGCTCCTGCGTTGAACGGATGACCGGCGCTTCGTTGCGTGTATCCTCTGTATCGGACGCATATGTTTCTTTTCTCGTGGGCTCCGTCGTCTCTTCCACCTCGACCTTCAAGTACGACTCCTCGCCTGTGCCGCCCTCCAAGCCATCGTGCAGCCCCCGTTCCGAGGCGAGTTGCAATGCGGCCTGTCGCTTGCGTTCCACCTCCTCGTCTTCCTCTCTCCGAATGCGCTCCTCCTCCAGCCGTAGCTCCTCCATCGAAGCCTCTATTGGTGGTGCCACTGGAGTGTCGGGTGTTGTAGGTATGCTCATCGAACTTCTCCGCACCCCCGGACTGAGCATCGAATGGCTCGAATCGATGGTGGCCCTCGACACCGTCCTTGACATTGGCCGGCCATCTGCGCGCCGCTTGCCCTTGCTGGCTTTCGTCCGGCTGCTGCTGCGGTCATCTCGGACTTTGTCTAGGACCATAAACTCGTCATCCAGCGGCACCGCATCTTCTTCGCCTTCCCCATCACTGGGAAATAAATCGCCCCGCGACCGATAAGAATCCGATGACACGCCGGACCCTGTCGTTCCACTTCGATTTCTAGTCTTGGTGGTCCGGCTCTGGAAAGCGTCGTCGTCGTCAGAGTCACTCCCAAGAAGAGGCTCCGTCTCGCCCATACCCATCTCGTCGTGCTGCCGCGGATGGTCTTGTAGGTCCGCCGCGCTGGGCTTGTAGCGGAGCGTCTTGCCTAGCTTCCATGGCAGCTTGCCCAGGAACCCGATGGGCTGCGTGCTAGGAATGACGGTCGGGTCGGACTCCAGCACCTTGCTCCCTCTGCCTCGGGTGCCGTAGCTCATTCCTCGTTTTCTCTTGGGCTGGTCCTGCACCTCGCCCGCATGCTTTCGTTGTGATCCAGTGCCCGCGAGCAGGCGATCCCAGTCGTCGTTTCCCCAGCCACCTAGAAAACCGCCGTCCTGGTCCTCGGCGTACCAGTCATCGTAGAAGTCGAAGCTATATTCAGCCCGGCCACCCGCGCGCTCCCGTTCTCGTCGTTTCCTTGCTCGCTCTTCGCGGTCACCCAGACAGGGATGGGCGCATTGCTCCAACGAACTGGCGATGGAGGCAAGACAGGGGTTGATGTAGTGGTGCTGGAAGCTCCAGATGCCGGCGGCCGCATTCTCCGTCACCTCTCCGGCGTTGTGGGAGATTTGGTTCCAGCGCTGGCGCAGACGCGGGTCCTCGAGGAAGGCCATGGTGATGGCTGCAGGGTGATGTGAAATGACGTCGCGGGCATAGAAGGGCGGCCAAGGTTACGATCGTGTGGCCTCGACCAGGTTGTGTATTGTCGAGGCCTCGTAGGTAGTGTCGACGTTAAGAATCAAACGAATCAAGCAGATGGTCGAGAGTCGAAGGGAGCCATGGGATGTGGACTGGGCGAGTAGCGGTTGGTTTCAAGTGCGCCGGAAACAAACCGCAGCCGCACTCCAGCTGTCAAAAGTTGGGCTCAACATTCCACTGGCTGCAGCGGCACTCTCCCTTGGGTTCGCTGCAGGCTGCGGGTAGGTACTAGTGCAAGTGGGCTTCAGATTATCGAGGAAATGGCACGTGCGTGCAGGGCCTTTTTTCTGCTTATCGGCACTGTTTGGAGTGGCTGGTGAAGGGTCGCTTCAGCGGGATTGACTTTGTGGATCCGGGGAAATTGCAAACCTTCTGCTGCGTTTAACTGCCTGTCTGTGGCTGAGCACGGTTGCAACCCCTGGAGGCCGACGTCACTCCGCTAAGGTGGGCTGGAATGTCTGTCATTCGGATTCATCCCCTGAAGTTTGGAAACCTTGAAAACATAACTCTAGTCACAACACAGCCAGGTATGGACATTGATTGCTTGTATTCAGAACAACTACTACAGACCGAAATACGGATAATCCGACAGAGCCCGCTGAGGGCCACGCCATGCCACCCTCGCTTGAGTCGCCTTGTTAGCCAGTCTTGGTGGCCACCACCGATATCTCAGACCCCAAGGGATACCCGGAGTCATATCTGCCAGGCGGTGGGCCAATAGCGCGTGCAATCACACAAAGGTGCCCTAAGTGAAAGTCGACACAAGTGCATGCAGCTTGGTCCGGCAGAAGTGCGAAACGCGTGAAAAGACACGGGTGGACCTCTGTCCAAGGGTCATTTGCTGCCTGGGCAGGCCCTGTACCAAGAAGGCTGTCTCACTGGTAGACGAAGAAACGCCCATGGTGCTGGTCCCTGACTTCCTCCGTCCGGATTCCTAGTGGCCGTTCGTCGTAGCTTGGGGTGCCGGTGGCCGCTCCGGACCGTACGGTCGTGGCGGCTCTGCCTCTACAGGTTGAGGCTCCTCCTCCGTGTCGTCGTCGAACTCGCTCTGGTCTTCCTCGCCCTCATCGTCCGAGTAGTCGCTGCCGTCGCCGTCCATATGGCCGTTGCTGTCCGAGTAGCAGCTATCCAGGGTTGCCGCCATTCCAGGCGGGACCTTGCGGCCTTGCTGCTGCATCTGCTCGATGATGCTGCGCAGTTTCTCGGCCCGCTTCGTCGCCTCAGCGGCCTTCTTACGCCAGTCCTCGCGCTCCTCAGCCATGCGGATGATGTTGGCATTTGTGGCCTCGTGCTTACGCTTCATCGTCTCGTTCTCCTTCTCCAAACGCTTCGTCTTCTTGGACATGTCCTCCATTTCCTTCCGAAATGTCAGAAAGAGGTCATTACTGTTATTGAGCGTGTCCTCAACCTTGATCTGTCAGCAAAGCTCAGCCTAACTTCTCCATTAACATCCGGTGATCTTACCTGCTTGAACTTATCAACGTAGACATTGAGTTGATTCCTAAGCTCAGTCTCAGTCTTTGTGAAAGTCTGCACCTGATTTTGGAGATTCCGCGCTCTAGTCGCCTCGGCCTCGGCCAGCTTCTTCTCGCGTTCATAGCGCGCCATGTTGTATTGCACTTCCAGCTCCTTGGTGCGCATCAGGGAGTGGAAGTGCAATTCCCGCAACTCGTACTGCTCGATGAAGGATTTGAAGCGATTGCGGAACCTAGGACAGTTAGTCACCATGCTTGTACGATCGAGGCGGTGAGGGCGCACAGGGTATCGACGCTCATGTCAACCACCTGCTTCCGCGGATGGTCCTTTTCTTCTTGGATCCCCTCTAGCTTCGCCAGAAGAGCCGCATGCTTCTCGTCGTAGGCCGAGCTGTTGTGCTTGAGATTGTCTTGGAGGGTCTTGTTTTCGTTCTGGCAGAGTCAGCATGGTCGCAGAGGATAGACGAGGGGTCTACAAACTTTGTACTTGTTGTTGTCCCGCTGTAGCTCTCGGCAGAGCTTCTCAAGCTTCTCTTTCAGGCCGACCGTCTTGCTGAGCTCAGTGCGATTCGCGTCCTTCTCCTTCTGCAGGGCGTCGCCTCGTTTCTTGTTCTTCTGATTTTCTCGTTCAACACGACGCATATCAGCCAGCAGCTCACTGGAGCGTCTGGTCAGGTGTTCGATCTTTTGCAGATCGCTCATCTTGGCCACCTGCTGGGCCAGATCGCGGTTCGCACGCTTGACCTCACGTTCTGTATGTTGTCAGCAGCGCTTCATACTAGGCCATGAAAGTGTGCGAAAATGGGTTTCGTAACGGGCTGAACAGACGACCCTTCACTCCATACACAAGTCTTGAAACCGACGCTCACGCGACATACTTGATTCGGCCCGCCCGGGAAGGGAAACGGCACGATGGGAGGCGGTACGCACCAATCTCAGCTTCCTGGTCCTTCTCTCCGGCTGACTCTTGCTCCAGCTGCGTGATACGCTGCGCGAGTAGCTTCGCCGACTCGTTCGAGTCAACGGCCTTCTTCTGCTTGCCCTTCTTCAGGGCCGTCGCCGGCGCGTGAGCGTGACCATCCTGGCCGTTCGACATCGCAGCGTCGGCCTGGCTGATGGGTATCTACTCGTAGGCGGAAGGAGGGGCAGTGGTTTGTGTCCCTTGCGGCCTTGTCGTCACCAAGGCCTTTCGCATTCGTGTTCGATCGATGGAGCGGGTCGGCGTCGCAAAAATAAGCGGTTCTCCGCGGCGTGTGTGGCGGTGTTCGTAGCGGCAGTCGACGTGTTAGTAATGGCCGTTCTCCCCTTCATTGACACCCGTGGCAGAATTTTGACGTCGAACGGAACGACGAACTAAGATGAGGTAGCGTGGTCTGGTGTTCAGGCGTGCGCATTAGAAATGCCACTGTACTCGAGAAAATGAGTGGAGGATGTGCTGCAGGGCCTCGTACCCGAATAGATGTTCGAGTACCTCTCTGGGTCCCGGCCGTCAAAGCCAGCAGCCTTTGACTGGAGTCGCCCCGAATATTGCGTAAGGATTGGATTTATCGATACGGGTTGCCGATGCTGGGGTGGGATCAGAAAAAAAATGTCTACGATCCCACTGGTCGCCTTTGCTTTCGCGATTTCTGTTCAGCGTGGAAGGGAGGAGAACGAAGTGCCCATGGAGAAGTGCCTCGAGGTACTTGCCTAGCGAACAGCGTCACAGCCTACCGGGCGGCATCGCAGTTGCGGGCTACACTTTGTTAGCTGCCCGTTAATGCGTTACGCATGCCCGCCGACTCGGTAGTGCCTCAGAGAGCGTTTTAATGAATACGGACCCCACACCCACTGTGTGATGACGAATAGCGGCCGCCGGTGGAGCAGCGCCATCCGAACAGCGCCGGCCACGCCTAAAAATTTCTAAGCTATTGCATTCACCAGAGCGCGACTTGCCTCCTGCGATCCACAGTGGCTCCTATTGACTGCACCGAGTACACTCGTCGAACCCTTCTCAGAATCATTCTTCGGATCTCATCTTCATCTGGAACATGAGGCCAACTTGATACGACCTCACATCCGTCAATATGCTGCGGAACGCCGTCAACACGGCCAAGAAGGCCGTCACTGAGCTCTCTCAGTATCCCAAACCCGGCGACAAGCTTCACGGCTTCACATTGCTGCGGACGAAGCACGTGCCGGAATTAGAGCTGACGGCTCTACACCTTCAACATGACAAGACCGGCGCCGACTACCTGCATATTGCGCGCGACGACAGTAACAATGTTTTCTCTATCGGTTTCAAGACGAACCCGCCGGACGATACTGGTGTGCCCCATATCCTGGAGCACACTACCCTATGTGGCAGCCAGAGGTATGTTGCTCGCAGTTTCAAAATCCTTTCATACTGACATCCCAGGTTTCCCATCCGCGATCCCTTCTTCAAGATGCTTCCGCGAACGCTGTCCAACTTTATGAATGCCTTCACCGCGTCCGACCATACGTTCTACCCCTTTGCAACGACGAATGCGCAGGACTTCAAGAACCTTATGTCGGTCTACATGGATGCGACTCTACACCCTCTCCTGAAGGAATCGGACTATACACAGGAGGGATGGCGCATTGGACCAGAGAATCCTCAAGCCGCCAACGGCGAGAAGAGCGAACTCGTTTTCAAGGGCGTCGTCTACAACGAGATGAAGGGTCAGATGTCCGACGCCGGCTACCTGTTCTACATTCGCTTCCAGGACCATATCTTCCCCGATATCAACAACTCTGGCGGTGACCCCCAGAAGATCACCGACCTGACCTACGAGCAGCTGCGTAAGTTTCATGCCGAGCACTATCATCCGAGTAACGCCAAGCTCTTCACATACGGTGACATGCCCCTGTCGGACCACCTTCAGGAGGTCAACGCCCAGCTCAACGCCTTTGAGAGGATACAGGAGGATAAAACGATCCACCAACCCATCGACCTAGCTTCTGGCTCCAAAGAGGTTACCGTTCGGGGTCCCCTCGACCCCCTGGTGGACTCTGATAGACAATACAAGACGTCAGTCTCGTGGATCATGGGCGACACCTCTGATGTTGTCGAGTCCTTCTCTTTGGCGCTGCTGTCCACACTCTTGATGGACGGTTACGGATCGCCACTCTATCGTGGTCTGATCGAGGCCGGCCTCGGAACGGACTTCAGCCCCAACGCGGGATACGACAGTTCCGCGAAGTTAGGCATCTTCTCTATCGGACTGACCGGCGTCCAGGAGGGCGATGTGTCCAAGCTCAAGGCCGAGGTTCAGCGCATCCTTCATGAGGTGCGCCAGAAGGGCTTCGACAGGACCAAGATTGATGGTTCCCTTCACCAACTGGAGCTGGCACTGAAGCACAAGACGGCCAATTTTGGCATGAACATGCTGCACAGACTGAAGCCTAAGTGGTTCACAGGCGTCGACCCCTTTGATTCTCTGGCGTGGAACGACACCATATCGGCGTTTGAGACGCAGCTCGCAAAGGGCGGTTACCTCGAGAGCCTCATCGACAAGTACTTGCTCAATGACAACACTCTTGTCTTCACAATGTCGCCGTCGACCACTTTCAGCGAGGACCTCGCCCGCGAAGAGAAGGAGAGGTTGGCCTCCAAGATCCAGCAGGCGTCCCGGGAAGCTGGCAGCGACGAGGCGGCCCGCAAGAAGTTTGAGCAGCGCGAGCTGGACCTCCTCGTCGAGCAGGGCAAGTCGAACACAGAAGACCTGAGCTGCCTGCCTACAGTCCACGTCAAGGACATTCCCCGGAGCAAAGAGCCCATCGTCGTCCGCGATGAGACCGTCAACAGTGTACAGATCCAGTGGCGTGAGGCCCCAACTAACGGCCTGACCTACTTCAGAGCCATCAACACCCTAGATAATCTCCCTGATGATCTCAGAGAACTGATTCCCCTCTTCTCTGACAGTATTATGCGCCTTGGCACCAGGGACATGTCTATGGAGCAGCTTGAGGATTTGATCAAACTGAAAACAGGAGGCGTGTCCGTAGGATACCACTCGACACCCTCTCCCACCGACTTTCACCTGGCAAACGAAGGCCTCATCTTTACGGGCATGGCACTGGACAGAAACGTTCCAGTGATGTTCGACATTCTGCGCAAGCTTGTGCAGGACACTGATTTTGACAGCCCGGAGGCTGCCCTCCGCATCAGGCAGCTCCTTCAGGCGTCTGCCGACGGCGTGGTTAATGATATTGCCTCAGCCGGACACCAGTATGCCCGCGGCTTCGCTGAGGCTGGACTTACTAGGAATGCCTGGTTCAGACAACAGATCGGCGGCCTTTCGCAGGTCAAGCTCGTGACGTCGCTTGCCAATCGTCCCGAAACGGATGGGCTGGTGGATGTCATTGACAAGCTCAAGCAGATCCAGAAAATCGCGCTATCTGGCGGTAACTTCCGTACGGCAATCACCTGCGGAGCGGAGAGTACGGGCGCCAACCTTAGCGCTCTGACTAGCTTTATGTCGACGCTGCCCAAGGACCAGCTGTTGTTGCCGGCATCCAAGCCTGCTGCGGTGCAGAGGAACATCAAGTCATTCTTCCCATTGCCGTATCAGGTCTATTACGGTTCACTGGCTGTTCCCACCGTTTCGTACACGTCTGCGGACGGGGCGCCGCTGCAGATCCTGGCGCAGCTTCTCACCCATAAGCACCTCCACCACGAGATCCGTGAGAAGGGCGGCGCCTATGGTGGCGGAGCGTACTCGCGAGGATTGGACGGTCTCTTTGGTTTCTACTCCTACCGCGACCCCAACCCTCAGAACACGCTCTCCATCATGCGCAACGCTGGTCAGTGGGCCAGGGACAAGGCGTGGACTGACCGTGACCTTGAGGAGGCTAAGATTTCGGTGTTCCAGGGCGTCGACGCGCCGCAGTCAGTGAACGCTGAGGGTATGGGCCGGTTTCTATCGGGCATCACCGAGGAGATGAAGCAGAAGCGCCGCGAGCAGCTCCTCGATGTCTCCAAGGAACAGGTGCGCGACGTTGCGCAGAAGTACGTCGTCGACGCCCTGAAGAGGGAGGAGGAGCGCGTGGCCTTCCTGGGCGAGAAGCGCTCGTGGGTGGACAGCACCTGGAAGCTCCACGAGATGGACATTAGCGGTGCCGAGTAGACAGTAGCGCCACTGTATCTGTAGACGAGGGCCGCTTGAAGTTTCTTCGGTCCATGTACCATATCTGTACAGCATATGTATGTAGTTATACCCACCTCATGATGATCTGAGGTCCTTTGTATGCGTCTTTTCATGTGTACGCGTTCAGATACGATACGTCTTCCTGCCAGATCCAATGGCTTGGAGACCACTAGACAACGCAAGATCAAGACCATGAGCCAGGGGATTCTGTACACGTACGAATAACCGGCCAGCTCGTTCTATCAGAACCGACATCCTCAGCATTGGATCGTCGGACTAAAGCGCAGAGTACATGCCTGGCCAATAAGATTTGACCAATTACAGAACGCTACAGGCCCGCCGAGTGACAAAACGGGATACGCGAAAAATCGAGTCAGCCCCGCATACGTCACGGTGCCATAAATGTCACAGGTTCCTGATTGAGGTGGACTTGGTGGATTTGGTGGACGTTGACATCGACATCGGCACGCGGCTCACAAAGGGATTGGGCCAAGGAGGCTGAAGACGGGAGGCAGCCCAAAGCCTGGTGCTGGGGGGTACAGCCGGTGCAATGCCGCAATGCCGCAAATATACGCGACAACGGGTTGGAAGAGACCGTGGTATACTTCTAGGCCATCTGCTTGCCTGTTACTTATGCCGGTGGCTGTTGGGCCCGGCGATGTCCCGCCGTGTTGGCGATTTGTGACAAAACTTAGCGGAGCCACAGCTTCCCAGTTGAGCTGGCTGCTTGGAGTGCACGGAATCAGGCTAATTATGGTAGCTGTCCGAGTGGACATGCGTGAGGGAATTTATCGGGATGCTGGCCAGCAAGCAAGACATGGGCGGCAGCGGTCTGGACGGCGTCGTTATTTTTTGCCAATACGGACAGTATTTTCGTTTGTTGTTTTGAACCACGGCGTGATCGTAGGGTCGGTTTTGGGGACGGTGAGTTAGGGTTGGCCGGCCCAGGCATCTCCAGTTCGTCACCCACAAAGACCCCAGTTGTAACTTGGAAGAGCTAACTTCGCTAGCCGCGATGTTGACAGCAGCGAAAGCTAGCGGAAGCCGGGGCAAGATGGAAACCTGAGGGGCGCGGGATGGCAGCGAGACAACAGCACCAGGGCGGATGCCAGGTTGACTTCTACTAGTGTATGTAGAAAGGATGCAAAGTTGCGGTCTGAAAAGGCCGATGTGTCAGCACGATCGGTGATGGAGGTGTGGCTGGTCTGCTGCAACAAGTGGGTTGGGCAGACAAACGGTTAACGGTCTGGTGGGCTGCAGCGCATTGAGATGGATGGCGCTCCATGCGGTCCATGTTCATTTCCAGCAATGGTCGTAATGGTGGATTAATGACAGCCACGGCCAACCCTCCAAGTTGAGGCCCTCCACGTCCACCACTGGATGGGGATCCCGATGGCAGCGCAGTGGTAGATGTACTAGGTATAGTACCTTGCTTCTTTGTCATCCACTGTGGCACCTTGTTCTGCAGTCCCGGTGTCTGAGCCGCAGGGGGGGTGAACGGATGTACTCCATACATGACCTTACGCTGAAGAATGGGCAAACGACGGCGAGCGGTCGAGGTACTCGAACTTTAAACGACGTACCGGTTCTGGATCCGGGCGGGCCGCGTAACAATCCGGAACCTGAAGAGCCTGCGTCTGGATCTTCGTTTCTGGTTGAGTTTGCCAGCCGGCCTTTCGTCTGAATGGGACGGATATTGAAACTGGGTACTCTGGGGACTTGACCAGGACGCTGCGGGCGAGTATCATCTTGGATGGAGACAGGCTGAACCTTGACCGGGAAGCTTCAGTGTTGGCACAGACGAGTTGCAAGGCAGAGGCTGCTGTTGATGTCGGGCCACCGACAAGGGAAAATTTTGAAATAAATGTGGGTATGTTGACTGTTTGTGTGTGTGTGCGTCGTGGTGTGGCCAACCTCGATGCCGCTCCACCGACGAGGTACCTGCACGGAAGACAGACGAAACCTGAACCCTCGCGCCAGTCGTAATAAAAAGCCTTTGACGGACCCCCCGCCACACATTCAGTCCTCCAACACCACCCAAAGGTTCATCGTCAACCCGCAACACGCAGCAACTCAACCCTTTCGCAACCACCGCAATTGTTATCCCGCTACCTGGACTCTGGGCTTCGATTCACCGTCCAGTTGACCGTTTTCTGGTAGGTTCCGTCTCGTTATTACATAGCGAGCACCCGTCCGCAGCCGCGCAAACCCGCCTTGACCTTGTCTGTCACATGGCATCGTCATCACCCAGCAATAAAATCACTCGCTCAACTCTCGTCACCAACACCGGGAAGAAACCCCTCATAGAACCCTCGCTGACCAGCACAGATCTATAAGATCAACTCTTTCCACCGCCAGACTTAGCCTTTGGTCAATTCAAAGGCACAACAGCCCAGCACGGCTCTCCTGGCCGTGAGCTTCGTCAGTGACCAAGATTTCAGCCTACGAAAGACTCTGCACATCGTCAACGCCATCCCGCCTCCGCCTGCTGAAGTCGTCTAAGCAAGAGCTCGAGTCCTTTCTGTTCGACGCTTTGCTTCACCAGACGCCCCCGTCTTCTCCCACCCCCAACCAGCTGCCGCATAGGACGGGCCTAGAGTCTCTTCCTCTCGCCGAGGGGGAGTCGAGGAGACCTCGTCAGATCACTGAGGGTTCAGTCTGCTACCGCTTTCGACCACCCTAGAATCCTCTTGCCGTTCTAGGTTTTCCACTATCAACCCCGTCACAGGGAAACATCTTGCTATTACGCAAGAGTCGAAACAGTCCGACCCTCCACACACCACAACTCTCCAACCGCCACCCCGTCAACCGCTTGGGATATGGTTATGGCAACAGCCGCGATCGAGCACTTTGCACCAGCTACTATCAATTATGCTAGTACCTACCAACCAGTCTTGAAGACATCGCACTTTGTCGATCACGCCCACCACCACTCCAATCATGGCGTAATCAACCCCAAGCAGCTGATTGGCGAGGCTCTCCGCCAACGCGTGGAAAGCATCGACCATGAGATTTGTGAGCCAGGCGACGAGGACACCTTCTTCGTCGGTGATCTCGGCGAGGTCTACCGCCAGCACATGCGCTGGAAGCTTAACCTGCCGCGCGTCAAGCCCTTCTATGGTGAGCCCCCTTCTTTCAGAATTTTCGACCCTCGCCACTGACCAGACTATAGCCGTCAAATGCAACCCCGACCCCAAGGTCCTGCAGCTCCTCGCTGCCCTCGGCACCGGCTTCGACTGCGCCTCCAAGACGGAGATTGACCAGGTCCTGAACATGGGCACAGCCCCCGAGCGCATCATCTACGCCCAACCCTGCAAGACCAACTCGTACGTGCGCTACGTCAAGGCCAAGGGCGTCAAGCAGATGACGTTTGACAATGCCGACGAGCTCCGCAAGATCGCTAAGCTCTTCCCCGAGGCCGAGCTGTTCCTTCGCATCATGACGGACGACGAGTCGAGCCTGTGCCGCCTGAGTATGAAGTTCGGTGCCGCCAAGGAGGCTACTAACGAGATGCTCGGCGTGGCTAAGGATCTTGGCCTCAACGTTGTTGGAGTCAGCTTCCACGTCGGCTCCGGTGCCTCGGACCCCATGGCCTTCTACAAGGCCGTCTACGATGCCTACGAGGTCTTCGAGCAGGGTCGCGCCTACGGCTTCGAAATGAAGACGCTCGACATTGGCGGCGGCTTCTGCGGCGACACCTTTGAGGACATGGCCGCCGTTCTGCGCGGTGCCCTCGACGAGTACTTCCCTGCCAGCAGCAACGTCAACATCATCGCCGAGCCCGGCCGCTACTACGTCTCCGCGGCCTTCACCATCGCCTGCAACATCATTGCGCGCCGCACCGTTGAAGACCCCACCCTCAACGAGAAGCGCTACATGGTGTACGTCAACGACGGTCTCTACGGCAACTTCTCGAGCATCATGTTCGATCACCAACATCCGGTCGCCAAGGTTCTCCGTGCGGGCCCCTCGACCGTCTACGATACCTCCGCAGCCAACGCATGCCCTGACGGCGAGGGCATCCGCTACTCCGTCTGGGGCCCCACCTGCGACGGCATCGACCGCATCACAGAGACCATCTCCTTTGAGCAGGAGCTTGACGTCGGCGACTGGCTCTACTTTGAAGACATGGGCGCCTATACCAAGTGCTCCGCCACAAAGTTCAACGGCTTCTCTAACGAGCATGATGTCATCTACGTCTGCAGCGAGCCTGGTGCCAAGGCCCTGCTCAGCATCTAGTTTGGTGTGGATTCGTATCTTTTGGTTGCCAGTTAAGTTGTTTTTACAGAGGCGAAAGAAAATAAAACAGGAAGAAGACAAAAAAAATTTTTTTAGACGCGGAACAAAAAGCTAAACAGCAAACAAAACCCGGCCCAACAGCACACATTGTAGAAATGTAGCCATTCACTTCAGATACGTAGTTGGTTATTAGAAGATTTTGTTCCTTGTAGCATAGGAATAATATAGTTCGATATCGGGCCGCACCACGCATCCGTTGCAAAGCTGCAGTGACAACCTTTGACAGTCTTTTCACAGGTCGCACTCGCCATGAATAACCACTTCCTGTTTCACCAAGATGTTGATACCGGCAGCAGCAGCAGCAGCACGCCGCCACACATGCACCATCGACGTCAGTCTAGGCGTGAGGCTCATGCAAGACATGCGCTTCCCCCTCGCGTCGCGCGCTTCGCTGCAGGCACGGTCGGGCGCATGATGCAAGGGGCCCCACACCGTGAGCCTCTTGCGGCTGCCTTCCTAACAAACAGTTTGTCCCAACGCAGCAACGCAATTCGCACTTTCTTCATTACTGCTTGTCCATGCTGTCGTCCCTCTACTTGGTGACCAGCACACACTACTACTCGTTGAGCCCGGATGCGCTCTCCTCCCCCAACCAACATTCGTCGTGGCGGGCGAATGCAACCTAGCGTCTCTTGCCTTCTTTCTCTGTCTAAGCTGCGCCGTGAAATGCCAAAATTCGTGGGGACGCTTAAGAGTGTTTTTTTCTTTTCCATGCCATCCGCCATTCGTGAAGTTCCTTTTCCCGGCCCCGGTCGTTAACCCCCACCATTCATAAAAGCGTTCGTCTTTCGTCCACCCACGGTTCACCGTGTTCTGTCATCTAATTCGAGTATTGGTTTTTCTGTTATGTTCATGCGTCTCTCGACCTGCTCGCACTGCGGTCGTTTCCAGGCTGAAGAATACTCCGAGCTGTGGCTTCGTCGTAGCCGATGACGTTTGTCAGATACAACATCCTACACCTGGTCAGCATAACCTCTCATCACCCAGCCATACAACACTCACCTGTCATCGTTGATCTCACGCAGTTTGAGGTCCTCAAACCTCTGCTGGCAGTCCATCCACGCCATCGCCCGCGCTTTCGGCTGGACCTTCTTGACCGTGAACTTGAACCGGCCAGTGACAGGCCGATGGTCAGATACCCGTACCTCGTGGCGCTTGTAGTCGATCTGCTTAATCCTGCCACCTCCGCGATACAACAGGCGGTCGCACCACGCCGGCGAGCGCTTCTTCTCGCTCGTATCGTAGTTATCCGTGCCAACATCGTACTTGTAGGTCGGCGCGAAAGTGATAGGCATCTCGTCGAATGCCCGCAATTTGAAGGCTGGGTTCCGCCGCTTTGCCACGAGCAGCTGGTCCCGCTCAAGAAGCTTGGCCAGGTTGTTCTGCTTGACGGCGATGACAACCGTATCGCGAGACATCGTGTCAATGCGGTAATTGAGATCACCGTTGAGCAGACATAGCTCGTGGTCCAAGATCATGGTGCCGTCTCCGCCGCCGACAAAGCTATCCAGGCGAGCGTTGGGGTCCCGTTCGGGTGGCAGAATTTGTGCCTCAAGAATAGCAGCCACATCATTGTGGCGACTGTTGGCTTGCGACTGACCTGCTGCTAAATGGCAGTTGATGAAGCAGAGGGACGAGTCATCCACCATGAACCGCACAACGATGGCGCCCTTGTTACCATGCAGGCCGCCCATACCACGCTTGACTTCTGCCGCGCTGAGATTCTGGATACGATCTCTAAGTGTCGACTTAACAAAGATGCACGTGAACAACCCAACAAGCGTGGCCGTGTGCAGTAGATGGTACAGACAGTCCGGCGGCATATAGTCGTCGAGGCTCTTCAGCAGAAAGTCTCTCCAGTCGCGGTACTGGTGACTCATGCGCTCCTGATCGGAACCCTCCTTCTTCTTGACTTTTAGAAAGCGTTCTGAATGGGTTAGCCTTGATCATTACTTTGAATGGGCTGACATACTAGCTGTTGCTGTTTTGTCTTCCAGGTCTACCAGCTCTTGGAATCCAAACACGAGAATGTCTGGGGAGCTGTTGGCCGTGAGCAGACTCTTGATGAACTCGGCATCCTCCTGCGCATATCGCAGACTGTGAGGCGTCGAGGCACCCGCGTTCCAAGTCATACATAAGACCTTGAGGTCCTGGAACTCGCAGTACTGCGTGTCCATTGCCTTCATCTCCGTCTCGTGCCAGTCGTCCTGTAGCAGGCCGTCCCAGACACGGATCATGTTGTCGGCACCAAGCGAGATGACCTGGTGGCGATCTAGCCGGTAGCAGCTCGACACATCCGAGACGAGCTTGACAACCGGGTTCTTCTCGTGAGCTTGCCAGTCTTTCTTGACAGCCCAGGGCGTTGGCTCCATGTCATAGACGCCGACCTTGCCGGTGTTGAAGCCTGCCCACAAATAGTCACCAACCCCTGCCAGAGAATTGATCTTCCAGGAACTCAAATTCACAAGACCGAGACATGTGAAGTCCTGTGTACTGTAAATAGACACCTTGCCATCGGCATGGCCGAAGAACACCTTACCCGGCTGCGACCGCACCTGGGTCCCCGAAGTCACCTCGCCTGCAGTTTCCTGAGAAAGAGCGCGGACCAGGACTTGAAATTGAGTTTGACCGTCCGACGTCGGGGCGAATACTCGAATCTCCTTGCCGGTCGCGTGCCACAGCTCGTCTCCAATAACCATCGAAAACGAATGGCCTTTGGGCAGCCGGAAAGCCTGGTGCGGGTTATTCGTTAGGTTCGGCGTGCTTGTCTCATCAGGACCCCAGACGAGCAGGCCGCCCGTTTCATCCAACGTCCACAGCTCATTGAAGTGGCGGTAGATCTTGACAACCTCATGTCGTCCATGAGCCCCTGGCTTGTTCGCAATCACGCTTTGCGTGGCGATGTCGGCCTCCATGAGCTCGCCAAAGTTGTTACCGATCCACAGTCGCTTCCCTTCTTCGTCCACGTTCATGCCGGGTTTGAAGGCCACCGTGGTAGCCTTAATGCCTTCGCCATGGGCAAAGCTCATCAAAAGCTCGCCATCCCGGAGACTCCACACACGCGTGAGGTGACCGGTCGTGCAGATGAGATCGCCACAAACGTCAAAGGTGCGCGGGTCATACTTGGTTTGAATTTCGTGCATGCCGTGCTTGATGTATGGCGGTCTTCGGTTGACGTTTGCTGGGTCCGGAAAGTTTGGCGTGGAGCCGTTGATCTCGACTTTGGAACTATTGCTAGAGGGGATTAATGACATTGTTGGCTCGGGCTGAGGATGCGCGGGTTGCACAGGTTGAGGCGGTTGCGGAGGCGGGGGCCGAGGAGCAGCTCTCTCCGACGTCCGGTCAGTCACCGTGTTCGCGCGCCCCGGCAACCTCGTCGGAGGCGGCGGATGTGTTGTAGGGGTTGAAACAATACGTTTTGGTGGAGGCTGAAGCTCAGAAATCGAGTGTGTGACGGCATGCGTACTGACGCCCGGTCTTGGAGGTCGCGGGGGCGGCTTCATGGTCACTGGCGGCCGCGGCGGAGGCTCTGCAATCGTCTGCGGCCTCGCGGGAAGTGCGGGCACGGTCGGCCGGTCGCCGGTGATCTGGGGTGTAATCTGCCCCTTGACAAACCCGTTCGCTTCCTGTTCCCGCTGGTTCCGCTTCGTAGCGATCGAGTGGTGAACGGGCGGCGGTGCGAATCCTACATCTAACGGTCTTCCGCGCTGAGGCGGTGGCGGCTCCGTCTGCGTAACATGTGCTTTCGGCCTGGTGGGCAGCGTGGGAGGCGTCGGCTCATGTAGACTGTCGGGACTTCCGGGTGGGCTGCTAAATGGCGAAGTCTCCACTCGGAGCTTACCTCTGCCATCGGCAGCAAGCTGCTGGTCAGTATAGAAGGGAGGTTTCGCCTGCGCCTGCATAGATGGTTTCTCAGCCCGATTGATCGGCGGCGGCACGGCGGGTTTGTTGTCTCTCCGAATCTCCCCCGACCTTCTCGGCGGCGGTGGTGAAGGCGGCTGGGAGGCTGAGAGTCTGGGTGAACGCCGTGGCTCGAGCGAGGGGGTGTGTGGACGGCTTGGGATCTTGAAAGTCCGCGACGTTGTGGGAGTGGTAGGTGTAGAGGAGCCGGAGTCCGCATTCAGAAACGTCGGCGCCTCGGCGTGCGCGAACCTCGAGACGGAATTCTTGGGAGGTGACTGGGGAGGCTCAACCATGACGGAGGGAGCCTTCACCGGCTCGGGCTTCAGAGTGGGAGGAATACCCGGGGGGCGGCCGGGCGAGCGAGGAACAGGCTCATGCAGCGGGGGAGGAAGTGACGGAGCCGAGATGCTCGCACGCTCTCGCGGTCTTGGGGGAACCGGCAGGCTTTCGGATGAGGCTTTCGCATCTCGAAGGAATTCTGGCTTCGGAGCCGGCGAGATGGTTCGGGGCGGGGAGGGGCCAGGCGCGGCGGCGGATTCGCCGTTCTTGTTCATGTTCTCGAATTGCGCCCTCAGGGAGGAGACAGGTTTCTAAAGCGACGTCAGCACGGCAGCAGCACTACGTACACAGGACACAAACTAGTGATGAGCCATCGGGCCCATTCTGAGCAGGAGGAGCCATTGTGGCAGCAGAAGACGACAGCGGGGGCCCAGGGCGCTGATACCCATCACACCCACGTCTTCAGGTGCGTATCCTCATGAGCCCATCAACGGCGGGCGTTTGTTCGAGGGCTGGCGCCTGCTTAACCGAGGACGAAGCTGCTCAAGTTGGGCGTCGCAAGGGTGCGTAAGCGGGCGAGAGTGTTCGTCGTGCGTGGATGTTCGGAGAGATTCTGACAAGAGGGATGGACGGCCGTGCAAGAGGGCTGAGGAGCATAATGATGCTGGGCGGACGTTTCGAAGCTACTGCGACGCGCGAGAGAGCATGACCAGGAGGAGGGCGCGCGGGAAGAGAGCGACGGGTGTGTTTTGTTGTGGTGGCAGTCTGCGTCGTTGTGATTATCGACGAAGTGGCATTGCAACGGCCCCTTGGAGCAATAAGATTCCCAGTCGGGTGTACTATGTAGCCGTTTTGCTGGGACGGCAGTGTGGATGGTGTACCTGATTCGCCGGTACCTTGGAGGGGGCACCGCTCTGGGGATGGGGGAAGTACCGTTCTCTCTGAGATGAAGCAGGGCAGGGAGGGAAACGTGTGCTAGGCACGTAGGCCGCAGTAGTGCTCTGGTGCCAGACAGGAGAAGATGGTGGGTGGTCACTGACACTGGCACAGGAGAGGGGGAGGTAGCGGTACGTGGTGGGATGTACGTAAGGTTTGAGGGGACTCGCCATCCAAACACTGCCGTCAATTACGACTTGCGCCGCGACGTACCTGTCCCGCCGCAGCATTGCGCCCCATCTGGGTTGGCAATATCCATAATGACATATGACCCTGCCAAGCCGTGTCTCCATTTTTGCCAGCCTCATCAATTGGGCAAGGATTGAGGGCCGTTGCGGGACTCTGCTACTCGCCGAAGAGAGATGGCAGTGTGCAAAGGTACGACAGCCTGAGGTACGGTACGGTACCTCCGTCCAGGCACGACTCCCTTGGGTGTGCGGGCACGCGTACGTACAAGGGCCGTTTGCCTTGGTTCCTGAGGAACACCACCTGTTCCGCAATTAGCGAGCCCACAGCCTGGTCTGCCGCTGAAAGCCTTCACCCCCCTGTACATTCCTTGCGGTCGTTGAGTCCGGCGCAGTAAGGTACAGTAGGTTGTCCCGTTTGTGGGATCCAGCGAGGTACGTATCCTGACCTGCCTTACCTCAGCTCCAACTGCTCCGAACAGGCTAAGCCGCCTTGGTCATTCGGGGTCCATAAGTTGCGTGCACGGTGCACAAGGCCAAGCAATCGGCTATACTGAAGCTCCATCATCAGACCATCCCACTTTCCACAGTGCGTCCTCAGTCCTCAGTGGTAGGCTTGCGCTCCGATTGACCAGGCTCACAACGTCCTCGAACCAACTCCCAACAGGGCTACGGTTTTTTTTTCTCTTTCTTCCTCACCTCGACGAACAAACATCTTCGCTTCTGCTACAAACCCATCGATCGTCAACCTCAATCCTGTCGTAAACATGAACACCGTAAGTTGTCCCCTAACCGTCGCATCTGGTTTCAAGTCATTGGCTAACATCATGCCTGATCCCAGGTCAAATCGTTCTGGTAAGCTTGACTCGTCGCAAACCAATCTCGTCGTCGACCACTCACTGACACTCCTCGTCGCTCAGGCTTGGATGGGGCTCTCTCTGTGTTGGTACGTCGTCACCCAAGCCTCGTGGTCCGGGTCTCAGTTAGTTAACCTTGTCGCATCGTAGCCGGCGGAACCGCCTATTACTTCGCCAAGCAGAGCATCAACGCCGATCGCGCCGCCCGCTTTGAGGAGCAGCGCAAGAAGAAGATGATGGCCCAGTCTCTCGAGTACGGGGACAACGTCCCCGCCCAGCCCGGCTCCGCCACCAGCATGGGTGGTGAGGCGCGAACCGATACTGCCGGCTCTCCCAGCCAGGAGTCCAGCTCCGATCCTGCCCCGACTCGCCACGCGCCGGCCACCGAATCCGAGAGAGTGTTTGAGAAGAGCAAGTACGAAAGTAGTACACCGTTTAAGAGTCCCAAGGGGGATCGCTTCTCGTAGCCGGACGGGAGTGGGAAAGGATTGTGGATACCGAGTTTGTGTAACATAATTGCTCGGCACATTGCGGCCGTACACTGTATCATTGAGGACGACACGACGGAACGATGTCTTTTCGCGCTTGTATTTGGCGGTGCTTGGTGTTCAGGTGGAAGAAGCAGGTGCTCATTGAGGATCACAGTTGGTCAATGATTCATTGCATGTAGACCTATGCAAGTCTCTGGCTCTAATTGGCACAAGATGCCTCCCTCTGTTTGCACGAATATTAACTAAATTACCTGTACTGTTCGATTTTATCGAAGGACATCCCAATGGCTGGGAATGGTATTCCTAAGCTACACGCGATCAAAAGCATCAAAGCTTGGCCCCAAGGGTAGCTGCGGCGGAGTGGCGGATGGCGCCCGCCGTTAGACTGGCGGTCATTCACACTGGGCATATGGGTCCAACGCCGCCCGGAAGAAGCCGTGGAGCCCGATCCTTCTACCTCTCTCTAGCCTCAATTTCTCAGCCACACTTTGAACACACCTACAGCTGTTGCACAGCGAAGCTCAACAGCTTCAGCTCAGTATCCCACCTCACCTTCACGCGAGCCACTCATTCTTTACCTGTCATCCCCAACGGGATGCGAACTTTACCACAATGGCAAACCCCGAGCTAGCAATAGCCAAAGCCTCCTTCAGTGCCATCCTCTTCCGCAAAGAACCCGTCTCGCTCACTCGCCCCGAGATCGAGTCCTTCCACACTCTCCTCCACGACGCGATACACCAGTGCTCGCCCGCCAACGTTCAGGTTTGACGCCCTCCAACGGCCTCTCTAGCCGCACTATCCCGTCTTTGCCGTGCTCTGCACCTTGTGTTGCAGGTCGACTAAACTCCTGCTGCCTAAATCTAGAAATGCAAGCGTTGGATTCTCGAGAACCTGGTCCCCTCGCCGGCGCGTGTCGCCGCCCTCGGTAAATATCTGGCCGCCCTCTCCAACTCCTTTCCCGACGAGGCCAAAACGAAACCGTCCACCCGACGACGACGCCTACACATACTCTACGTCCTTCATGACGTACTCTACCACGCCGTCGTCCGCGATCGAGACGCGCGCTTCGCGACCGAGCTGGAGGCTAGCCTGACGCCCCTCCTTTACGGCGCCGCAAAGTTTCGAAACTGTCCGAAGCACACAAAGAAGGTCGAGGACCTGCTCGTCCTCTGGGAGAAGCACAAATATTTCTCACCAACCAGCATCAGCGGCTTCCGTGAGACCATCATAGAAGCGCCCAACGGACGGAACTTGTCCAAGGCCGTAACGCAAGATCAGACGGGCTCGAATCTCGGCTCCAAGCTCCCCAAAGATGCGCCGTACATGATACCCTCAATCCATGGGGATCCCAACACGCCCTGGTTCGACCTGCCTGCCGCCAACTGGCTGCCGCACCTCACGCCGAACTCGACGAAGCCTATGAACCCGGACATGATCAAGCCGCTGCAGCTCGCTCCTGGGCCAGCTGACAAGGCCCTTGCAAACGCCGTCAAGGACCTGCTCGTTGACGTTGAGAGGCTGTACAGCAAAAGCGCTACCTCACAGACTGCCAACTCGCAGCAGCACATGGACCTCAGCGAGATGGGCGAGCGCATCGTGCTGGACGAGATCACAGGCGAGGTTGTGGACGGAGAGACGTACTACGGCTGGTCGCGCAGGTTCTGCGAGAAGATGAAGCAGCGCAGGAAGAAGGCCAAGAGAGGGGACGACAGTCGTGGACGGGGTCGCTCTGATTCACGGAGCCGCTCGCGAAGCCGCTCACGCAGCTACTCCCCTGGTCGGTCCAGCAGAAGCAACTCCTCGCCCGCCTTCAAGCGGCGTAGGCTCTCGCCAGATGCGCGGAGCCCCAGCCCCAGCCCCAGCCGCAGTCGTTCTCGGCATCGGAGTCAGCAACGCGGACGGTACGACTCCCGCCACAGTCCATCTCGATCGAGGTCGAGGTCAGGGTCTCGTCCACGCTATAGATCGAGATCAAGATCCCGTAATCGAGGTCCGAGAAGAGACAAGGGCCGCACGAGCAAGTCACCCCCGCCGGAACGCAACCGACACAATCTGGACTTCGGACCAGGGTATCATGACCGGGGACAACCGCACTACCAACCACCACCTCCTCAACCTCCCAGTTATCCCCCGCCGCCGACTTTCCCGCCGTACCCTCCGCCGCTCCCACCGGCTAGCGGCTTTGGTCACTTTCCACCGCCCCCTCAAGGTTACCAGGGGCAATGGCCTCCGCCGCCGCCGCCGCCTCCTCCTCATATGGGTGGCCCCTACCTCCACACAACTGGTCTCCTCCGCCGGGTTCTGGTGTACCTCCACCGCACACGGGCGGATGGACTGCTCCACCACCGCCCCCGCAGCATCAGTATCAACAGTTTGGGCGTGGCAACGGCGGATACCGCGGCCGCGGGGGAAGGGGAGGCTACGATCGTGGGAGGGGTGGATGGTAGACGTGTAGAACAGCAGATGACCGTAAACATCAATGACAGAATACGAAACCAGTTCGTCACAGACCTGCGGCGCCCACATTGCTCTCGCGAAGCTGTTTTGTTACCCAAGTCTAATTTGTGACGATTACGTCTGTACTCGTTCATTGTCCAAGGCAGAAACCAAGGAGAACCCCTCAATTCCTCATGCGCTTCAGGAAGGAGCCGCAGAAAAAGAAAAGGAGCCTATCTCCCAAATTTCGCCTTTGTACGCCGGTCCTATCTTTCTCGTCCACTTCTTGTCCCTCCCCTTCCTTCTTCTTCTTCCCGGCCACAATACGTTTTTTCGTTCCCCCCAAACACAGTAAACCCCCGTTTCTGTTTTCACAAACGGCTGGCGAGTAACGACTCAGGGTCAGTGTGGAACACACTTTCGAGTTTGCATCCTCGCGAAATAAAAACCACAAAAAAAAAAAGTAAAGAGAAGAGAAGCAAAGAAGTGACATCATGAAAATTAAGTATGTTCCGGGGGCGGCGAGGCCCCATCCCATGAGCACGGAACCTTCTTTTCCTCTGCCCAATGTCATTTCCTGGGTGACTCTCTGAATCGCCCCTCAAGCACACACATGCATGAATTCTCCCTGTGAACCCTTCAACCGGCTGAAGGCGCAGAATTTGGTGGTCATGACTCCTCATCTGCCTCTACCTTCTCTTCACCATTTTGTTCCGAGCCCTAAAATCGGTCTGGTTAACTGGTGATCCAAAAAAGAAAAGTGGTCAATGATTGAAGGATGCAATAGTAATCCGCATGCCAGCAACAAAGAGCAATCATGTTTGGCTATGGGGTTATCCTACCGAGTCTTGTCGCTCAAGCCTACGATCCCTGCGATCGCCATCTTGCAGCTTGAGAGAGTCTAGTCGCTTCTGATTATCCTCGGTGCCGTCAACTTCGTCAACACGGGACAAAGACCCAGCATGTGCTCTGCCGGTGCCGGAGGCACCGTTCGCCGACCGCCTCTGCTCAGCCTGGTCCGTAATCGAAGCCCACTTTCTCTCGCGCAATGCTTCTCTGGCCGCCGCGCTGTTTTGCTGTTCAGTATAGTCGTGGGAGCAGTCGTCAAACAACTGGGGGTTGATCTCCATGAAAAGCTTCATCGCGTTGTAAACCATGCCATGGATAGTGCTGTGAGGGGTTAGCGTGATCCAACCACTGACAGATGCGGACTCACCGGTTCCAGTGCCCCTTGGAGTTCTCGTAGAGTGGCGCAAACATGATGGGCAGGATGATCTCCACATTGTCGCTAACCAGGTTACAAAAGTACTCATTGTTCCAGAAATACAGCGCGCGCTCAGCGACTTGGAAGTGAGGGCTGGCGACGGACTTAGCCAGCTGGTGAAACAGCGGCTCTTGAACTTTGGCGAACTCGGCCGGGTCCATGACTTCGAAGATGTCTTCGACCTCGTTAAGGAACATAACCTCTTTTGTGCTGTTGACTTTGGGCCAGTATCGGAGCAAGCCGAGGACGACCTGTAAATGTTAGCTTGAGCATAACCTCATGCAACGTCAAACTCACCTCCTCTGTCAGTGACGCGTCCTTCTCCAGAAACTGGACAATGCAGTATGCCAACTGAGGATGGTACATGCTCAGACTCTTGACTTTGTGCAATGGTATCAACACGCGGGTCAAAAAGGTTTTGTGCTCCTCCTTCAAGGGCAGGGCAAAACCGTTGATAATGGAACCCAGAATCTCCAGGAGCTCCGCAATGCCGTTGAATCGTTCTGTCTCGTAGGTGAATTGAAAGAAGACGTTGTTGATGGAGCGGCGGATGAACGATCTCAGGTTAAGGAACTTGCCATAGATGCGGTGCAGCGTCGTCTTGAGGAAGTCCCTCTCGCGCGGGTCCTCAGAGTCGAACAGCTCTAGCAGTTGCAGAACGAAGCTGTGGTCAATGTAAGCCTTGGCAATGTTGGTGTTGAAGTCCTGGCTCTCGATGAAGCGGAGGAAGAACTCGTAGACGACCTGGATGTGGGGCCACGCGACCTCCAAGACGGGCTCGTCCTCTTCGGGGTCAAACGCCTCTCCCTGGGGATTCATCGGGGGAGGAATGGGGCGAAAGAGGTTCTTGGCGAACATTTCAACGACTCTGGGATACATGGGTTCGGTAATGACTTGGCGGTTGTTGGCAACGTAGTCGAGCAGCTCGTGGAGAGCCAGTCGCTTGATTTCCTTGGACTTCATGTCGCCGCTAGCATCGTTGAAGTCAAAGATGACATTACACTGGTCAATCTTCTGCATAAACAGCTCCTGGCGGCGGTTGGGGGGCACCTCGTGGAAGCCAGGGAGCTTCTCAAGCTCGCGGTGGGCCGAGATGTCGAATCTCGACGAGTGCTGTCGTTTGGGCGTTCGGAGGCCCTCGGGCACGTCCTTGGGCGTTTGGTGGAGGCGGTCGAACATGAGCGACTTGGTGCCCGCCTTCGGAGGCGCAAGATCATGCGGCATGGTCTCGGCGGCACCGGGAGGTGGGACATGCTGGTCGGGTTAACATCGTCCACTGTGGTATCAGGCTGGGGTCTTACCGGAGCACTGGGGCTAATGATCACCGTGGGAGGCAATGTCCCGTGGCGAGCTGGAGAACCTCCACCGTTAGCACCCTGAGCGGCACCTGCAGAGCTGTAGCGGTCCGGGACGGCACCTTGCTGGTTGCTCAATGGAGACGGCTGGTTCGCAGCGCCGTGATCTCCGGGATGAGCGCCGGCGTTATTGGGAGGCAGGGGCTTGTTGCGAGAATCGTTCAGATTGGTCGTCGAAGACGATGGCGTCGGGTTGGGGGACTGGTTGGCGTCGCGGCCCGAACCTACGGATGACGGGGATGCGGTGCCATCCTTGGAGTCTTTGTTCTTCTTAGGCTTGTTGGGGTCTTTGCCGCGCGAGAGCTGAGCATGCTGGGTAGTCAATATCGTGGTCAAAGGTGGGATTGGGCTCAGGGGCCGGGTATGAACGGAGTACTCACCACCCTCTGGCTGAAGCGCTTCATTTTGGACGTCACGGTGATGTCCCTCTCCGTGGGGCGACAGACTCGCCCGACTCAACAGCTGCAACAAGAGACAGTAATCCGCAATGGACGCAGGTCCGACGGGTCGGGGTATGGGCAATGGTGTAGGGGGTGAGGCCGGCCAACAATGGTGTTGTGTTCTCGAACTGGGAGGTTGTGACCGGGTTGCTGATGCGCAGTGGATGGTGGTGCGAGGCCGCGGTCTAGGTCGCAGCGAGCGCGTCGGCGGATGGATATCGACGTGATGATGAAAGGAGGGCGTCGCTCGGCGAGGGCTGGGGCTTGGTTGTCAAGATGGCGTCGCTCCGCGATGCGAAGAGCAGGGGGAAGCTAGGGGAGAGGATTGGCGGGTTGGATGCGACAAAGTGACGACCCATCAAAATTGACAGATGAGGAGAGCGACCGGGTAGCGAAAGGAGAGAGCCAGATTCTCGAGGTTCGAAGAGGATGGGGGCTGCTCTGGATCGTCGGTAAAGCTGAAGTTGTTTGCGGGGCCCAGGTGAAGTGTGAGACGACAACGCGGGACCAGAAGCCGGCCTCCCCTAACGTGCTAGCGGCGGTGAAATATTAAGGTGAGCAGAGGTATGGGCACACAGTTGTCTGGCTCTCGACAGCTGGAGACGGTCCAGTGATGTGCGGCAGCCAGCCAGGAACAGGCCTCGACAACGGGGGGTGGCAGGCGGGCAGATCGTTTAGTGCGATGCGGTGCGGGATTGGGAGTTGGCGTCAGAGGTTAGATAAGGTAGTGTTGGCAGTTTGACGAAGACAGGATGAATTTGGAAAGTGTGAGGTTGAATGTGCGCATTGGACTGAGAGCAGAGCAGAGACACAGTCGACTTGATGCTGTAAGAGGGGACGAGGTTGAGGAGTGGAGGTCGAGGCTGCTGCGCAAAGGTCCTTCTGCATCAGCAACTGGCCAGGTACCTCTCTCCTACTGTGCAGGAAATGGGTGGGAACTGTGGTGGGTTTTGGGCCGTCAACGCAGGATACACGCTGGGAGAATAACAACAGCAGCGGCAGACGCAACAGCTGGGCGTCGAGAAAAGAGGGACGTACGGATGGGGGAAAGGGCCAGGGTGCTGACGGGTGGTGGTGAGGATGGCAGGCACTGGCGGGGACCGCATGTAGGATGAGGCAGTGACGCTACGTGTGTGCACGGATCGATGTGCATTAGGTAAGATAACGCCCCCTCTCTTGGTTGGTTGATGACCTTGGGTTGCGGGACGTCTGTGAGTGGCTGCCCAGGAGCTGGACCCTTGGAGCTCAATCTCTTCGTCGGCAGTACGATTATTCCGGAGGGCTGCAACGGGTGCGACCCCCTTGGACCCCCATAGGCGATCTCCACAGAAACAACATCACGCTGCGCTCTCCTGACGACAGCACACTGCCAGCCCAAGCATGGTCTGAAGAAGGGGTCTGGCTGGCCGACTCCGTGCTACTCGGCCAGCCACACTGTATTTTGGCTGGCTGCAAGTCACCTGCCAGCCCTTGCAGGGACCTTCACTTTGGGCTCATCCCGGGCAGTGTGGGCATCATCACACCACCATGGGTCCAAGCTACCTCAGAAACAACAGTTGCCAGTTCTTCGGGAACAAGCAATCAACTTTGGACGATGTGGCCGGCTGGGGGATCTGAAACGCCCATACGTCTGTCCGTCTCCATTCCTTGGAGAATACCTCATGTTTTGCTGCAAATAGAGTAGATGGGGACGGATTGTGGTCTGGATAGGCAAACGTTGCGCGCCCTAGACGTCTTGTTTGTGTCGTGTGCTCTCGTCTGAACTGAACACGTCGAGTTGGTTGACTTGGTGAGGTGTACCTAATGTAACGGGCTGTACCGACATTTGTTGCAACGTAATGCCTTCATTGAAATATCTATTGCAATCGGGCAGATGAGCATCTAGCAATCGCAACTATACAGTGCAAGGACTGCTTGCCGCCCAGAGCACCTGCAAAAATGTCGTGGCTGTCGAAGTTAGCCAGCGTTTCGCACCGTGCTTCACTCATCAACAATTTCAGTTGCTCAGAACAGCATCGGACATTCCAGGGCTGCGATAAGGCGCTGGACTCAACCCCGCCCGAAACGGCCTTAAACTCGACTGGCAGAGTCTGTTTTGGACGTCCATTAAGACACTGTCTCACAAGACCTTGGGAGCAGAAACAGCCAAAGAACCGGGCCCAAAACGGCGACTGATTGCGACGTCAACCCATGGGTGAAAGACAGGTACATGCAGGCCATCACCATGGACACCAAGGACGAGCGTGTCAATGACGGGATGGCGGATGAGGGCATCCACGACAACGCTCGACCGAAAGACACAGGCGGTCGCCCGTTGGCGGACTGGCAAGACAGCAACTCGGCACCCCGGTACCCCATCCCGAAGAGAGCCATGGGTGCCGTCGAAATCCCTATGATTGTCATGAACCTGGATCGAACAGAAAAGGCCTTTGGTAATATCTCATCTTTTCAAAACGTGTGTACCAACGTCCATTTACACTCGGCAAAGGCTGACCATGCCAGATCCTGGACACGGAGCGCAACACAATCCCATTCTATCTCAACCCCGAGAGCCCCTTCCGCAGACCCATCATGTCTCACAGCGCTACCAGTCACAACGTGGTGTTGAAAATCACAGTGCCGAAGCGCACCGGCAGGAAGCGTAAGAGGGGGACCAACGGGCCGTGGGAGGGCGAGGTCGACATGGCCGACATCTCCAGGTCGAGTTCGTCAGGGGAGCAGATCTGCTCGAGATCCAGGCTGGACAACCCAAAAGTGTTACGGCGGAAAATGCAGGATAACGTCGACAACTACGACGTGGAGGCTGTCGGTGTCATCAAGCACACCCATCGCTTCAGAGGTAGGAACGTCTCTTCTCGTGATTCGGACTTGCTAACGAAAGGCAGGCATGGCGGACTTCCACTGGGGCCTCGAGCAGTCGCCTTTCATATCAAGGTTCATGAATCAGGTCATGCCTGGCGACAGTAAGTCTTTCTGTGTTCATCAAACCGACCTCGCTGACATGCGCAGTCACGCAAATGAGAGACTTCAAGTTCCTCGACGGCGTGGACAAGGGACCGAACGCAGACATCATCCCGCCGCCAGTGTGGACGCCAATGACACTGCCGTTCATTTACAACTACTCCCAGAATCCCTACGTGCGCTCCGAGCTCGATCACGCCGGCCAGACCAAGCTCATCAACACTCAACTGCCGACCCTCATCGGCTACTTTCTCAAGGCGGACCAATACCCTATCCCGGATGGGCCGCAGACGCCCTACGATGGCACCGACGAGGAGGTCACGCACTGCATCGCGCGCATGCAGGAGGCGATGGAGGAGCGTCCCATCTGGACACGCCGGTCGCTCATGAACAAGCTCGGCTCCATCGTCCGCAATGCTAATGTCATGAAGCGCTGCGTCGGCTACGTTGGCTACCAGTTCCGCGGCGGGCCCTGGCGCGACGCCATCATCAAGTACGGCATCGACCCTCGCACGGATCCGGCCTACCGGACATACCAGACCATGATCTTCAACATGCGCAAGCTGCAGGCGGGCCACATCGGCGAGACATGGCATGCTATCCGCAGCCTGCGCACCGAGCAGCGCCAGCCGCAGGGTGATAACCATGAGTCTCACGTCTTCGACGGCAAGTCGTACTGGACTGACGGCAAGGTCTGGCAAATCTGTGACATCACCGACCCGCTCATTGCGAGGCTCTTCGCTGAAGCGCCGCAGCGGCCCGAGGTCGACATTTACAACAGCGGCTGGTACCACCAGGGGACGTGGGCCAAGGCCAAGGGCATCATGAAGACCAAGATGATTGCGATCCAGTTCGGCCGCAAGCTCAGGGACGACGACTTTGCGGGCATCTTCGACGTGCGCGATACGACGCCGCCGCCGGGTGCCTCGAGCGTCCACGTGCCGCTGCCAGACCTCGAGCTCACCGATGCCGAGAAGCGCGTGCTGTACGGCCGCCGCTTCAAGGAGCCCAAGAAGAAGCGCAAGGGCACTGCCTACCGTGTCACCAAGTCGAACGGGCCGCGCGGCGTGGCCGCTGCGGCGGCGGCAGGCAGTGGCGGGGGCACGCCAAACCCGGAGATGGGGGTACAGGAGGAGCTCATGTCTGCCGGGGAGGACAGTCTCGAGGAGGACGATAGTGAGGGCGATGATGACGAGGATGGCGAGTTTGGCGGCGAGGGGCGTGTGTTTGCGCCCGTGCCTGGTCTCGATGAGGCCATGGATGGGATTGCTGAGGAGTACGGCGACGAGGACGAGGATGGGGTGGGTTACGGCTACGACGAGGATGCCGAGGGGTACGATGAGACGCATGTCTATGACAACGTGGGCGAGCTGCATATCGGCGTTGCGTATGCGGCAGAACAGCCTGGTGAAGCGGACGTGGAGACGGCCTATCCCTCGGAAGCACTACCATGATGGACTTTCCAAAGTGGATAAAGGGGGCCGTACCGCTCACAGTCACAGCCAGCAAAGTAGAGAAATGATAGCTACTACATTGCAGACATACCCCGGTCACACGATGCAGCAAGTGTAAACACAGCAAGGCTTCTCCGTGTTGTGCGTTTCTCCAATCTAGGCCTAACATCTTTCCCTTGATATATATCTCTATCCCATATGCTGATATGCGTCATCAAACCATCGCGAACATACATAAAACCGTAATAATAGAAAAGCGATAGAAAGTCGTCGAGGGACATCAAGAACTCTACCACAGAACCGTGGCATTTAAAATCGCGGCGTGACGAACAGAGACTCGCCGACATTACGTGTCTTACAGGACCTACCTCACTGCACCTTGAGCACCTTGGTCCTGTTCTCCTTCTGCTGCCTCATCCCCTCAACCCACTCAGCTGTCTCCTTCAGCGCTCGTCTAGGGTCCTTCTTGCGCTTGAGCAAAAACCCCTGGATTTCAGCGGGGCTGAACAGTCCATCGGGAATCAGGGCGCCGAACTCGGCCGCGATCCGTCGTAGCTCTTCGGCGTCGAACTCATGCTTCTTCTCGGCCTCTGTACTAGCCTCCGGCGACAAGGGTTTATCGGGAAACGATGACTTGGTGGGAGAAGCAGTCGAGGACGATGATGCGGAGGACGTGCCGCCGTTCACGGTGATGGGCGGCGCCGGGTTCATGGGGGGAGCGAGGTGTCCGTCAACGCGCTTGGCCGGAGAAGCGCCATCCGCCTCATACATGCGCTGGAAGAGCTCTGTCGCTTGCGAAGGGTTGCGTTGGTGAAGCCGACCTGCAGGTCGACGCGGCCAGGTCGGATTAGAGCCTCGTCCAGAGACTCGGGCTTATTTGTCGTCATGACCAGAATGCGACCCTCTTGTGATGCGACGCCATCAATGGCATTCAGGAGTCCGGACAGCGAAATGCCCTTCTTTTCGTCGTTCTTGGCCTCCTTCTTAAGGGCACGCGCGAGGTCAGACACCTTCCAGTCATCCTTGCTCGTCTTCTTGCTGCCTTCCTCTTTGTCGCCTTTTTTACCTTTGTCGTCGGAGGGGCAGCATCAACCTCTTCGTCCGCTCGGCTCAGACCTGCCGTGTCAATATCCTCGAGTAGCACCACACAGCGGCGGGGTAATGAGTTGAATAACGTCCCGAGGTCTTCTTCTGTCAACGTCGGCTCAAGTAGGGAGATGACAAAGATGTCCAGACCAAAGACGCCAGCTAATGCAAACGACAGCGAGGTCTTTCCGGTTCCTGGTGGCCCGTAGAAGAGATATCCGCGGCGCAGGGGAATACCACGGTTGGCGTACCAACGAGGGGTAGCCGGGTGGAGGTATTCGTTCATGTCCGCAAGCACCTGGCCCTTCTGCTTCGGGTCGAGAACAACAGTCCGCATGGGCCGGACGGGGCGGTTGGCGACCTGGCTCCAGTTGTAACGTCCGCCGTACCGGCGCATCGGTGCTGGACTTGGGCGTTTGATCGTTGTGCGAGCGTAATGGTCTTGGTAATAAAATTCCTTGACGAATTGTAGGAGTTCCTTGATAGGCTCTGGGCTCCGGCCGAAGCACGATACAATGAGGTCCTCCTCCTTTCTGAACGTCCCGTAGTTCGCTTCGCCGTCAAACACGTTCTGTAGCTTTCGCTGAAGTCTAAAGTAGCGGCCTTTGAACCAGAAGCCGTGGACGCCTACTGCAGGCACGTATCTCGGGGGCTGCAAATGTCAATACTCTATCATCATGATGTTAAAGGGCCGACTTACAGCTTTGGCCTCCTGGTTAGAAAAGTTGAGGTACTCCGTATTGCCGCCACCACTACCAGCAATGGTTCTTGTCTGCAGCGCCTCGAGCTCTTCTTCCTCTTCCCACGCGGTCTTGCTTACGGTTTCGGCCGTCAAAGACCGGGAGCTTGCCATCAGCGGCTGCAGTGCCAGCCACTTCATCATATGAGTGTAGATCTCATCGGTGCTTGTGATGTGAATGTTGCTCATGAAGTTCTCCTGGACCAGTCGGAAGATGGCGCCGTATACTTGACGGACAACTCGGTTGGTAGCCCAGAAGAAACCTACCAGAGTCAGGATAATGGTTGGGTCGATTCCCAAGTTGGAACCGATCATCTGATACAGTAACATCAGGGATCGGAAGACGGGGTTAAACTGGCCGCCTAGCATGGGCAATAGGCTTTCCATCATCTTGTTGTTGCCCGAGTACGATCTTCCGCCAGTCATGTTCTCGGCCATGGCTGATAGGTTGCCCTTGAAAAGGGTTGCAAAGTCCATCTTGCCCAGGTCTATCATTGAAACTGAGGGGCAATGGTGCATCCGGTGAGTGATTGAATGGAGGCTCTTTACCAGCTTATATACGCTGGTCCGAAAACTCGTGGCAGCAAGGGTGTTCAAATGGTGTGAACTGGAAGAGGCAACCAAGAGACGCGCTCACTCTGGGCGGACCCCTGTCTTGGCAAAGTCGACAAATCTGGGAAGTAGGTACCGTAACATAAGTGAGCAGCTAAGAGGAAGCGCTACTCTTGCAGGCAAGTCAGTTGTGCGACTAAAATCGGGACGGAAGCGTGAGGCAGACTAGGTAAGCAGGAAGGGCGGCTGCCTAGGTGGCGACTGTAGTCACACTCTGCAGTGAACGCGTCTAGGGAAACAAGAGAGTCTTGCGTGTCTTTGAGGTTGAATAGTATTGGACGGACTATAGCCAGGTGCATGCAAGAGAGAGGATGGAGGAGTACGTGGATGCCTCAACGTCATCAACAGTTCACTGGAGCTACTGTTGGTGCACAGATCGGGGAGGAAACCATTGGTTCAGCCCAACGGAGCGATGCAAAACTTGTCGGGGCGGGCTCTAACAGAAAACGACATGCAGCGATGTTGCACTTCAAATTGGCTGCGCCATCCAATCCAATCGTTGTGGATGGTTTCTTGGGCGAAGAGGCGACAGGACGTCTGCGTGTGAGTCACCCAGTCTGGATCTTGACCGAGACAAAGCATACCGGCAAGAGAAGAATGATTTTTAATATAAAGGATTATGAAGGAAGGCGGAGGCCTGGTCCGGGAACTGCCCAGTTCAAACCCGAGTAGCTCTGTCAAAGTGCGACGAAATACATACGCAAGGTTCTCTCGTCAGAAAGAAGAACCCGCCCGGGGGCGAAAGATGCAGGAGGCGTACCTAGGTGACACTGGGTACAGCACCCGAAGGAAGTCGGTAACAACGCCCCGTAACTGCTGGCTGCTGTCGCCTGTAATGCTGGAAAGCTGAGCCGCTTCTGGCCGCCACTAGGGAGGCTAGGCAGATGCCGCCTTATCCGCCTGCGCGGGGCCCACAGCGGCCAACTTGCTGTGTGCGGACCACTTGTTCGGCTTCGAACCAGATCTCAGAACTGGACTTCCTTACGCCAGTTACTCTACCGGCCTATAAGGAGGCTTCAGCTCTTGAAAGCAACGCCTATCGCACCGTCGAAATGCTGCAGGGGTTGCACAGAAGTCTTGAATCGTTTGTGATCTCGATCAACAGGAGCTGTACACATATGCCGATTGTGCAAAACATGTGAAAACCAGAACTGCAGCGAGGATACATCTCACCCTCAGATAGGGTTTGAAAAGGATGAATAGGAAGTTATGGGACGTCCGAGACCTTGGTATCTGTGCGGAACTGTTCCCTCAACGTTGAGCTTGCGGGACGCAGGTAAGGGGCAGTTCGAGGCTTGCAGATAGATGGATGGTCCAGCGGCCGTTTGTGTTTAACGGATAGCCTTGCATGTGCTAGAACTATCGTGGAAGTCGATGAGACGGAGTATTCACCGTCGAGCTCGTCCGCCAATACCCAAGGCATGTCGCTCCCATATCAGCACATACCATGTCTCACCGCGTCACTACAGCCTATCATGCCTTGTGCCAAATAGCCTCACTGACCCACTTTGTTTTGATGTAGTTAAGAAACTAGCTCTATATTTTCTCATCCTCTGGATCTTCACGCACGTTAATCAGAATCTTCGTCACTGTAGTCGTCGCCCTCGCTGTCATCCTCATCGTCGTTCTCCTCATCCTCATCGTCTTCGGGCTCCTCCTCGTCATCGTCGCCGCCCTTCAGGCCATAATCATCGTGGAAGTGAGCAAGCTGCTGCACGTCCGTCTTGTAGCCCATGTCCTTGAAGGCCTTCTCGATGTTCTGTACCCCTGTTAGCGAGTCATTCTGTGAGAGGTCCACGCGAGCTTACCTCTTGCAAAATCGGTGCACACGTAACGACAATGTTGTTCTTGCCCGGCTCAAACAGCGGCATAATCAGCTCCTTCAGAACCGTCTTGATCTGCTCGTTGGTCACATCTCGAACATCTCGCATGATCTTCTTATGCCAATCAAGCGGCAGACTGCGTACAACACCGAGCATAAAATTCTGCGCCGCTGCCGACGCCATCGTTGACTGCTCATCGGCGAACTGGACAACAACCTGGCTGATAGCGCCTTCCTTTAGGTGGCGGTCGATCTCGACCTCGCCCTCAGCAATCTTACGAATCGTCTCCCGCGACGCTGTAAACGCCTTGCTGACGTCTGGCGAGCGGTAGACCTTGTATTGGATCGTGCCAGTGTCGAGCTCACGGCCAAAGTATGAGCCGTAGGCCAGACCCTGACCGCGGACGGAGTTCCAGAGGGGCCCCTCGGTCGTCTCAAGGTAGCCAATAGCAACCATGATAGCTGGTAGGCGTGGGTCGTCAAAGGACGTGATGCCTTTGGCTGTGCTGATGCCGTAGGAGCTGTCGGCTGTTGTCATGGGAACAATGACGGCACCGACAGCACCGGGCTTCTGTCCCTCCTCCGTGAGGAGGGTATGCGGCTTGATGATGGGGATCAGCTCGTCAGATCCCTTGAGGTTGTTGCTGAGGAGGTCCCAAGCAGCGACAGGCTCAGGCAGGCGCGCAACATCAGCCGTAACTAGAACACGCACGTTGTTTGAGGTGAAGAGCGACTTCCGCAACTGCTCAAACCACGACAACACCTTCTCGGGATCGGAGGCGATGAGCTTCTTGAGGCGACGCAGGTAGATGGCCCTGACTAGTGCTCGCTTTGCGACAGAGTATGATTCCTTCTTCATGTGGATGGACATGTCGACCTCCGCTGCCATGGACCTGCCGTCGCGCTTCAGCTCGGGAATGTCGGCTAGGTGCTTCTGAACGCCTGCCTTAAGGCGCTGGATATCGAAGACACTGTCAAACATCATTGTTCGAATCCAGTTAATGGCAGTGGAGTACTTCGAAGGTTCGATCTGGAACTGAATCATGACGCCATCAGGATCACCGTAGTCCCTCGTAGAGCGCAGGCCATAGCTGATGGTGTCTTGCTCCAGCTCCATGACGACCTGTTCAAAACCGACCTTCTGTCCATCGCGCATGATCGGGGTGTTGAAGAAGTTGTCATTGAAGATTGGCAACAGAGGCTTTAGTTCGATCGGCACCTGCGACGTGCCTAGGTAGACAGTCAGATGCACGAAGTTGGTTGGCACACTTTCGAACTGGATGAAAAGGGGGTCTTGTCCCTGCTTGGCGTCATCGATAACCTTCTGCGCTGCGTTATCACAGAGACCAAGAGTCTTGGCTTTTCCAGATCGCGCCGTGTCCGACTCGATAAAGTGAATCGATTCGGTGCCCGGGACGGGCCACTGATCGATCACTGACGCGGGAATGGGCTCGTCGTTCTTGGCCTTGGCGGCATCGAGGCGCTTCTTGAGATCATTCAAACCTTCAGAGCCGAGCTCCTCCTTTCTCTTTGCTAGCCTCGCCTCCTCGTCTTCCTTCTGCTTCTTAGCAAGTTTCTGGGACGGCTTGCCGAGGATAGAAACGTGGGGAGCATCAGAGAGCCACTTGCGAAGGAAGTCTCTCCACTGTGCATCCGTCCACTTCTCAAGCGTCTCGTACTCTGACAAGGACTCCAAGTCCCTAAGAGTGGAGCCATCACGCTTGCCGAAAAGATAGTCCGTGATTATATTATTGGAGTAGAAGCCCTCTGACTCCTCGGCCTGGAACTTGACTTGCAGACGTTCACGGTGTATACAGGAGGTCAGGTACTCCATGTCCAGCGGCTTCGAGGCAACCTCCTTCAGTAGGTCGATCAGTCTCTTCTCGACAAACTCTAGCTTCTCCGTTTCGACACCAGTTGGCTGGAACCAGATGACGGAGTTAGGCCTTGCGTCCCACCAGTAGGAGACCGAGCTGGCAAGCTCCTCCTTCTCAACGATGACGTTCTCGAGGATTGAGACAGACGACCCGCAGAGATATGTCAGTAGCACGTTGAGAGCAGATGTCTCGATGATATCGGTGCAGCTAGGCCCGAAGAATGCCACGGTGATCTCGCCGACGGACTCATCCTCCTCAGGGAAGTCGGCTGTCGTGATGATGGTCTCCTTGAGCGCAGGAGGCTGTGCTGAGTCGATCCAGGGTCTGCGCCTCACGTCAGCATCACTACTTCGCAAATTGGGCGGCTACCCACCTTTTGAAAGGGGAGTCTAAGGGGGGCAGGTCGTCCTTGATGCTCTCCTCAAACTCATCGAGGATCTGCAGCAAGTTGTTGTGGTCCGCCTCACCGATGATGACCACGGCAAGGTTGCGGGGCTGGTACATGTCCCGGTGGAACTGTCGAATGCGGTCGGGTGTCAGGACACGCAACGCCTCGGTCATGCCACCGGTCTCGTAGCGAAAGCCCACATTCTCGGGGTACAGCAGGCGACGAGCCCGAAGGTCCATGATCTCGGCGCTCTTGAATTGAACGGCCTGCATCTCTGAATACACCACACCGGCATCGTTGCCCTCGCCGTCAATGTGGTGCACCTCAGTCACGCATGCTTCGTCGGTAAGAACAGGCAAGATGACATGCTCCAGATACACGGGCAGAATCTGAGAGAAACCCTCCCATCCGGCGCTTTCCAGGGTGTAGGCAGTGTGGTCCACCGCTGTCCAGGCGTTTGTGCCAGAATAGGCTCGGGAGGCCAGCTTGTCGAGGAGTCCTTTGTATCGGTAGTTCTTGGAGCCCATGAAGACAAGATGCTCGAGGGTGTGAGGGGCGCCAGAATCATCAAAGATCTCGGTTGCGAGGGTGAAGTAGCCGTTGGTCTTGGGGCCCTTGCGATCGGCTACGATCACCTGCATGCCGCTCCTTTCGGAGACATACTGGCTGATTTGACACGGGGCGTAGTCCGTCTTGAAGCTCTGGACCTTGCGGAACCGCGGCTGCGGTGTTCGGTGTTCTTCGGGCGACATGATGTCTGGCTCCGTGAGCAGATTGCGGAAAGTTCTGGGTGAAGAATCAGCTTGAAGCGGTGCTTGGCTGCAGGGTGCAGAAGGAACGCCTTGATATAGGAAACAATACGAAGAGCAGAGCCAAAAGAAGTCATAAGCAAGAGCAACAAGGGCCCGGAAACTCAGGGAGAGAAACAAACTGCCGCAAATAGCTGATCCATTGTACGAGTCTCATGATAACGGGATCCCTAATCCCTCACTCAGAGGTGACTGGGGTATCGGCGCCAAGCAACAGAGAGGGGCGACGAGAGCCAGGGAACGGGTAGATGCAGAAGATTCTAAGACTGTCGTCCATGGTTGGGGGGAAAGGTCCGCGAGCCAACCAAAGTTCTCAACATAATACATACCCTATCCTGCTAGATAAGCTCTCTCCGTAGTAGTGAAGGGTACAAACGCCGAGGAGTGCGATCGCAACGGCGAGTGCCACTTGGCTAGCTCTGTGTTTGAACATGTTGCTATTCCGGACAAGATTCCAGAATGTCTGCTTTGGGCTGACAAGTCGTCGTGTTGCGAGATCGTATTTAAGGAGTGAAGTGACGGACGCGCCATCGTGACCAAGGATACAGCAGGCAGAAAGGCAAGGACACTTGAACCAATCGGGGAATTCGCATTATATGTCGGGGGAGGAGCAGTGAGATGGACGAAAGGCGCAGCAGCTTACCTTACAGAATGGCAGTTTCCCAGCCTGATTGACAGAGTTGAAGAAGACCAATAAGGCTTCCTAAGCACACCGGCCAGCCCGAGATAGTAAATGAGGCAGCGGTTACCTAACTGCCGAAGAAAGAGCCCTGACTCAAAGATGAAAGGTTGACGGTAACACACACAAGCCGTCTGCTGAAGTTTCTGGTGGTTCCAAGTGAGATCGGGGGTATCTTTGCGCTACTTCTGTGAGTTGCCACAGCGTTTAGTCGTCGCGGGGCACAAGAATATGAGAGATGTCGCCGATATGAACTGTACGGTGCTCGCATTGGTCTATGTCCATCTGCCCCTCCATTGTCCAGGGCAAGGGACCGGTGGGGTTTATCCTTATTTTCTGATTTTCGCAAGTCATTGGCGGAAGAACGGCCTCCGATTGGCCGACTACCGCGCTGGGACGTGTTGAAGCGCCAGCCGCTCGGGACAAGCTCGGATGGAACCAGTAGGTACGTATCGACATGAGCAACGACTGTGACGTGGGTTGTGCTTTCGGGACAGCTATGCAATCAGTGTCATAATTGTATGTAGCTCATCGCCTGGTTTAATGTGGCATCACCACGACGAGGCGAAGTCCTCCCGTAGCTGTCGCTTAACACAAATACCGCAAAACCTTGCGAATATTACGAGACCCTACGTCAACCACAGCGAACTAGTAGCGAGCAGCCTCCAGCTGTCGCATCCCGAACCCAACCGCAATTCCACGGGTCCACGACATCGAGCGTCACGAGAAGCTATACGAAGCGTCAGCGCATGCGATCGAGACGTAGGAAATGGCTATCGATACAGATACAAACGCCTCTGCGCAAATTGGAAAGGCCATTGTCTCCTTCGCGCTTGAAGGGCACTTCCCCGACGAGCAAGTGTCTTCGCTGTCGCTATCCTCTTCCGACCTGTCACCTGCGATCGAGGCACTGGGGAAGGCGAAGGGGCACCTGGAGGTACGGAAGGTCTCCTATGGGTCACACACTCTTGTTTTTGACGCAGACATAGTCCGAAATCCACAAGATCAACGAGGAAACCAAGGGCGATGTCAGCTCATGGGTGAACAATGCAAAAACGCTCCAAGAAGACATCCTACGATCCAAGAGGCTGGCCGACGACATTGTCCGACAATCAGAGGCCCCACAGGTCTCGGGGAAAGCTATACAAGATGCCGAAGAGCATGCTCACTTTCTCGAGAAGGAGGTGGTGTACACAAAACAGCTTCACCAAGTGTTACGAGGCATACAGCATGTGAATGAACTCTTGAGCGAGGTTGAGCAGGCGATGAACGAGCGGCGCATCATCGATTCGCTTCGATGGTTGGAAAGTATGGCTAGCCTGTGCCTATAACTACGAGAGAAGAGCTGACATCTGCAGAATCGTGGGCAGAGCTCGACGCCATTCCCGTCAACAAGAAGGCTTGTCGAGTTATGAGGCTACTGGATCTACGAGCCTTCGAGCTCAAATCGCACGTCCACGACGTTTTTGACCATTTATGGGCGTCACTCGTTCACACAGACCTAGAAGCTGGGTCCCTCGCTATCTACAACAATCTAGATGGTATGTCCTCCCTCTGACAATAATCGGGCGACTAACAAGCCGTAGGTGAGCAAATGACCCTCTCAGAAGCCATCATTGGCCTTCAAGCCTATAAGGAGGTCGAAGATCGAATGGCAAGACTTTGGCATGATGTCGACAAGGCCATTGTGTCTCCAAGAATGGACGCCAAAGCTTTGTCACTGCCTTCTATCCGTGCTGATGAGGTTGGTCTCAAGCACTATGCACTGTTGTTAGCTGCTAACATACAACAGAACGTCGTCGAATTGCATGGAGAAGCCGGCAGGTCAATAGATGAGCTCTTGACAGACCTCCACAAACTGGTCGATTTCCTGGCCAAGAGACTGACGCCTGATCTCCTGATGTTCTTCAGTCCCATCATGATGAGCGACGTGGTACCAAGACTCATTCAGGTGTGGCTAGACTCAGCAGTGCCTTCGACACTGAAAGATCTAGACCAGTTTCAGGCTGTCATCCAATCTGCTCGAGCCTTTTGCGAGGTTCTCGAGGCCAACGGATTCACAGGGTTTACGGAACTCAAGGAGTGGGTCGGTAGTGCTCCGTCAATATGGCTTGCCAAATGTCGAGAGACGGCTCTCGATTCTGTCAGAGTCAAGATGTCCAATGGTCCGTTTATCCTCTTTTCGCCTCAGTACCATGCTAATAGCCCCTAGGCCTTGGTGCGCCGAAACAAGTGGAAAAGGTCGAAAAGCAGATGGTGTCGAGGTCCGAAGGCAAGGAGTTGACTGCAAACGGCGTAGCTGGCACTGCAACGGATGACGACTGGGGTGCTGCATGGGGAGTCGACGATGATGCAGAGCAGCCAGCTGAGGCAACAGGAAACGCTCAAAGCACTCAGGAAGAGGACGATGGTGCCGACGCTTGGGGCTGGGACGACGACGACCAGGTGGCGGGGGGTACGGAAGAAACCAAAGACCCGCAGCCGCAGCAAACAGGAGACGACGAGGACGACGCGGCGGATGCTTGGGGATGGGGAGACGACGAGACGACGGAGCCGCAGCCCGAACCCAAGCCCCAACTGGCAAAGACCCAGACCAAGAAACAGAAGACGGCGCCTACTGAGCCGGACGAGAGCAGGGAAATGGTCCTTAAAGAAACATATCACATATCATCCATGCCGGAGCCAGTGCTAGAGCTCATCCTGGCCATACTCGAGGATGGTGCGGCACTGACACAGCCAGAGTATGTCATAGCCCATGACTAAATGGCATCTAGCTAACGTTAACAGATACGAAAGCAGCCCCGTGGCAGCCGCGGCGCCAGGCCTCTTCAGTTTGCCGACATTTGCGCTGGCCATGTTCCGGGCAGTATCGCCGCACTACTACTCACTAGACATTGGCGGGAATATGTAAGTGGTTGCCCAAGACACCGTGCTCAAACTGACAAATGTAGGTTCCTCTACAACGACGCCATGTACCTGTCTGAAAAGCTGGCCGACCTGGCGTCAACGTGGAAGGCCCGCGAGGACCTGACGACTCGCGCCCAGAACATGCTACGCATAGACAACGACATTATCAGCCTGCAGAACTTTGCAACACGTGCATACACCAATGAGCTTGGGGTGCAGAAGACAGTCCTTCGAGACCTGCTAGGAGGTGAGCAATGTTCTAGCCTGCTGAAGAATGAAGTGCTAATGCAGGCCCACAGGCGATCAAAGTCTCATGCAACAGGACGAGCTGGATAGCTGCGTGGACTCGGCAGTAGCACGTGTCCGATCCCTGGCGGTGACATGGGAGTCGATTCTGGCACGTTCGGTGTGGTATCAGGCGGTAGGGTCGCTCGCCGATGCCATCTCGTCCAAGATCATCAGCGACGTGATGGATGCGTCGTCCATCGGCCAAGACGACGCGTACAGGATTGCGCAACTCATTGCAAAGATCACGGAGCTTGACGACCTCTTCCTCCCATCGCGATCAACAGGCCAGGGGGAGCAGCCTGGGGCGGACGAGATTCCGACGACGGCGCAGTACACGGCCACATGGCTCCGACTCAAGTTCCTGAGCGAGGTCCTCCAGTCCAATCTAAATGAGGTCAGGTACCTCTGGAACGACAGCGAGCTAAGCCTATACTTTTCGGCGGATGAGGTTGTAGACCTCATCGAGGCTAGCTTTGACGCTAATCCGCGGATGAGGGAAACCATCAGGGCGATTCGGGAGAACCCAAGCCCCATGCACGGCTAAGGGGTCCGATCCAGGGGCCAGAGGAAGACTAAATAGGATGACTCGAGGGCGGAGCATTTGAACCAGGGGAGCAACAGACATATAGCGTTTCTGATGTATTGCAATACACTGTGTACTGGCTGCATCTGATTTTCCCCTCCAATATCAACTTTGTACAACCCCCTTCACGCCTTCTCAATCCAACCACAAGCGGGTCGCACCCGTTCTGTACCTATAAGACCACACCTATCTGTGGTACAGCTCACGCCCCTCCCCATGTCTCTTTCGCGCCTTCCCCACACACACGCCCCCCTCCCTTCCATCTGTTTCTCTCCACATTCTCCAACGCGACGCGCTGAACCCTGTCGGCCTCGGCACCTTCCACCCCAAATCTCCACCTTTACCCCAACTCCTTCAGGAAGTTTCTTCTGGCTGGTTTAAGATTTTCCACCTTTCATTCGTTTTGTTTTATTCGACTCCTATCTTCTGGGGCCGTGAACCGACAGTGCATCAACCAATCTCACAATCCTTCCAGTAATCTCTCATCCCCCTCGAGATCGGTCAGTCATTGTGATCGTACAGAAGCCGACCATTGCAGAGTGGGGTTTCCCCCCTCTTTCTGCCCCCGTGCCATTGTCACGTTTCTTACATATGGTGTCGCTGCGTTTTCTTCACTTTCCTGTCGATCACGATCTAGAACGTTGGGCCCCTATCCATAGATCCGATGGTTCCGTTACAGCAAGTGACAGTCAAACACGCGACGGGATAGCAAAGGAAAAGCTGCAGTAAACTTAATTCCGCATCACCCCAGCCAGCTTCACAATTGACCGTATCACTCTTTACACCTTTTTTCCCGCATCTTGTGAGGACAGTGCTCAAGGCCCTGAACTGCGTGTACAGTAGGGGAACATCACCCAAGGCCGTTTGTACCTATCCCTAACCCGGTGGATTTCTCCCCTTAGCCCCAAACTTTACAAACAAGTTTTTCCACTCATACACCAACATCCTTCCTCTCACCGGGCGGGAATCGAGCCAAGAAAAACCCACACACGGCACATGGCGAAATGTTCCATGCATACCACACCACTTCACTTTCGCCCCAGAATACTACCATAATACAAGGCGCTACTCTAGTCATTGGAAATTTCCAACAGTTCGAACCGTACCGCACGCGTCGCTGATCTTCGCTGCCCGTCAACATCCCTACCCTGTCAAGTGTCCGACCTGGAACGTCTCTCCCCTGGCTCTATGGCCAACAAGCACGCCCTCCACTGTCTTTGTCACATTCTCTCTACAGTCATGTCCGATTGAATGAGTGCTGTCTAGGACGTTCCTCTCGACAACTCATCGAAGCAGCTGATTGTAGAGGTACTTCGCGATACCTCAATCTGCCTTGGCACTTGCTGTGGACATGTTCAATCCCTTCTCCACGCCCACATCACGCGCTCCCCCGCACCCAACCCTCCAATTCGCCAGTGTTATTATTCGTCCAGTCACTCCAACAGTGACATGTGTGTTTGATCACCTTCTTGTTGCTTGATTCTCCTACAGACATGTGCAACTCTAGCGAGATTCCTCTTCTCGGAGCCTCCTCCGGACGACACGGCACAGCCGGAGGCACCGTGGTGAAGCAAAAATCGAAGCATCTAGGGGGTGGGTTTTTTTTCTTCTTATTACCTCATTGGCCAATTGCCCTCCCGGTCAAGGCTCAGTCTGCCGAGAATACCGTCTCGCTCGCTTTCTCATTCTCTATCCACGGATTCCCACATTCCCCGTAGAAGACGTACGATGTACGTGCGCCCCCGGTACGAACGTTGCTTCTTCTTTGCTTTTCTGCAGCTTAGTAGAAGCACCCTTGCTGGTATCGCCGAGAGATGGAGAAGTTGAATGTCCATGTCGTTGGGCGTGAGACATGCCCGCAGCTGCGGCTGGGTGGGGTTCCGGGCATCAACACACCCCCGGGCTGGACCGCTCCAGCCCGGAGATTGCACATGTTGCACCATTGCTAATAGTACGAGATTTCTACTCCATTCCATGCCTCTTGGACAACCCATTCCCAATCCCAGGGGCCGAGTTTTCCGCGACGACCGTGTTATATGGGAGAAGGGGGGACGTTTGCCTGGGCTCGCTCTGGATGGGCATCGGAGAATGGAAGCTGTAGCGATACCTCACGAGGATTGAATGACTTTCTGCTGGGGTGAGAGGGGGAGAGCTTGAGCACAGAGCACACACGCCCACCCGGCCCGGCCGCGAACGTCCAGCCGCCGGACCTACCTACCTGGGGCCCCCATCTCCATCTCATCCATTTCATTGCAACGACATCACATGAACAGCACCCAAACTTCAATCTCCCCAAAACACTCACACTCACAATCCCACATTGAATCCTCCTACAGTAAATTATCTGATCTCGATCGACCTGGCTTGCTTGGCTCGCCCAGGTTCTTCCCCCCCCCCCCCCCCCACCCCCCGCGCGCCGTACACGTATTCGCAAGCGTACCGCAAAGTACATGCTACCCGTACCCACTCAGCTCCAGTCCACTTCGCCGTCTTTGTCTCTTTTCCCCCAGGCCCCTCTCATGGAAACTCAAACGCCCTTTCGCCCTCACACACACACACTCTCTCTCTCTCCGCCAAGCTAAACCTTGACAGCATTCCTCAGTCCTGAGCACACCCTTCGGGCTCCAAAACAAACAAAATTACCCTTCAGCAATCATATTATGGTTTACCTGACGCAACAATCGCCCACACGCCCCCTCTCGCCCAATAAGAAAGAAGGAGAAAGAAAAAAGAAAACAGGTAGAATAAGAACTGAACCCTCGTTTGAAAACTGAAGACCAAAAACCGAAAACTCATGGCCCAGAGAAAGATTCCGATAGCACTGTTCTCGTCCGTGATCATTAACAGGAAACAAGACACTTAACGGCCCGACAGGACCCTCCCTCCTGTCGTTGGTCGTGCAAGCCACATCGTAGTCCAGGCTCGGCGAACGCCTGCTGCCATGAAACAAACGACCGTCCCATCGCGTCACCTCACGTCAACGTCTCCCCGTAAACTACAAAACAGATACACCGTGATTTCCAGTGTCGGAATTGCAGGCGGAATGTTGGAATAGTAGTAATTGTCCTGCCACTCAGCAGCACAGGCTGCGAATGGCGTCCTGTTTCTCTCTCATTTCGTTCGTAAGCTTCGTGAGAAGAAAAGTAAGATGCTCATAAAAGTCGGAACGCCAGTTCACTTCCGTCAAGAAATACCAACCAAAAACATGCCAACACCCATTTCCCCAAGTTCATCTGGCGTATACCCTAAAACATTCAAACTCCCCGCCCGGTCCATCCATTCCAGACAATTATGCTTCATGTCAATGCTTAATCCTGCCATGCCAACCCCGGCCTGCGGACCTTCCAGGATCTCCGTGTGCCCCCAACTCTCCTAGTTAGCCCAGTTCACCAATCAAGTCCAGCACGTCTCAACCGCCCCCCCGTGAGATGCATACAATGTGCCGGTGTGCACATTGTATGCAAAAGTCAGTGGTTCTCTGCCAGTCCCGTCGTACACTGTGATCCTCTCAATCATGAAACAAAAAAGAAACTTTTTTTCCTATGGTCTTTACTCGACTCTTGCTTTCATCATGTCGGATTGATCCCAATTCTATAATGTTCCTGTGTCCATTCCTGACATGTGGTATATGCTGTCCGTTTCCCTTTCAAAGTCGACGCCCGGCCATCTGGCTCTCGGGGTGACTGTATGCCTGTGAATTCGCCGTCCCAATGATAAGCCCCCAAAATATACAAAGGAAAAGAAAGAGAAAAAAGAGACCGATGGTATCCCTAAAAGCCTCGCGTCCTTCAAGGAAAGCGGGTAAAACGAAAGAAAATAGTCGTAGACTACTCCAGGAAGTTCTCATCCATGCCAATAGTACGCCGCAGTCGAATGCCAAAGGGGGTATTGATAGTTGATAGCACATTAGGTCCAAAAAATGGCGCGCTGGGAATTCTGTCTTTCGGGTTCGGCCGTGTCGTGTCGCCCCAGGGGTGCAGCGCAGGGCCCCGGGTATTTGTCGTTAAATCTCTGTCGATACTGATACAAAACTTGGGGAATAAAATCAAACAAATTTATGCCAAGAAGCGAAGGGTTCCGAAGACTAGCCTTCGTAGCTCGATTTGTCCATGCTGGACTTGGGGCTAATGTTGTTGGAGCGCGTGCCGAACGTGTTGAAAACGCGCCCGACTCCGCGGGGCTTGGTGGTGCTGGCCGTCTCCGACTCTTCGTTGTGCTTCAAGAAGACGGTCTGGACGGAGTCGATGTTGACGCGGCAAAAGAGAGTCGAAAACAGGTACTGCTCGCCGTTGTGATCAAAGAGGGGGAGGGTGCGGTAGCCGCGCTTGAGACCGTTGAGCTTGGCGGTGTGCGTGGCCACGGGCGGGCGGTCGTTGTAGCTCTCGCCGTTGTGGGATAGCTTGACCGACCAGCGAACAAAGATGAGCTCGGGGAACTTGGTGGTCACCTTGAAGGTGAACTTGCCATCGAAGATCGGGTTGAAGCCGTTCTCCGGGATGACGCGGGTCCGGAACTTGAGAGGCGAGTCCGTGGAGGGTGCTTCAGTGTGGTCCGCGTCCCGCTTCTCTCTCTTATCACTGGAGTGGAACACCTCGACCTCGACGTAGGGGTCAACCGTCTTGTTGTTGGGCATGCCGTTGGGTCGCATGAGTTGCTGGGCCGAGATGACGTCGATGCTGAAGGTAACCTCCTGGCGTTCCCTCAAACCGGACCATTCCTGGGGCATCACCTTGATCTCGCGGAGCTCGCTGGGCTTGAGAACGTATCCGGACCGGTCGGTGCCGCTCTCGTACATGGCCTGGTTGAGTTGCATGCCGAGATCGAATGTCTGCCAGTTGAGCGCAGCCATCTGCACACCCTTGCGCCAGTACGTGACGGGGTTGAAGTTGTTCGAGGTGATCCGGGTGCGGTCGGGGTAGACACGCATGAGGTACCGCATGTTGTGGCGTTCAATGGCCCTCCGCTCCTCCTTGGACTTGCTGTTCCTCATGAAACTCGACTCCATGAACGAAAAAATGTGGTTGTACGCTTTGGCATCCGGGGCGTCGAACCCGCCAAACTTGACTCCGGCGCAGTACACACCCAGATCTCCCAGAACCTTTACTGTCTTGTTCGAAGACCGCCGGGGGGGACCCGCTCGCCGGCACTGTCATTGTCGCTCGTGCTGCTGCTCAGGGCATCCTGGACCTCGCCCTCAGTGATGGTGTTGACACGGCTCTTGCTCACGAGACGGCGGGACGAGTGGCTGGGGCTTAAAATAGGGCTCTGAGGCAGCGACTGAGACGGGATAGTGCTGTTGTCGAGCTGAACGGGCTTTGGGTACGGCGAGGTCAGGCTGTTGCCGCGACGGCGACCGGTCGTTTCGGTTGGCTTGGGCTCTGGGACGGGCTGTGGGCGCTTGACCTTGATCAGGACTCGTTCCTTGAGCTCCTCGGGGGACGGGAGCCTGTCGGATGAGTCGAGCGGCTCGGTGACGAGACGGGCACCGAAAGTCTCCTTGATGATGCGAGCCATCTCGGCCTGCTGCTGGGGGTTGCAGTGGACCTCGAGAGAGATCCAAAGGGGGTACTTGGTCTTGACAAAGGCGTACTTGTTGATCGTCGTCATAGTCTCCTGGAAGCTGATTGAGGTGGTGAGAGTCCGGCCGTGGTTGACGGTGGGTTGGCCATCAGGGCCGTCCCAGCAGTCAACCTCAACGCAGCGGCAACCACGAGCGAGTGCCGAGATGTAGCCCTCGACACTAGAAAGGCCAGCGACCTGCCGGCCCATCAGGTACGTGTTGTGAGAGCTGGAAACAAAGTATTCGTTGAGAGGTCGGTCAAGAGTGTACTCCTTGGGCTCCTTGTGTACGGGCAGGTTGTAGGTGGAGGTCAAGAACGCGGCAAAAGCCGCGTCGCCCATCTTTGGGCCGTCGACCTGGGCCGCGTCTGCATCTCTCGACTTGAACTTGCGGGCGAACTTGCTGTAGAGGGCCTCCGAGGCGACGATGTCGGCATCGACGCTTTCACCTTGGACATCGCGCAAAAAATCCAAGAACTCCTTGATCGTGAGGCCCGTCTCTGGGCTCGCGGCAATCTGGTGGTAGATCTGACGAATGTCGTCACGCCGTTTCATGTAACCCACAAAAGTCTGGAATTCGAAGAAGTTCAGACGACCCGTGTTAGTGACATCAGCCGCGTGGAATTTAGCTCGCAACTGGCTGGGCGACGCATGGATGTGGAGATTCCGGCAGACCCGCTGGACCCCTTCAAAGTCGATATCGCCGTCGTCGAGAGAAAGCGGCTTCTCACCACCCTGCTTGGTCATCTCATTGAGCCAGTAGTCGCGGATGGCTCGGTCGTTGAACGCCATCAAAGACGCCATCAGGTCTTGTCGGTGCTTGGAGATGGCCTCGAGCGTGGTGACCCAGTTGTAAAAGGTGCTGGCGTCGTCGGCCACGAGATGCATCATCTTGGTCTTGGACTTATCGGGCACCGAGTACATGATGGAGAACCACCGAGACTCTTCGGTCTCGGGCACGCCGTAGTCGATACGGTACTGTCGAATGTCGGAGCCCGTTCTGATCTCCTTGATGTCGTCAATGTATAGGCACTTGTGGGGCCTATTCTTGTCCCACGAGATCTTGGCCGCGTCCGGCTCGAGAACGAGGATGAAACGCTTCTTCCAGTTCTTCTTCGAGACCTTCCTGATCCAGGTGCCCTTGAGCAGCTGGAAGGGGATGACGGGACCGGCGGTAGTGTTGGAAGGGGAGGTGGAGCCGGCGAGGGAGGCCGTTGTGCTATTCGAGGATGATTCTCGGAGGGCCCCGTCGAGACCGCCAATCAACGACCGGAGATCTTCCATCTCATCGACGAACTCGTCGTCCGAGTCGCTATACGCGGCAAAGTCGGGCGGGGCCGTGGTGTTGCTGTCACTCCTCCTGCGGAGGATGCCCGGGCCCACGCTGCCGTCACGGCTGTTGGGGGCAGCGGACGATGTCCTGCGGCGGTTCTTCCAGGCCCTGGTCTTGTTTGACAAACGCCTCATGAGGTTGCCGCTTTTGCTCACGGCCTCGGACATGGCGCTGGGGCTACCGACGAGGGTCTGGCCAAGAGAGTTATCGCTTGTCTTCCTCGAGATGACCGACTCTGGCAGCTGAAAAGGGCCTGTTGGGAACTGGTCGTCAACGAGCTCACGGCCCCGGTGCTCGGGGGACGCCTGGAGCGAGCTGTTGGTCGTCATGACGGCAGCCTCTGGGGACATGACGGGGGAGCCTTGCTGTGAGCTCGAAGCCACCGAGGATGCACTTATGGCTGAAGCTGGTATGGTAGGGTGTTGTTGTTGGTGTTGTGTGTTGGAGGGGAGATTGGTCTGGACATGGCTCGGGCGAGTGCGCCTGATTTGAGCCGTCTGAGGTGTCATGGTAGGTTTAAAAAGGGGTGAGGGTGTTGGCATGTTTTGAGTAGAAGTAGGGGACATGGTGGTCGTGAGGGTAGCCTTCGCTACTCACAGGTTGGAGAGGTCCCCAGCGAGATCCGAGGTGGATGATCTAGCAGTTTATAGAGAAAGCGTAGCTGTTGGAGACGGCATCCTTGGAGAGGTGGTCGTGTGGAACGGCCCGTAGAGGGATAGGGAATGCGGGGAATGCGTATGAGAGGTCGATCCTGAGATATCGAGGTGGTCGTTCCACACACACGGCGCTATCTGGCAGGCAAGGGTTCCTCCGAGAGGGCAGCAGCAGGCGTGGGGAGACTGATGATCTCCTGCTGCAGTGCTGCGTGGGTTGCTGCGCGGTGCAATGCGATGCGGCGTACCAAAGGACCTGATAGACCACGCGGGTGGTTCGTACCGGTACACTGCAGGCGGACCAGCAGTCAGGCGTGGCAGCGCAGGGCGGACGGGCAGTGTCGAACTGAGCCAATCGAGGGCGCAGGCGGCCGTCGTTTCGTCTTCGAGTTCCTGCCTCTCTGGCCTTGGGGGTTGGATTTGGCGGGCCCAAGCAGTTGCTGCGAAGGCTCGCGGCGTGAGGGCGAGAGTGATGTGGCAGGTGGTATGCAAGTCGCTGATTCGGGTCTATTTCTAGGTTGGGGGAGACGGAACCGACAGCATTAGCAGCCCACTATGCGATGCTCCCGCAGCGGATGCTCGTTCGTTTTTTTGTGACCTTGGCTTCCTTGCCGGCTGGTTGAAGTACCAGTTCCAAATCGCGCAGGCTCGTGTCCAGCAGAGGATCGAACGGGTGGGAGGTGGTTCGGCGCAGCGAAACTTTTGGGATCCTCGGAAGGGTGCGCGCGGCGCAAGACGCAAAGCGGCAGTTGCAGGTGACTCAATGGGGAGACTTCTCGAACCCGGTCTGAATCTGTTGAGCGTAAGGTGAAGTTTGATTTTCGTTTTTCTTTTTTTTTGGGGGGGGGATAGGTCGTGCGTGTGTGCGGGAAGAGAAGAGGTTGTGGTCTGTTGTTATGTAGTTGAGGCAAAGGCCAGTCGTCGGCGGTGGTTGTGGTAGTTGTAGTAAGTGCGCGAGTACGGTGCGTGTGAGACTGGCTGGCAGACAGACGGAAGGAGTGTGGTGGCAGTCAAGTCTTATGTGGGCGGGAGTAGTAGCTGGGGCCCGGGAAATTATGAGTAGACGGGGCGGGAAGGAGGCATAGCCAAGAGCTTTATTTTGGAGTAAGGGCAAAGACCAGCACAAAAAATGTCAGGGTCAGGAGAGAGGGTGGAAACGAAGGGAAACGAGCAAGAGTACGGGCCCCAAAGAGGTGTGCTGGGTGTAAGGCAGAGCGAGGTACAGAGTAGAGTAGACACAGAAGGGGGGGGGAGTATGCCGTAGACTGACGGCCAGGGCTGATCTGAGAGCGAGAAAGTGAGAGTGAGAGACAGAGACACTCTGAGAGAGTTGGTGTGTTTGCAGGGAAGGTGTGGAGGTAAAACGGGAGCGAGCCAAGATGGGCGCCCAGATGGATGGGTTAGGAGGAGCAAAGTAGCGTAGTACACATGGCGTGGACAGGTACCATTCAGTCGCGGCATGTACGGTGAGGTACGGGGGTACAAAGCGTACACCGAGGGGGGATGGGGGGAAAGGGGAGGGGGAAGGAGTGTAGAGACAGAGAGGCATGTGTGCGTGCGATGTACCTCTGGCGAGACAAGGTACTGGGTGGTACGGGCACACCAGGATGGGGTTGTAAGGCCCAAAGGTTCGCGGGTAATGAGGGAGGACCAGACGAGGAATGCGAAAGAAAGATACGCGCACTCACGGGCCAAAGGGGACATTCTGACGAGATACCCCGCCAGGTACCACCACCCTTCCTTACCTTAGCTGGAGCTGGCAGGGGGGGGGGGCTGCCACCGCAGAAAAAGCACGGGAAGCGAGGAAAAGACAGGCAGACGCAGAAGAGGAATAAAAATAAAAGCGGATACGAAGGCGAATGGGGGGAAAATAGGAGGGTGACGGGGCGTGAGCTGGGAGACGACGCTAGACTCTCCAGAGCAAGGCAAGGTACGTACCGGCGAGGCTTGGCCCACGCCCGTCCCGTCACCAGCGGTCACCTCACCTCGAACCTACCTGTCTTTTCTGTCTGGGGTGTTTTGTCCGGGCCTCTCTGGTGTTTTCCTCTGTTTTCCATTCATTCTAAACGCGTCCCACGAAGCGGAGACGCTGGGCTGATACGGTTATTGCTGGGCTGAAATCCGGGAGGGGCTACCAAGTTACAGACACACACACACGCACACAGTCCTTTAGAGATGCATAGTAATGTAGAACGCAAGGTTGAGATGGAGACGCTGGGCAACGACAGCAATCGCAGTCTTTGACCACAACCTCAGAAATGCCTTGTACGTATTTGGAGACATGGACGTGGGGCCTGGGTTTGCCGGGCTGCTCGTTGGTGCCCTGGCCCTGGGACGACCTGGGGGAAAGAGAAGAACTGACAGGGGGATTAGGGAAACGGCACGAAATTTGGACAAAAGGGCTGCACCTGCACCGCTGCATGGCGGGCAGGCGAAGGTCGACATCGCAATGCAGCAGCGGATGCACAGAAGATGGGGAGCTGAGCAGAAACAAGGGAAAGGGAGCCTTGAGCCCGGGTTGGGGAGAAGGAAGAGACAGAATGGGAAAGAGAGAGAGAGGGTGTGTCGTCATCAAAGTGTGAAGGGGTGTGTCGTTAGAACAGTTGACGAATGGGCAAGGACGGGTTCAGGAGACTGATGGAGTCAGTACATCAGAAGAGGGTGCACAGGGAAGAGGAGGTCCTCGAGCCTGAAAATAAATAAAACTCAAGGAGGAAAAGAAGGCAAATAAAAAAACAATACAAAAAATAAAAACACCACACAAAAATAAGCGGAAGGGGACAGGGGGGAAAAACCTTCAGAGACTTCGAAGACCCACGACAGGGTTGCTTGCCCGTCTTCGCAAAGCAGTCATAGTACAACATTCTTCTACTGGACATGGCGATACGTACCCTTTTTTTTTCTTTCCCTTTCCCGCTTCCTCCCTTCCCAGTTCCCAGGCTCCTCGTGATGGGTAAACGGACTCCTGGGGAACCTCCGAGGGAGGCCTGAAGTAGAAGGGAAAAAAGAACAATTCTAATCCCAGGTACGGCTCCCCCAAAGTAAGGATCAAGGTCGGCCTAGAGAGCGAGGGACGACAGCGGGACGCGCGCCAGGTAGGAACTGTACCGGTCAGGTACAACGCCATGTGCCCTCGCTCTTTGATCAGACAGGGGTCCCGCTGGCATGGAAAAGGAGGGAGGGTGTGGGATGACTCTGCCTGCGTCTGTCTTTGCAGTCTTCTGGTTTACGTACACTACTGTACAATGGTGCTGAAGGGGACGTACAGAGAGTCCTGTAGACGTGGCCGACACACTGGGAGCAAGCCAAGCGACACGCGCCAAACTCATCTCCTTCACTCGTCTTGCAAGTGGCTCTCTTGTGGCACAGTCGCCCGCAACTCGCCATGTTTCCACCTCATTTGCCTCCTTCTCAGGGGTGCTGTTGTTTACCGCTTCTTCTTCTGCTGCTGCGTCCTGTTTCTTGCTCTTGTATCGCCTCCGTGGCACGCATAGCCTCGTGCTGTGGTTGGCAAATGCTCTCATCTTACCCGTCTCCGACTAGCAGCATGGCCATACTTGGATGCACGGGGGTAATAATAACCTTGATGTTGCCCTGTCTGGTACTCCCATCGCGGACGCAACGACGCAGTTGCCATGTTAGTTACCGTCCGCCTTACGTTGCCTTGACGGCTCCCTGCCATACTCTGCCCTGCCTTGTACAACGCGAGTCTGACTGCGTCTGCCGTTGCAATTGCAAGTATTCCACCTCCGGACGGATGTGTGTAGATGACATGTCCAAGGCAGGTGATGGACAGCAGTAGGTAACGGCGAGAGACCAAGGTGCCTCCCCCTGCGGCGTAGGTAGGTACGTAGCTTTCCTCCGTGCGGTGAGCTCGGCGGTCTCTGTTGAGAGGGAAGTTAGTCTCGAAAGCCATGGCGGCCATGTACCTGCGTCAAGACTGGATAAGATAATGGAAGCCCTTTACCGCAACATGTACCTTGCACCCGGAGATGAAGGCCAATGCTCGGGCACCTCGACAGGGCTGTCTTGAGGGACCACAGAGTTGGGCGAGGAAGCTTTATTCAGTGTGGTGTTGAAGCCCGGCAGGTACACCAAGGTGCGCGTCGTGCTTTGCGACTCGGCGGTGACCCGACCGATACCTTCCAAGTTTCCTCGATATATCATAGATACTATGAATGGCGTTGACTGTTGACCCTCGTTCCATGATTTCGCCTCTTGATTGTGTGATGCATACAGACGCGAAGGGTAGTAGTATCCCCAAACACACCCAGAGGTACCGCCAAGTTGGACACTCACTTTTGGTTGGATTCGGTGACGAAAGGCGCTGTGAGGTCAGACTGACATGATCCCATATTTGTCCTCCGCTAAAACTAGGTGCCGAGGAACCGTAATTGGTGTCTTGCCCCCTCCCCCCAGACTCTTCCATTACGTCGACGCCCATTTCCGCGCCGCCCTTCTTACCGGCGCAGCAGCGATGGTATGGTCGCTTGATGCGTTGTGCTTTCGTGCTTTGGGTTTTCCTTCTCAGCCATTCCCGCGTACCTACTTATCTACATCACGAGTGCATGGTGCCTAGCCGCTCAAAGGCGACGAGATAGAAGGGATACGTACCCGCAAAGTCTCGCCTTCATCCATGGTCCATCAAGGCATTTCTCGTCTCATTTGTCTCGCGTGCCGAACCTCCGCCTTCTTCT